AATGACATCTCTGTAAACCAATAGCGTTCAGCTGCGCGTCTAGCTCCGCCTGTTGGTGCCCTTTCTTGTGTATGGTATCCTTTAGAAAGGGTGCCGAAAAAGTGGTACGGTACGGTTCGGTTCGGTACGCTTTTTGACAGTGGAAATGGCCATAAAAGAGTACCGAACCGTACAGTACCATTCAGTGGAAACAAAATAATTGACAAATTCGGATTGCGTCCTCCACAAAAAAGACAGTCTCACAGATTCGCCTTCAGCAGCTAATAGTAATGACCTAAGCACACTGGACCCAGGTAAGGAAGTTCAAAACATTTTGGGTTGCAGCGCTAGCAATACTGGAAAGACGAAATGCAGGAAATACTAATATAATTACCTGAACTATGTTTTTTTTTTTTTTTCTCGAAGTAAAGAGACCTTGACCCAGCCACAGTGTATTATCTGCATGAGTTCTAACTAACAAATGCATGTGACCGTCTGAATTAGTAAGACATTTGCAGACGACTCATGCCCAATACCGCAACAAGCCCAGAGCAGTTTTTGATCGCAAGGCCAAAGGCGTACCTTTTTCAGTTACAAATGGCCTACTGATGTTTTACTTTTATATTTTACATTAGGCAATTATTTTGTGCATAAACATATTTAGATATAGTAATAAACATACAGTTTGTTTAAAAACAAAATTTTTTTTGTCATCCTTTCTGCAATCTTATATGAGTGATAATATCATTAAATGTGGAGGAGGGTCTTGTAGTTTTTCCTTTAATAAGGGGGTCTCAGGCAAAAAAAGTTTGGGAACCACTGTAAGTAACACAATTTGTGAAAAAAAAAAAAAAAAAAAACCTGAATGATTAAAAAAATAGGGACTGTTAAAATGTTAGGACTTGAAAAAATATAGTAATAGCATTGTTAATCTCAAAGTCATAAGAATATAACATAATATAACAATCAACACCATTTGGAGCCGCATCTTTTTTAAGAAGGAGACGAGCAGCAAATCAGGATTTCGCCATTTCCAGATGCGAAAAGCTCTCGAGTAAAAAATATTCCGTACAAACATAGTCCAAACAATTCTTCTTCTCGCACTTGTTTTGGCAACACAACGTGTCATCTCTCTGCCGTCTGAACATTTTACAGGTATAAACAGTCTTCGAAGCTATCATGCATATTAATGAAGTTGCACCGCATTCACAATAGAGCACACTGATAGGTTTGAACCAAGTCTTTCTCATGAATGAATGCAGCACACTCAGAGACGTCACGAAGTACTCCCAGGTACAGACAGCTACTCTCCACGCTGGAATACACACAAGGATCTAATCGGTGTGACGCAGCTTCAAAAATTCATATTAAACCGGAAAAACTAATTTGCTCAAAGTAACGCAAAAACAACCAATTTTTTAATCGACTGTCAACAGCTCAAAAAATGTGTTTTGGTGTTTCGTAACCCTTTAAAGACTGCAATTATTTTAAGCTTTTTTTATTCTTTTTTTTGTTAAACCAGCTAGAATTGTTTCAGATGTAGAATTCATAGTTATTTAGTTGTAGTAGTTGTATTTTTCTATTATTTGAAGTTAATGAACATTTTATAAATATCAACTGTTTTTGTGACGATGGCTGTTTTTAGTGTTTTTATTTTAAAAAGGTTAAATCAGCTCTAAAATGTGTCATTTTAAGCACATATTATAGAAAATTATGACATCATTTGTAATCATGGAAATTAAGTTGGTATTATTGAGTTATTATTCTAAAAGACTCTTAAATTTATAATTTAGTAAAAAATAAATTGTTTAGACTCTGCACTGTCTTTATGATCTTTGATGAATATATAGAAGAAAAAAAATAAGGACTTTTCTCAGTCATTTTTTCAAAGTCTTTTTTTTTTCCACTTAAAAACCGTAAAATATACATGTTTTGTCTGATACTTTACATATAAGAAGCATTTTGGGGGCCTGAAAATGCAAAAAAAAAAAAAAAAAACATGTAAAAATGTAAAAACATGTCTAAAAGTACGTTCCAATATTGTCACAAACTACTTTTTTTTTTTTTTTTCCCCCAAGCTGCTTGTGACATGTTAATGAATATTATGCGTTTACTTTATTGGCATGTGCAAGTTTTTGACAACCAAATAAATGATAGTTGACCATCTTTAGAAATGTACATCTCCAGCTAGCCTTCCTGGCTTAATACAGCATTTTTGATACTTGTCATAGATCCCTGTAAAAAGGGATCATTTTGACATTGTTGTCATCTGTGCAAAATTTTTTCAATACCACACATTAAAACGTCAGTGTTCAGTACATAGTAGACAAGTAAACACACCCCGTTCAAAAAAGTAACCTCTCCTTTTAACGTTGACAATGTTCAACATTCTAAATATCTATCTGAAGACACTTTTCAGTGTTGCTGTACACATTTTGACCCGTTTAAAATAGTGCCTTATAAATATCATTATGACTTTAAAGATGTGCATATCTGTTTTTCTATTTTCTTAAAAGTACTTGTAAAATCCTTCAATTGTTTGTGTAAAATAAATATCTAGTGGCCGTTTTCATCCAAAGCCTAGCCACCAATCGATTACTCCAGTCCTACTTTTCCATGCGCCTTCCTCTGTTCGTCCCCCCTTTCATGGCTTCATCTCATCCCTGGCTCTGTGGGTGTACATGCACATTCCAGCTCTTGAATTCATGCCACAGCCACAGAGGAATCCCGGACTGTGGCTTTTGATTGCTCATCGTTTGTCTGGCTTACAAACTGTATTTAAGCATGTCAGCGTCTGTGTCAACTCCTGCCGTGTCACTTCTACATCAGTATCAATGATACTTTTTGAGTTGTTTATTGAACTTTGTGTTTACTTTCCGTTCACCCTGTTAGGTTTTGCAAACATGAATCAAGAGTAATTGTTACCAAATGTTCAATACATTGTTCTCAAAGCTTGGAGCTGGGTTTATTCTTCGCTCGTTGAACCCTGAGACCTGCACATTTTTCCATGCGAAATGCTTTTCCACACATACAAGCGTGCGATTCAGCTGAGAATAAAAGTGCTGAGTGAAGTTTTGCAGTGACTGTTTTCTGTGTACTTCAGTAGCACTCTGTGTTTAGGGAGGTAAGTGGTGTGCGTGTACTGTGAGTTGGGTTTTTCAGCAAACAAGTGCAGTTGACTGGCACTAGAAAGGGAATAAATTTTCCAAGTGTTCCATGTTTCAGGCACAGCAAAGGATTAGGTGTGGATAAATCAATTTTGAGAAAATTAAGACCCTTAATTTATTAAAGTCTTAAATGCGTTTTTTTACAAGGTCTTAAATTTTGTTTAAGCGTTGTCAAGTGTTTGACTCTAAAAAGCATAAATATATTTATTTTCCTCGATCTATGCGATTGGTTCAGGCCAAGGTCCTCTGTCCGGGTGATGTCATGTAATTTGCAACAAACGTGGAAAGGTGATGTGACTCCACATGTAGCAAAACCATAGAGCGAAACAGACGGCAAAATTGGAAAATGTAAGTTTATGTACTGTTGGTTGGAGAAAGACAAGTTTAAACAATGGCTGAAGCCTGTTGCTGGAAACAACCACGTAATTTATTCTTTCAAATGTTGTTTCTTCCGAGCTTATCGGAGTTCTGTTGTATGATTTTGTTTTATTGATTTATTTAACTACAACTGTTTATTAACAACTGTTTATTAAGTTAAAGGTTTGATACAGATTAGAACTTAAAGTGGCGATGAGGTGTTAACAAATTCTTAGTAGGTCTTTGAAAAGGTATTGAAATTACCTTTAGGATTTCTGCATATACCCTGTTACAGTGTCACTAACTCATTCAAGTCCACCAAAAATGCTAGAATTCTATCAAATACAACTTTTTTTTTTTTTACAAAATCTAATATTCAGAATTAGAGCTTTGATGCCATTTTCGTGACAGAGTTTCTACAGGGCAACAGAATTACAGAGACAGGACATAAACAAATAAATATATTTAAAAAATAAAAGTAGTGAATGCAAATATACAACTTGACAAGTGTATGTACATGTATATTACTATATACAACATTATGAGCTGCAGTTTTGTGCAGCAGGAAGTGAAGTATGTTGTTAAATTAATGTATATGTGTATAAAAAGAAGTGACGTTTGCTGCACAATTACTATCATAAAGTATTCATTAGATGGGTAGTTGTCAGCAGGGGTGGTTTTAAACAATAAGCAAGCTAAGATATGTTTTATGTGATTTAATAACTGTAAAAAGCTCCATATTTTGACACAGAATTGCTTGTATTTGACCATTTAGGTGCTACAAGATGACTTTATCTGTACGTGTTCGGCTCCATCTGAGCGGATACACAGAACAGCACAAGTTTTCTTTTGTCTTTTAAAAAGCATGTGTCAATCGACTACACTTCAATAAATCAAGCCAATAAATCAAACCAGAAAAACTCTTAAGTCAAAATTTGTAAAAACATCAATGGGTTAATCATGGTGGAGCTGAAGAGTCATGTTTTGTTTTTTGAGGGACTCTACTAAAGCTAAATGGCTGAGTAACACAGCTCTGTCACACAGCAAAACGGTTAAAGCAGCTCCTTGAACCTGAAAACACTGAAATAATGAAATGTCCAACCCAGAGTCCTGAACTGAACCTGACTAACATTCTGTGGAAAACCCACTTCAGTCAGTGAACTGTAATAGAGGCAAAAGCTGATCAAGATCTCAGCAGAGCAGACTAGTGATATCCTGTGCCTGCAGAGGTCATTCAAGAGCTTGCTTGCTTCATGCAAATTTTTGACTGCTGTAACCTTCAGAAATGTATCGCTGTTTTCCATGAAATAAATACCTTGGTTATTTTCTAATATACTGTTCTGTTAGCATGTTCAAATTTTGAACAATGGTCACTTTGTTTCTGCAAATATTCCGTGTTGTACATTTTAATCTTCACTTTGGGTTTCCTTTGTCTATGCTGAATTCATATGAGCTGGTTGTAATGTTATCCACGTGTTTGGTTATTCCCCTCTTCAGCGTTCCAGAGGAGTACAAGTGTGGAAAATCATTGGGGCCTGTGGAGTCCCTGCAGGAACATCCGAAAGACTCAGATAAAATCCTCATTGGCTACAGCAGAGGTCTGGTGGTGCTCTGGGACCTCAGCAGTCGGCATGTGGACAACCTCTTCCTGGGAAAGCAGGTGGGTGTGTGTTTGAATTCGTTTGATGTCTCTGAAATGACTTTCAACACTCTTGGAGTTAAACACAATGAATTAAAATTCAACATTGGCATCAGTGTTTTAAAGTCAGCCTGTAAATGTCAAATGATTGCCAACTTTCAAAGTGATCAGGTCAAGAGATTTATCCGTGCTCTTTAAATCATCAGTGCTTTGATGTGCAGATGGTTTAACTCAAAGCTTTTGACTTCTCTTCATGGCCCTTTTGTGATGCTGTGTATTGTGTGGGACTGTCACTCTTGCAGCAGCTGGAGAGTTTGGTCTGGGAACGGTCCGGGAACAGCTTTGTTAGTTCTCATAGTGATGGCGGATACATGGTGTGGGCTGTCAGCAGCAGCAATCCCTGCACCCATGACCCCGTCTCATCCACTATACCATATGGTGAGCCTTAACACATACCAATTACACACTGGCTTTCCTTTTTTTCTGTTACACAGACACACACACACACACACACACACACATTGGTGCTGTTCGCTTTCACACTGCAAAGTTTCTAAACACACCAAAATAGCTAAAACAAGTAAGTAAACTCTCCTTACATTGGTCAGAGTTTCAAGGTTTTTTTTGGCAGAGTCCCGCTCAGCTGTCAGGGGCGGTGGTGGTTTGGTGGTGTTTGACAAGGTGTGCACGATGTGTCTGAAGAGCGAGGAGGGATGCGGTGGGGAGGGATGAGAAGGGTGAGCAATGTATTTGAGGACTGGGAGGTGGATGCGCGATTTCCGGGAGATTATCACTCATTTGCAGGCATCCGGGAGTTTCTGTGTATTTGCGGCTCCTGAAACTTCCGAGAGACTCGGGATATCTGGAATGACCTCCTACCCTACTCATAATTCTCTCTTCATATAGCCGTATGCCTATTACATATCCATAAAACACTGTGATATAACCGGGCTCGGATCGTATTTCTTTCGTACTACAATTAATTCGCTGCATAGTTCATTTCAATCGAGCCATGACCACTTCATTCAAGCGATCTTGGAGCGATTGTTTTGGCGTGGATTCAAGCACGATTGCTGGATTCACATATGCCAAACAAACCGCACTAACTGGGCAAACGAGACAGGTTCTGAAACAAAAATCTAAGTGTGAAAGCAACCTAAGTCATACCCATGTCATTATACAAAAAACGTCCTTGTAAACCACCAAAACCAGTATCGACACAGATTGTTTGTTAGTGGTGAGTTTGTTAACATGTGAAATTGGGATGTAATTATTCACCATGAGCCGGTTAAAAATCTATTCAAATATGTGACAATTTAAATTGGTAGAAATATTAAACTAATCAAGATACTTTCTTTGACAGAGGGGGCGCTGTGTTTACAATCGCAAACTTGTTTTATTGCAAAAAGTCGTTTACTTGCATTAACAAAACATCAAATATAATGCACATAAAACGTCAGAACAGTGAAAAACTACTTTCACAGACGTCTATACACAAAACAAACATTAATAAGCCAAACCACACAGAACGGATGATTTGCAGCTCCGCTTGCTCCAATGAGTGCTACAAAGATCATACGGTCAATCAGTGTTTTCATAGCGAAAGTGTGTAGATGTTTTTCTGACTGAAAGAGAAAGTTGTTTTGTTACAGAACTAGATATTAGCTTATTTTACCCTCTCCTTTTTAAATTATTTATGCATATTTTAATAATTTGATTGTTATTAAATATTTTAAAAACTTTAAGATTATCTCTTCTTAAGGGTATTACACTGATACTTATACAATAAAATTTTTTAAGTAATATTAATTATTCGCCTTTATAATGTTAAACTCCGGTCTCTGTCCTATTATACAAGTAATTTTATAATCTGATTTTTATGCTTTGGTCAGTTCCCTGGAGCAGAGGGCCTATTGACCATCTCTATACACACTGCTCTCTGGTTTAGGGAATGCTTTCCTCTGTACATCTCAGTCCCCAGTGAAAGGGTTTGAAGAAAATATATTATTTTGGTAAAAAGAATGCAAAGGCTCTTTACCTTGAATTGGTTTCAAATAATTTTGTTAAAAAACTGTGACTAAATTGTATAGTGAGATTAGGGATGTAACAATTCACCTGACTCACGATCCCATACGATTCACAGTACTAAAGGTAAAAATTATGATTTTTGTGTATTCAATCTGTCAATTCAAGTATGACACTATGGTTCAGCACAAAATCTTAAATCAGTAAAAACATACAAACTATTGGAAAACAGTGCAACACTTTTCAGTATTGATGAAGGTATCATCAATGTAAAATGTTGCCAAAGGATCATTTATAAATATACATTAAAAAATGTTTTATTGCTCTATTTGTATGGTCAGATGCTGGGAAGCAAGAATTTTTCTACAAGTATTGTGATTTGCATGGATATTATCACACAAGCAAAATACAAAACCTTGTTTGTATTAATAGTTTAGTTTCTTGGGAAATATGGAAACCTTTGTATTCATGCCAACTGAAATGTGTGTTTGGCTTTAAAATTGTTTAGATAAGGTTAATATAGTTATTTAATTTAAAAATAACATTATTATTGTTATAGAGTTTGCATTTGTTTTTTTACATAATTGTGTACTATGATTTTAGATTTAATGACACTAGCTTACACGTGACTATCTTTTTATTTTTATATGAAGCTGCATTTTTATTGATTCAGCAAATGTTTTAAAAATCGCTTGAAAAAATTACATTAACATTTAAGTTTAAGTGGGAAATAATGTTCTGCATAGGGCTCTTAAATTACACTTGGCGATCACACAAAGAAGATATGAAACATTGAAGCTGTTAATGACTAATAAGGAAGTTTTGCGTTCACACAAGATATTTTGATTTTACCATGACACATTGTATGTAAAAAGATCAATTTAAGACCTCTATAATAATGATTCTCTGGTAATGATGAATCAAAACTGCAGTATGTTGATCTAAATCTAGTTGTTACACTAAAGCATTTTCACATAAAAAAACAAAAAACAAAAACTAGATGTTGTTTTATGTGTACTGACATCAAACCTTTAACTTGCATGCAAATGTACTTTATCTTGCCTGTGTTTTTTTTTTTTCATATATAGTAATTCCAGTAGCCATAACCTCATCGACGCCTGGTCATACAGTAATGTTTGCTTAATTCACACAATGTCAGGAAATGTTGTTCTATTCCAAACCTTTCGAGTCTGTTCAACTTTTGTAATAGACCATTAAACTCTCTCTCCAGACCTATTAAAGGGATCATAAACCTCACATGCACTCTTCACTGCTAGCCGAAGCTTTGTTGACACCAACCACTTCAGGATCTGCGTACATTTTCCAATTTTTAACATCTACTCTGCCAAGATTTCTATAGTTTTTGGTGGTTTCTCTTAAACTCATTTTCATTATTATTTTGTGTGTGTGTGTGTGTGTTTTTTTTTTTCGTTTTAGGCCCCTTTCCTTGCAAAGCCGTGAACAAGATCCTGTGGAGGACGACAGAATCAGGGTTTGTGCTTTTAATGTGTGAGAAATGAAATGTTATCCACCTTTTTCCACACATGACTACTGTGTTTCACATCCGCTTATGTCGTGACGTATGGAATACTGTTTCGGAGTCCAAGCTGCTACACGCATGAATAGAAAAAATGTTTATGACCGCTTTTAAGTCATATCACACATTGAAGTGAATTTTATATAAACTAATGAAATGCACAACATTCTCTGTACTAGACACCAATATTCAATATTCACTTTCTGGCCATCTGATATTACAGGCTATCTGCGGGGTTTTAAAAAGTCTTAAATTCACTGAATATTAGGTTTTATTCTAATTAGGTTCCAATAAGCCCAAATAGCAAAGAGAAATAAAAAAATGCATGTAAAAAAACAGCCTGGGCCTTAAGAGGTTTTAAGAGACACAACACAAGTATTATCTTTTGATGTATTTTTAGAGAAAAATTATATCCTTCTATGTGGACTCGTCCAAATTTCCATAAAGCACAAAGTCACCTTTGTGTAATAGAATGCAAAACTCTTTATTTCTGCCTTGAACACAGCAATTTTTTCCTGACTGTTTTAAATGCTGTTTTTAAACAAACGCACACATATTTTTTTTTAACATGTTTTGACTATCACTTAAAATAACAGTTTTTGCCCATTTTGGACAGTTAAAATAGTGTTTGGGACATTTCATATGCTGCAAAACAGTCGCAGGATGACATTGTATGTCTGTAACAAAATATAAAACATAAGACATAAGAGCTAAAATGTGCTGTCCACGTATGTGGCCGCTAAGCCCTAGGAGGTTACATTTTTAACGGGCCTTAATTTTACTCTGTTCAGGCAAAGCTGCAAAATCAGGCCAACATTCATCCAATCACCAACAATCCATCTTAATAAAAAAAAATATTTGAATTTTTTATTGCAAAGAGAAACAATTTACGATAGCTGTTAGAAATATTTCACAGCAATTCCTCCAAATGAATTTCCTAATTCCTAGGGAAAGAAAACTAAAAATAATCGCACAGTTCCTCATGATAATAACGGAACAACAGATCTCTTTACGTTATCTTCCATTCATACAAAAACTCTTTACAGAAGTAAAGGGGAGTAGACATGATATTTATAAACAGACATAAAACTTAAGGATTCACTACAGAAACGCACTAGGTTGAATAGAATTTATTGTCAGTCAATTTGGACCAAAACCCAACAAATGTATATTTTTGATTATTTATGTACACAATAAATATACTTTTAACAATGTTAAACTTGTCATTTTTTTTGTCGAAAAGAAATATGTTGAAAAAAGTGTATACAACTAGAGTTTTATTCTTTTGACACATTAAAGTATGTTGCTAAGAAATTACATTTGGTGGCAAGCAAAAAAAAAACCAAAAACATTTTGGAAAAATCATTAGTGTTTAGCCCTGTATATTCATTCATAAGGGTCTTAAAAATTCTTAAATTTGACTTGATGAAACCTGCAGAAGCCCTGTATTAGACATGGATATAAATATATTACGATTGGGATTTTTGAAAGTATTACATCGCTTTGTAAACGTTTAATATTACCATTTGTACCATTTACTTCACACTTAATAAGCAGATTATGGGTTGGGTTTCCAGTTCTAGAAAATATGATTCAAAAAATAAAACTGAAACAACTTCAAATAATAAGGTTGCACAAAAATTATGAAAAATAAAAACAGTAAGAGATAAGTGATATGACACGATGCATAAATGTGCATTAAACGCTAATTCTAATTCTTCCTCTGCCTCGTTACAAATATATATGTTTGTTGTCTCATTACTAGTGTACATAGACGTACATGGTGTTGAATAACCTTATAATACTTTTTTTTATTCTTCCAAATTTTACTTTCTGACAAGCTGTAAACTAATAATATGACATTGCGGTGATTTACCCCAGAGCAAATGACTGTCCTGTTTTTAAAATAAGAGTCCCACCTACAAAAAATATAATCAGTTGTGTTACACTTGGAAAATATCGGGAAAACTGCTGAGGGTGTATACATTATTGCTTTAATGAGTCACAAAAGAGTTAGTGGGATTATATACTCACAGGATTTTCATGAGAATGAGAAAACAATGGTGTTTGAGGCTCACAATATGGCTGAACTCACACTAGGTACAGTTGCCTTGAACCGTGCCGAAGCTGGATTGTCCCTACTCTCCTGACGGCCTGCACTCACACTGCATTTTGTCTTTCGACCTTAGCCAATCTCTGGCACAACTCTTCCAACCGTGCCGGGGCTGGCCTACTAAACTTCACCTTGGCCCAATTCAGAGCACTCACACTTGTCAAATGAACCGGAAAACACGCCTGGGCACAGGTCGGATAGCATACCCTATGTCATTTGAACTCTTATTATTCCGCTATGTCTAGGTATATCACGATTTTCATTCTATGGCATCTTCAGTATTTAATTGATGGACCTAAAGGAGAATAATTCATCTTATTGCACTTTAAAAAAATATTATAATAAAAAGCTTTATAGTATTTTTTCTGTTCAGTTTAACAGAAATGAATCCAATCGTTTACACACAGCATCATTTGGTGTAGGCAGAAGGTGGATGATGTCTAAGTGTTTGAGTGGTGCTGGAGTGACTGTGGAGATGTCCTGTGTTGTGTCTAGAGCTCCTCTAGTGTTATTCAGTGGCGGGATGCCCAGAGCCAGCTATGGAGACAGACACTGCCTCACCATCCTGCAGGACAGCAGCCACGTCACGCTGGACTTCACCTCGCGTGTCATCGACTTCTTCACTATTCACTGCACGGATACAGAGAAGGGTGAGCAGCTCCAGGCCGAGTGGAGAAACTTCTGGGCTGAAACGAAAAGTCCAAACTCTTATTTTGAATAATTGTATTTCACTATTATTTTTAGGTTTACCTCCTATAATATAAATGATTACTGATTTTTTTTGTAATATTAATATAATAATATTAATAATAATAATTATTATTAGTATTATAATAATTATAATATTCATTATAATTATAATAATATAATTTATAACTAATAATTAATTTAATCAAATAAATTCAAATAAATCAAAATAATTAGCATTATGGTTCAGAATTAAAATGTATATTTAATAATAATAATAATAAAGATAATATTCTGCAATTGAAATTAGTATATACATTTATCACAATTATGATAATGATAACAATATAGTTGGCGTTTAAAAAGTTGACAAGTATTACTGTTACTTAGTTTTATAATAATAATAATAATAACAATAATAATAATAATAATCACAGTTAATGTTTGCATTGTTTTAATAAACTATAGTTAATAATAATAATATTAATCATCATTAACAACAACATCATCATTATCGTCGTACTAGTAACAGTAATCATTTGAATTGTTTTAATTATCGTTAAAATTAATAAAAACAATAATAATAATAATAAAAGTAAACATTTGTATAATGCCAATTTTTACTGTTATTATTATTATTATTATTATTACATTAATGCCATTGTTTTATTAAACCAAATTTAATAATAGCAATAATCATTATCATCATCGTCATCATAGTAATATTAATTTAACCATTATTTATTATTATTTTTAATAATAATATAAATACATAGGAAATGTACTTAATAATAATAATAATAATAATAATAATAATAATAATAATAATAATAATAATAATAATAATGTTTAATATAATATAACATAACATAACATAATTTAATATAATATTATATAATATAATAATGTTATATCCATTAATCTGTCACTAATTAATGAAATTCTATTTTAAAAAAAGCACCCAGAATAAGCTGGCCTATAAATGATAAAGTAGAATCTGTACAGTCTGCCACACATCTGCTATGGTATGCATGTTCAGACTCTTACAGCATCCCCATTGTACCCTTATGCACGTTGACCTGTAGTTCTTGTAAGTGTCCTATAAATCACCCTTGATGTCTGCTAAATGGTTATTTTTATTTCCAGTGCACGCTCTTTAGTTATTTTTGTGCCCGACAGACTTTGACGAGCCTTCAGCACTGGTGGTTCTTCTGGAGGAGGAGCTGGTGGTGATTGATCTTCAGATGCCTGGATGGCCCACAGTCCCTGCTCCATATCTGGCTCCTCTGCACTCTTCCGCCATCACCTGCTCCTGCCACATCTCCAATGTGCCTCCCAAACTGTGGGAGCGAGTGATCAGTGCTGGCCAACAGCAGTGTCCGCTGCAGAACTATGAGGTGGGAAATTTAAAGTGACGGTTCGCATTACAATCAGCAGTTACTCACTGTTTACAACTGGTTACAATCTGAATGTTTTTCTTTCGTTCTTTCATTCTTTCTTTTGTTTGTTCTTTCTTTCATTTGATCTTTCTTTCATTCGTTCTTTTTTTCTTTCCATTATTCTTTCTTTTGTTTTCTTTTTTCCATAATTCTTTTTTTATTCTTTTTAAAAAAAAATCTTTTTTCTTTTTTATTATTCTTTCGTTTGCTTTGTTTTTTTATTTTTATTTTTATTTTTTTTATTTCTTTTGTTTGTTCTTTTTTTCATTTGATCTTTCTTTCATTTGTACTTTTTTCTTTCGTTTGTTCTTTCGTTCTTTTTTTCTTATATTTATTCTTTCTTTTTTCTTGTTTTTTGTTTTCTTTTCTTCCATTTGTTCTTTTTTCTTTCTTTCATTCTTTTTTCTTTAATTCTTTTTCTTTTTTTATTTGTTCATTCTTTTCTTTTGTTTTTCTTTCCTTTGTTCTTGCTGTCGTTCTGCTTTTTTCTTGTTTATTCTTTCTTTTTCTTTCATTCTTCCTATTTTTTTGTTTGTTCTCTTTTAATTTGCTTGCTCTCTTTACTTTCCTTTTGTTTCATTTTTCTTTTATTTGTTATTTTTTTCTTCCGTTTGTTCTTTCTTTCATTCATTCTTTCTTTCCTTTATTCTTTCTTTTTTTCTTCTATTTGTTCTTTCTTTTTTCTTTCCTTTGTTCTTGTTGTCTTTCTTCCTTTTTCTTTAGTTTATTCTTTTTTTTCTTTCGTTTTTCTTATTTTCTTTTGTTTGTTCTTTGCTTTTTTTTCTTCTGTTTGTTTCCTTTTTCTTTTACTTGTTCTTTTTTTCTTCCGTTTTTCTTTCTTTCATTTGTTCTTTTATTTCAGTTTTTTTCTTTTTTTTCCTTTGTCCTTTTTTATTTGTTCTTTTTCGTTTGTGTCTTTTTTCTTTTATTTCTTTCTTTCTTTTTTAATTCATTAACTACATTTCAAAATGAAATATTTGAAATATTTTTAACCACATTCCTTGAAGCCTTTTTTAAAATTGTAATTTAAAAAAATTATTTATATTAAATTGTAATAAGATATTTATCAAATAAATGCAGCCTTAGTGAGCAGAATACCCTTTATATATATATTAATTTTTTCGCTACTATGCAATTCAGTAGATTTTTTTTTTACCTGTATTGACTCTTTTGTAATTTTCATACATACTGTATATTAAGAAAAGCAAGAAAATCTACTTGAAAATTTTGTTAAATGTGTCAAACAAAGACTCGACAACACACTTTTTCATTTGTCTCATTTTAATCAATACTTGCACCAGTTTTGCACATTTGCACCATACATGTTTATACAATCACTCCATATCTCATAAAATAAACAACAACAAATAAAGCATTGTGCATTTATGAAGTGAGCTTTAGGCGAATGGACTTGTTTTTATAGTTGTCTTGTTTTATTTACATCATTGTTTATTTCCATTTCAGCAGAAAAGTAAACATTTTATATCACAAAAGCATTTTATATCACATCTGTTATGTGTATAACATTAACATCATAAATGGCACTCCAACTTTATAATCTTTATTATTTTTTACTGTTAAATGAAAGATTTTAATACATCACACTCATGCTGTATTTTTAGATTTTATAACCGTAAAGTAGGCGATTTGACTTTCTGAAATGGATTCCTTTTTAACAACCACCAATAAAACATACAGCAGCATCAAAGCTCTTATTTAATGTTATTTCATTAAAGAATGTAAAATTTGCCAGATGTTTTTCATTGAAGTGGCTGCCCTAAGTGTGTGTGTTTTTTCCTCTGTATTTTTGCAGAATTGGCCAATATGTGGAGGGAAAAACTTAGCGCCTGATCCAAAACAGAAGGAACTGCTGTTAACTGGGTGAGTATTTTATTTTCATTTATTTATTTATTTAAATTTTATTTTATTTTCATTCATAATTTTGTTTTATTTAGTTTATTTATTTATTTATTTTTTATTTATTTTGTATTTTCATTTATTTTTATTCTTTTATTTAGTTCTTTATTTTCGTTTAATTTTTTATTTTCATTTATTTGATTTATTTTGTAATTTATTTATTTTTAAAAATGTATTAATTTTTAATTTTCTTATTATTTTCTTAAATTTTTAAATAGTTTTTTATTTATTTAAATTTTTTAAATTGTTTTATTTATTTTATTTTATTTATTTTTATTTATTATTATGTTATTTTTAATTAAATTTATTAAGTTTTTTTATTTTCTGATTTATTTTAACTGATCTAATTTGTTTTTTGATTTATTATTATTTTTTATGTTTTATGAGTCATTACTTTTCACTTTTTGTGATTTATAACATTGTATTTGGTAATTTATTGTTGTCGTTGTTGTTGTTGTTATTATTTTTGTAATTTTTTTGTTTTGTATAGTTTATTATTATTTTATTTTATGATTTAGCATTACAATTTAATTTAATAATGTATTACTTTCATATTACATATATACTTGTTTTATTAATTAATAAGAAAAAATGTGTATATTTTCAGGTAAAGTTATTTTAACAAATTTGATTCAAACAGCATGTGAAATGTTTTTATCAGAACGTTTATTTGCATCAGTTGTCATATTGATGTTCATATATGTTCTGTTTATTTTTTTAAGTCATGAGGACGGAACAGTGCGTTTCTGGGATGCGTCAGGAGTGTCACTCAAACCTTTATACAAACTGAGCACGGCCTCCATCTTTCAGACAGACTGCGAGCACAACGACAGCCTGACACAAGCCGGAGAGGAGGAATGGCCTCCATTCAGAAAGGTCAGGGGAGATCTGATGATTATTTTTACTTTGAAAACAAACCTTTAATCCCCTCATCTGAATGCTAGGACAGTGTTATTTTGTTTGATTTTACTTTACTCACTGTTTTTTTTTCATAACAAGGGCAGCTTCAGCTCGGCAAGTGTCTTGACCTTTCCTTTCTCTTTTTGTTTTCCCAATCCACCTTTTCCTCCTCTTCAACTTCTCTATAAACACCGTCTGCAGTCTGGCGTGTGGCCCACTTTAGCATATGGGATTCACACTGGAGTTGATTCCTTTCGCACCTTAATTAAAAGCAGACTGTCTGTCTGACGACTGAAATGCTTTGCTAGGGTCTCTTGAAGATGAAGCACATTGCTGCTTTGGATGGCACTGCTGGATTGCTTTTAGTTTTACTGCTTGTGTGTGTGTTTCTCTCTCTCCTCATAACATGCACATTCCTCTTCTCTTTGTTCTTGTCTTCTTCCACTTCTCCGGCATCTGCTCCAAGCCAAACAGATGTGTGTGTGAAGGGGAAGGAAATATGCTCTTATATTGTATCCGAGTTCATAATAATCTTCATATCATGTTGTGTTTGGTCTATATATGTTGGGTTGGGTTTTTTGGTGGGTTATAAAGATGGAACTTGACTTTGCTTTTTTTTTTGGCATGTGGAAGGTATTTTGTTTGTCTTTGCAACAGTTAGAATGGGTTTGATTGGCACAGGTGTGTTTTTGTGCTCTGCCGCCTTCATGAATGCAATATTGTGGCTGTGTTTGTGCTGCCTTAAGAATCAATAAAGAAGAATAACAATCTGTTTTTGCTTTTCATCCATCTCCAGGTGGGCTGCTTTGACCCATACAGTGATGACCCCAGACTTGGAATCCAGAAAATCAGCCTCTGTAAATACAGTGGAAAACTGGTGGTGGCTGGAACTGCTGGACAAGTAGGGAATGCTATTAGTGTTGTTGTCATTTGTTAATGCAAATGTATTTTTAGATCCGTTTATTTTTAGATCAGTTGCAAAGTCAGCATTGTAGCTGTTCTGGCTGTTGTGTTTTGTAGTGGTCATCCCTAGACCCTTAGAATATGGAAAGTAGAATTAGAAAGGAAAACAGGTTCTGTTCATAAACCTGATGAAAACCAGAACAGTGCAAGAAAATCATCTAGATCATTATTTTCCCAAAATTAATGAAAAGTTGCAGGTCTAAACTTTTTTTTTTTGTCAATTTTAAAAACTTCCACTATTTTGTCTTCTATTTGTTTCTTTAAAAAAAAAAAATAAAAAAATAAATAAATAAATATATATATATATATATAAATAAATATATATATATATATATATATATATATATATATATATAAATATAAATAAATATATATATATATATATAAATATAAATAAATAAATAAATAAATATATATATATATATATATATATATATATATATATATATATATATATATATATATATATATATATATATATATATATATAATATAATATATAATATAATAATGATACTACTACTAATAATAATAATAATATATGTCCTGATATGCTATTGTTTTAAAAAGGGAATTACAAACTAAGTTTGTAAACATATTTTTGTCTCTTTTTCTTTTTATTTAACGACTGTATTTGTATTGTTCAAAGGTGATATATTAACCAAACTTCTTCTTGAGTGTGATATGTTTTGCATACTAATAAAGCATTTTTGCAGAAGTAGATGAAGCTTGTCTAAAATTAACATGAGCTCTGATGCGAAGAATTAGCAGTTGAGAAGTCTTGTGCTTTAACACTGCAGAGAATTAGTAGAAAAAGAGGAAGTATGTATGGGTTCGGCCAATGGACTGGACTGAACAATGATTGACAAGTGACATATATCACTAAACTCCACCTGTTAATATCAGCTGCCTATTAGTTGAAATCAGGAAATGAAAACTGTGCGCACCTCCCAGAATTCTGGGAAACAAATTATTCATCTGTATCCAATAAATTGCTAATACATTAAACCTTAAAGAAAAACCTCTACTGACCTTTTTTTATTGAACACAAATGGAATTGATTAATTATTCCAACCCTATTGATATATTGTGCATCACTATGTAATTTCTTTATATATAATGGAAACCTATACAAGGATTTTTTTTTTGCTTTCATTTTTTGCATCATACATTTCAGTCATTCTAACTGTATTCTAACATGATTTATCACACAGTGAATGCTTTTGGACTTTTTTTTTTTCATTTAACATGCTCTATAATGTAAGCTTGGACAATGTTTTAACAACAATCCAAATATTACCGCAGAATGTAAACACATTTTTGCTAATTGTTAGAGATAGGGATAGTTCGTCCAGAAATGACATTTTAATCAATATTTACTGTCCCTTTAGAATGGATTTAAACCCTTGTGAGCTTCCTTTTCTTCTGTTGAACAGAAAATAAGATGTTTTGAAGATTTTTGGAAACTGGGGCTGTTGACATGGCAATTAACATTTTCCAGCTGAATTGGAACTGAAAACGCATAAATACGAAAGGAGTTTTTTGAAAATGTCATCATTTTCTTTTGTCGTTCAAAACGATAATGTTGTGCACATGCATAGTGTGTGTTTAGTGGTGTGTAGATTAAAGGTAAACAGAAACAAACATGAAACAGTGGTACCATGGTAGTGTTGCTGGTCAAGTTTTTCCTACTGCCTCATTTTATTGGATACGTGTAAATGCAGGTCGTTTTGAAGACTTTTACATGTAAATGGGAAACCTTTTGGTTTAAGGCATATTTTTCTCTCTGTTTTAAAAACTTTGTTATGTAGTAGTAAACTTTTTCAAAACAAAAAGAAAAAAAAGTTTTTTACTAAATAATTGTTGTGTAAACGTAAAACCTTTGACATCCATTGCAGTGATGAAAATATTATGGAAGTCAAGGACCACTGAATGGCAACGTTTTCAAAATATCTTCTTTTGTGTTCAACAAACAAAATAAACTCAAACAGGGTTTGGAACAAGTGAAGGATGATTAAATTAAAATAGAATACATTTTTTTGGATTAACTATCCCCTTAATCTTAGTTTTGAAGTGTCCTGACCACTTTTCTCTTTACACAGGTTATAGTCATGGTTCTTGGTGATGAGAAGTCAGACCATATGATTGATGTGGCCACAGTGGACCTGCTCCAGGACAGAGAGGGCTTCACATGGAAGGGTCACGACCGGCTGCCTCCTAAATCGGGCTCAGTAGTGTTTGCTCCTGGATTCCAGCCGGTGGTCCTAGTTCAATGCCTGCCGCCCGCCGCCGTTACTGCAGTGACCCTGCATGCGGAGTGGAATCTCATTGCCTTTGGCACTAGTCATGGCTTTGGCCTTTTTGACTACCACCGGCGAAGTCCAGTTCTGGCGAGGTAAACTCAAAGGGCCGTGTGGGGCTCCTCTGTTCCTTGGCCAATTACTGGACTAGAAGCACTTTTATTTAGAGAGGGCTATCAATTTCTATGAATATATATTAGTGTTATCTGATATCCTACTACCAATTACTAATACTAAGGTACTAATACTAGACCAGTTAACTTGCTATTAGTACTTTTAATTCAGACTTTAGGTAGTTACACCAATAAAAATTTGGAAAAATCATATTTAATGGTTTTAATGAAAAATTTGAAGTTTTTGTATGTTTTTTTATTGATTATGAAGTTGTCTTAATGTTTTATCATAGTCATAGCCATAGTTTGTTGATGTGACAGACAAATAAACAAACAAGCAAACAAACAAGCAAGCCAATAACTGAAATATGCACGGAATTCTGAATTTAAGCAAGTTATAATAATACTCATTCAATTAATGAACTTATTAGCTTTCTAATTGAGCATGTCTCGTCAGAATCTGCATTTACAAATAATTTCTACAAATATTTTAGAATAACAAACTGTAAAAGTTGCATTTTTGTGCAGTATGTTTTTGTTTTACAGTATTGCTGCACCTTCTATCTCTGAGTAATGTAAAATGTAAATGCACTTATTAATGAAAGGATTTATTAATCCTTGATTTTTATTGCATATAATATTTGCACATACAATTTTATATTATTATGAATATATTATTATTAACAACAACAAGTAATAATACAAAGTAATTGTAGTAATAACAAACGAATAGTAATTGTAGTAGTAGTAGTAGTAGTAGCAGTAGTAATAATAATAATAATAATAATAATAATAATAATAACAACAACAACAACAATAACAATAATAGTTTCCTCTGGGTGCTCCAGTTTCCCTCACAGTCCAAAGACATGCGCTATAGGTGAGCTGGGTAAGCTAAATTGTCCGTAGTGTATGTGTGTAAGTGAGTGTGTATGGATGTTTTCCCCTGATGATGATAATAATAATAATAGCATATAATTATAATAGTAATAATAATATTAATAATAATAATAATAATTAATACTAATAATAACATAATAATAATAATAATAATAATAATAAATAATAATATAATAGTAATGATAATATTAATAATAATAATTATTATTATTATTACTAATAATAACATAATAATAATATAAATAATAATAATAAATAATAATAAATATTTATGGTGTAACATTAACTAAGGTATTAGTACAAAGTAATATTAGTAATAACGAAGTTATAGTAATTGTAGTAATAATAATAATAACATAACAAAATAAATAAAAATAGTAATAGTAGTAATAATAGTAATAATATTAATCATCATTATCATTATCCTCATAATAATCATAATAAATATCTATGGTATAACAATAACTAAGGTATGTTAGCTATATTTTAACAAAAATTTTTCAAATAGCCATTAAGTTACCTAATGAATGCCCATGTATATATTACTGTTATCATATGCAATAAAGCCCTAATTTGGATTTGGATTTCCTTCAGCAGATGGAGTCACAATTAAATTAATAAAGATCTGATTTTTATGTGCAGTTTGCTAAGGAGATTATTTTTTTTATCTCACAGATGCACGCTGCACCCCAATGACTCTCTGGCCATGGAGGGGCCACTGTCCCGAGTGAAGTCCTTGAAGAAGTCCCTGCGCCAGTCCTTCAGGAGGATCCGCAAGAGCAGAGTCTCAGGAAAGAAGCGCGTCGTGGTCAACAGTCCCACCAGTAAAGTGAGAGTCTGCAAATCTCCTATTAATTTCTCACTGTCTCGCAAGTTTATGAGCTAGGGAATGAGCCTGTCGATGTGTTGATTTTATTTAGTTTACGCCTGCTGTTTTTGCTCAGGTGCAAGAGGCGAACGCTCATTTGGCAGATCACGATGCTGAAGTGACACCTGTGCAGAGGAGGATTGAGCCCCGTTCAGCGGATGACTCTCTGTCGGGAGTGGTGCGATGCCTCTGTTTCGCTGACACCTTCCTTAGAGACGGTGAGAGATGGGGATTAGAAACACAACACAGTCTGCTAGCTGGTAACTTAAAAAAAGGAATGAAAAAAAAAGCAATATCAATAATTACCAACCTCAAGATCTCTGACCCTCACTTTGACAGGCCGGCCTCCCAACAACAAACTGACAAAAAAAGAAAGCAAATATTACTTTTCTAACTTAAAAGTTTTAATTTAACTTTTCTTCACTATGATAAATGCTCTGGTTTAATGTACTTTTTAAAATGTGTAGACGTGTACAGCCCAAAAAAATGCATAAAACACAGCACATTATGTGTAGTGCCATAACTGAAGAAAAATGATACTGACTTTATACTTCTGGAGGTGTTGTATAAGGACATATGCGCATTTTATAAATGTACTGTATGACATTTTTACTACAACTAACAATAGTAAATAATAACAATATTATTGACAACAACAACAAACATTATAACATAATAATAATAATAATTATTCAGTCAGCTGTGCGTTTGTCCCATATTTTGCAGCATCAATTTATAATGCTACCCGAAGAAACCCTGTTACACATTTAAAGAGATAATATACCCAAAATTGAAGATTGTTATAATTTTCTCATCTTCCACCTATTCCAAACCTGCAGTGCTGACCAGTAGGGACCCTAGGCATAAAAAAAAACAAATTTGGCCTACTGGTGTAAAAAAAACAGTCAGAAGAAATTACAAAGAATAATACAAATAAAAATGCAATTTTAATATTTAAGTGTATAAAAAAAATACATATATATATATATATATATATATATATATATATATATATATATATATATATATATATATATATATATATATGTATATATATATGTATTTGTGTGCTTAATGTTAATGTTAAACAACAAAATATCTTTTGTGTAAACAGAAGTTTACAACCACTTGAGTGTAAGTAAATGGTGATAATTTACATTTTTGAGTGAACTATCCCATTAAGTCTGTGTGATGGATGTAAGCACACAGTTAGTCTTTGGCATCTGCGAGATTGTGCCTTGATTTGATTATTTATTATATAACATTCAGAAACACTTAACCATTGCCTTGGCCAAAAAATTCCGCTTCCCATCCTTGATGGAAATTTTATGTTATTTGGTCTTATAGCAGCTGGGCCCAAAATGAAATATTTTGCGGGCTTAGAATTGTTTTAAATGAATTTCAGGTATTGTGCGAGTTTTAAGGCAATAAATCAAAATAATCCATTACTGTCAATCTAATTATATGTGATGATGTAATAAGAAGTGCATATTTTTATTTCATTTTTTTTGTCTGTCCTGTGTGAAATTTGTTGGTATTCTGGATATAGTGTGTTTGTTGTTGAAGTGATTTATGCTGTCACTTTTTATTATGATGTCTGGTTCACAAGCGTAAATCAGTCCAGTTTCTCTCATTTTCAGAAATATGAGCTCATAACTCAAACAGACTGTTGCACAATAATGATCAGAACTGTGCTTTGGGAGAGCTGCATTTTCCACGAGGGAGTTCTGGACAAAGTAGTATTGTTTATTAGTGTGATACTTTAAAAGTGATTTACAGCGGTGGAGGGAATTACTGCATTTGTCCTGTGCAGTTATGGGTGTGAGTGTTTTATTTTATTGGAACATTATGATAGGTCAAGTCGGGTTACGATTGTCTGAAACAGCTGTGCTGACTCAGTGGGGAAAACTAAAAAGAATGTGTTCATACAAAACTGATTGAAAATATCTTTAGGCCAATGAATCTGGTCATTAGGAATGCGCTGTGCGCACATATATTCAAAACTTCAGTTCTGGGTGGATACATGAAACACTTGAAGATTAATATTACTTTCGGGTATAAAAGTTCAACAAGAATAACATTTATATTTGACTAAAATATGAATATTTAAAGAATAATAAAGTCTGCATGAAATCAAAATTTACATTTTTTTCCAGAGCACATTGTTATTCTTTATGTAAATGGTCAAATGTTTAGGTAGTCTTTAATCAAAGTCTGACAATTTGCTTCCGCGTTGGAGTGGCAGTCCATCTGTGTCGACGTCAATTTGACAGCTTCAGCCACAATATTCTTAGCGACGCCCTTCCTACCATTAGTTTTTTATAAGGGAATGATGTGCAAGAAAGCCCCGCCCCCTACTTTATATTCATCTTCAATTGGAAGTACATCAACATACTGAAATAAGATTTAACACAGAATTTATGCTAAAAATGTTTACATCACAGCATGCTGATATTTATAGCATACATGAAATAATTCATGTTCGCTGTTGTTAGAATGTATTTGAAGCATGTAATTAGGACTTTTATTTGATCATAAATAAAATAAAACAAGTGAATTATTAGTACAAATATTATTCAAAATATTATTATAAATACTATTATCATTTAAAATGCAGTGGATTTTTTTTAATGTCAAATTTTACTTTTATTTATTTTCAAATGTAAAATGTTTTTGTTTGATGGCAAGGCTGATTTTTTTCAGCAGCTATTTCTTGAGTTGAGCTACGTGATGATATTAATGTGGATTATTAAAAAATAACTAATTTCAAGTTATTTGTTCAATACTTTTATGTAAAAAGATTTTAAGGTCACAAATGATTTGTCACTTTTAATCAATAAATGTATGTTTGGTAGTATGTTAGTTTCTTATTAACAATAGTAAAGTCTGACTGAACCTTAAATGAGTGGTCTTCGTAGTTGTTGCTTATTCTGTTTAACTTGCTCTGCCCTTTTATTTGTACAAGTACTATTAACAATTCATCATTCAATCAATGGTCTTCTAATGAAAACAATGCAAAATATAGTTGGCCAGTCTTCACACAGGGATTTACACAATGATCTCATTGCTGTGATGCAGCTATATATATATATATATATATATATATATATATATATATATATATATATATATATATATATATATATATATATATATATATATATATATATATATATATATATATATGTGTGTGTGTGTATATATATATATATGTCTCTCTCTTTTTCTCTCTGTCTCTCTCTCTCTCTATGCTAAATACTATAGGGCACCTGCTTGACAGCAATATTGTTTTATTTTTATTTTTTTCACAGGAACACATCATGGTCCTACAATGTGGGCCGGCACAAACTCTGGTTCAGTGTACGCTTACGCTCTGGACGTCCCGTCACAGGAGAAGTTCTCTGAGCAGAGTGTGGAGGCCCTGCTGGGGAAGGAGATCCAGCTGATGCACAGAGCTCCAGTGGTGTCCATCGCTGTGCTGGACGGCCGAGGAAACCCGCTGCCAGAGCCTTATGAAGTGTCCAGAGATCTGGCCAAAGCCCCCGACATGCAGGGAAGCCACTCGGTTCTTATCGCTTCTGAGGAGCAGTTTAAGGTTGGGATATTCACAACTAGAGTCCAGTTTATGCCTAGTATTAACTTCAGATGTCTTTTTCTGATCACATCTGGAGGGCACTAAATGCACAGGGTTCCCACACTTTTTGAAAGTACTTGAATTTCAGACATTGATCTAAAGCCTGGAAAAGACAAACAGGTCTTTGAAAGTGCTTGAAATTAATTTGAAATGAAATTTGTTTATGGTGTTATTTTTGCACTTGTGCTGTGCTGCGGTCAAAAACAGAACAAAAAAAAAGTAAATTCTTAATTTAAAAATGTTACATTTAAATCTTGTACAAGAACTATGATAAATAATGCACATTTTATCAATATTTGAGAAGCTACTTTTGAATCTTACCAGTATTGAAATGAACACATTTTACTAAAGTCCTCTGAACATGACTGCCATTTTCAAAACTTTTGACTGTATTAAACATTCAAAACATCATCATGACATCATGATATTTTAATGTAAATATTAAGTGTAAGTAAAAGGTTAAGTACATTAAGGACTTTCAATCTGCTTTTCATGAAAGTGGGAACCCTGATATACAGCTTTTTTGTTAAGTGTCCTTTCATGTTGTTTGTTGGGATTTATTTGTAAATTTCTATTTTAAAAGGTCTACATGTTGACACACAAACCTCATAAGATTATCACTGGGAATCTTTCGATTTATTATGCATTTGTGTTGTTTATGCTTGCACATTTTCTAGTGTCTGTGGTTCTGAATCATGACAGAGAAAGTTTATTGTTGGGACTGCTCCATCTTCATTTTCAGTCTGTCTTCAAATCCAGCATTGAATTGTGCCTTGTTTATAAAAAAAATTGTCACTGAAATGTCAGAAATAAACATCTTGCACAACTTCATTGCTGCCCCAGAAAAACAAACTGCATCCACTGTTTTCTAAATACAGTTTTTAGGGAAGATAAACAAGGCCTTCTTTGGTGACATTGTTTTTGTGGTCTATAAAAGAATGTAAATTTCATATTGAACAAGTGCTGATGATCAATCCTGTTTTTTATAACATTATACAGGGCAGTTCACTGTATGGAAAAAGCAAACTTACACTGTGTTTTGGCAAAACTAGGGGCTGAACGGCTTTCGATTTTTTGAAGTAGACTGTTTTGTTATTAAAGTCAAGATGACTGCATTTATTTGCAGGAAGAACATGCTGTTTGACAGCTCATAACACTCATAACAAAAACAATGCAACATACCAATTACTGATTTTAGTGCAAAACAAATGCATTCTTAAGCTTGTCATTTCATTAATAACTCAACACTAGCATCTGCTCAATGGTAATTGCATGGAGTGGTCTAACTGGCTGACACCCGTTTGACGATTTAGAGTTCACTCAAAGTTCATGCGAGTCACTGACGTTGACTTAAGAAAAATAACATTGAAATTAATTTCAATTATCTGAGGGCAGTTTCATTCGGTGAACCACTTTGCTGTTTAAAGCTGCTATGTAGTTTAGGTCAAAAGCCACACAATCTGCAAAGAGTGAGTGTCATGGCAGATCATTAAAGTTGACTGTTCTGTCCTGTCCCCAGTTGATTATGATTGACATTTTTTTGTTGCCAACCCCATGCTTTATGGTCACTTTCCTGTTTACCTAAAAGACACATGACATGGGTTTGTATATTCAGAAGCATTCATATGTTGCATTGAGCTTTCCTATGAAATTGCTCAAATTTGAACTCTAATTTAAATGTGTTTCAACAAGGTGGAAGCAGTAAAGTGTCTCTGCTGACCACTGATCTCTGAAAATGAATGTTAAAGGGATAGAGTATGGGTGGAATGGGATTCTTCAAGGCGAAGATAATTAAAGTAAGAAACTCTGGTTATTTATTGTGAGTTGGGAATCATTTGATTGGTAAATCAAGCATTAGTTATTGCTGGACCAGCTGTGATCAATCATAATCAGATGCTCCTCTTGAAATTAGTTTATAAATAAACTTCACTTAATACTAGATGGAATCTGTGAACCATGAACTGATTTATTAAAAAACTGGAATAGATATGAAAAATCTGCTTTTATCTTCTTCTAGAGTAAAAACCTCTTCCTTGTTGTGTAGGTTTTCATGCTGCCAAAAGTAAGTGCGAAGACCAAGTTCAAGCTGACAGCTCATGAGGGCTGTCGGGTGCGTAAGGTGGCACTGGCGAACTTCACCAGCGTGAGCTCTGAAGATTACTCTGAGAATGCTCTGGTGTGCCTTACCAACATGGGCGACATCCACATGTTCAGTGTGCCGGCTCTCAGACCGCAAGTGCGTTATGACTGCGTCCGCAAGGAAGACATCAGTGGCATCGCTTCTTGTGTTTTCACCAAGACTGGACAAGGTTTGGATTTCATTCATTCATTCTGAAATCACTTCCATCTCTGAGCTTTGAATGAGAATGTGAATGAGAGTTTACTGTGTTGGCTTCAGGATTCTACTTGATTTCTCCATCGGAGTATGAGCGATTCTCTCTGTCGGCTCGTGTGATCACAGAGCCGCTGTGTGGAGTGGATGTAGAGCGACCTCACGATGTCTCTGCGCACAGGTAAACCCAAATGTTTTTATTAATATTCATAGTTACTGTCCACATCTAATTTTAGACACTTTTAACCAAAGTATTTTTTACGTTACGAGTGTATTTCATTACATATTTAAAAGATCTCTACCTAAGGATTTTTATTTAAGGAAACTTTTCATTCATTTTTCTTTGACTTCCGCCACAGCAGAATAAACCACCAAACTATTCTGGCATATATTATACACAGTGAAAATACACTGTCGCGACCCCAAATATCTAGGACTGAGGTTGAATATGCACTCACGCCTAACAACACAAATAAGGAAGCTTTTACTTGATTACATTCCCAGTTTGTATTTCTTTGTTGATGTCAGTTTTACAGCTTCAGCCACAATATTCTTAACCATGCCCCTCTTACCGTTAGTTTGCTATGACCGAATGATGGGCAAAAAGAAAGCCTCACCCCCTACTCAATATTCAGTTTCAATTGAAAATGCATCAACATAATGGGATGTTGCAGCAACTTCCAGTTCACAAGGGCTTAAATTATCTTTAATACAATACAATACAATACAGTACAATATTTATTTAATAAGCACATTTAAAAACAACCAAAGTTGACCAATGTGCTGTACGTAGGAGTACTAAAGGCAGAGAAGAAAGCAGAATATAAAAGAAACCTTTAACAAATAAAGCTGCAAGCAGCAATGAAAGGGACCTCGCACCTAGGCCCACCGCCGCTCAGTGGTGTAAGGATGACAGAGAACAGTAAACAATAATAATTTAAGCTGGTAAATTAAAAAATATAAATAAAATAAATAAAAATGATAAAATCACTGATGTATGCCAAACTTCCTTCTGTTAGCAGGTGGCGCAATAACTGTCTCAATATTGGCATGTAGATGTCTTTATGAGAAGAATCTCATCAAACATGTGAATTTTCAAACAGATCAGACATTGTGTGGCTGCGTTATAAGTAATTTCCTGTTGCCAGCAGGTGGCGTTTTAACTGTAACTGGATATTGGCTTGTAAACATGTTCAGGTCAGGACTTTTATCAAATATGTGGATTTTTAGGCAGGTTAAACAATGCATGTCTGAGTAATAACATCTTTCTGTTTCTTAGTGAAACATCAAGGTTTGTGAGGCCGCCACGGACACATCCTTTAATGAAAACTCCAGATCTTAGCAATTTAACATGGACAAGGCCTTTAGATGACAATACTTAATTTTGGTGTTGATCTGATAAAATCCCTAGGAGGAGTTTATTAATATACAACCCCTTGAAAATGGAAAAAACAGCACTTTTTTGGTGCAGGAAGTTAAAAATATCCGACTTCCTGTTTGATTTGAGATTTAGCACCAGGAGGCTTTTTTTGTAAGTACTGGCATGTTTGACGTGTGACAATTTTCGTACGTGTGCGTTTAACATAACTCGGGGGCTACTCTGTCAAATGTGCATAGGTGGCGCTGTCAAGCCATTTTGCCATGCCAACTTCCGAAACCTATAACAAACATAAATTTTCGCCACTTTTGGTGCGTGTGCAAAGTTTCGTGAGCTTGAGCAAGTTTAGGGCCTCAAAACTGTGATTCATTCTAGTGAAGAAGAAACAAAGCAATTACAATAGGGCTTACGCATCGTTCCAGTGCTCAGTCTCTAATAAAAGCAATAAAACAGTGATCAAGGAGTATTAAAAGTGAGAAATATAGAAAGAAAATAGATACTGTAGGTCTTTAAACAGACTTAAACACAGAAATGGAGGGGAAATTCTAATGGAGATTGGTAGTGTGTTCCAGAGTTTAGGAAAACGTTCACCTCGTTTTTTTAAGGCATGTTCCAGGATCTTAAGATCTCAATGATACGGACAGAGCAAGTTAGTAAGGTACTGAGGAGCAAGATTATTGACGGCTTTGTAAACAAATAATAAAAATTTCAAATCTATTTCAGCTGCAGTTCACTGGTTACCCATTAAATACAGAATTGGAGTTATCGACTCGTACTTGCGGGTGCCAGAGAGTAGTCTAACAGCTGCATTTTGTACCAGCTGTAGACGAGAGAGAGAGAAGACTGAGAAATACCATAATAGAAAGAGTTACAGTAATCGAGATAAGTTGTTTTAAAGGCATAAACCACTGTTTGAAAATTTCTCTGGGATAAAAATGACTTGACTTTAGACAGCTGTCTGAGGTGGTAAACACGGGATTTTACTACAGTACTGATCAGTTTGTCAAATTTTAAGTTTTCATCAAACAAAACGCCAAGATTTCTTGCACGCAGTGTAATATCCCAAAGATCCCACGTTGATGTTTAACAGAGAATTTTCTTTGTGCCCAACTAGTACTTCAATGCGATTTCCCAGAATTTTTTTTAATTTCACGTACACATTTAAAACAGAACTCCACCTATCTATATTAAATGTATAAAATCAGTATGATGTGAAATATTATGTAAAAATATATATTATGTATTTGACCCAAATTTGTGTTGCATTTGTTTTTGTTTTTTTCGAGTTTAGTATCACGTTTTTAATCAAACAAATGCTGGTGTGGGAACCATAAAATACTCTTTCAAATCATTTCAAAATGGCAAAAACTTGCTGCTTGAGTTACAGATCAGTGATTTTGATGGATGAGCATGCTGAAGAAATGAATCATGTCTTAGAATAATACTTCTGCATTTTCAGCACATTTTTATTTTTTATTTTTAAGCAGTTCCAGCACGACGCTTCCACCGCAGGCTAATGGAACACACAAGTCACAAGCAGAGAGCAAGTCTGCTGAAACTGAAGGTAACGGTTCAGCACTACAGTCTCCACTGATGGAAAATAACTGTCATTCAACACCCAAACTAGCTGAAATCACCAGAGTTTGTGCGGTTCTGTTTTACTGGAATTTGGAAGTTTTATGGCCGAAGTCTAATTTATGTACCGCAGTTAATTTTTCCATTAACAATGATCTCACTTCTTTTTTGATGATAAAGATCACACTGTCAGAACACAGTGTAATTCATGCAGTTGTATGAGGTCATTGCTTAAGCTGAGAAAACAAAAATAATTCTTGAAAGATACTACTTTTGACACTTATACCAGGGCTTAAAACAAACCAAAGAAAACTGGCTCAAGTGATCCAGGGTTATCTTGCTTTGTTTTGTACTGTTTATAATTTACCTGTGGTTAACAATTAAAAATATGTTTTCTGTTCTGAGGTCTGTTGTGCAAAGCTGTTTTGGTTGGTTTGTGTTTGTTTTTCACCTTTAATTGATAGAACAGTAGGAAAGTGTGGAGAGCAGAGAGAAGGGAAGGATTGGCATAGGACCTGGAGGGGTAAAGTCTAGATCTAGGCGGCCGACTGGAAGTGCGATATGCACATTAATATAGCAGCATTTTTTATGACCCTGTATAACAATAATTCATATTTTTACTGTACTGTGAAGGTTGGGTTTAGGGTTAGGGTGGGGTAGACGTTAAAAATATAATTTATTGGGTAATTTAATAGATAGCATATATAATACTTGGTACAACTACTGTTTTTACGTTACTGTGACGGTTGGAGTGGGGGTAGACGATAATAAAGTACAATAAATCGGAATTTTTATAAATAATGTAAATAAATCTCATTAAATTCCGGCTGCATCCATATCCGATCTAGCAACAACCACCTCGAGGTAGGAATCAAATTTGGGTTGCTGAGTGCACCGGAGTGCCGTGTCGACACACTAACCACTACACCATAGGCGCTGACTTTGCTGTTGTTTTATATTAATTATTAAATATTGCTGGCTGCAACAAGTTTTTTAAAAGTTACATTTTTATAAAAGGAATCTCTTATTCTTCAGTTCAGTTCAAGTGTTTTTTTTTGTCTCTAGCTGTCCAGTGCATGTAGATAAAAACTGTAATTGGCTGTAGTTTGCTAAGCATGGACTGTAACACTTAGGGCTTTATTTTGACGATCCATGCGCAAAGAGCAAACGCAATAAGGGCGTGTCAGAATACACTTTTGCTAATATAAGGATGGAAAAATCCAATTTGCGCTGTGGTGCATGGTCTAAAAGGGTTGAGCTTATTTTCTTAATGAGTTATAGGTGTTTTTTTGAGAAACCAATCAGAGTCTCATCTCCCATTCCCTTTAAGAGTCAGTTGTGTCGTGCTAATGCTCATTTTATATTTATATGACGACCTTTGTAAGTGGAAAAACTGAGCGTTTCACTAGCAAGAAAAATGTTAAATGGAGCATCTGCAGCGTGATAATGAGAGATAAAGCCTCTCATTATCTACTTTTACATTCGCTCTCGTGGATAGGGAAACCTTGTACGCACAGGCATATATTATAAATATATAAATAAATATAAAAAATAAACTATAAATATTTAATTTCGTTTATTAAGCGCAAAAATTTGTTTCAAAACTATTTCTAAATTCAGTTCTAATTTCCAGCAAACTAATAAATGAACAATAATTACGAAGTGTTTAAAAAATTGAGTTATATCCAAGTACACATGCTGTGCCCCATATGGTCTAGAACCTGACAGGTGGGTAAGTCTAAGCTTGTTTTTAATAAAACAAATATAAATATGGATATAATAAATAATACTGCTTATAATAATAACATTATACAAAAGCAAATTGTCACGAATAAACTGAAAAAGTCACCGAGATGAAGAAGGCATGAAAGTATATGGTGTTTATTTTTATTTAGGCTATAAAATGATATGTTTTGTAATATTATAATCCTTTATATTTATATCGTAGATAAATATTCTTATTATATCCTATATAAATATCCTCAATATTAAAATTTGTTTTAATATGTAAAGATATTTGTGTATTGCTCTATATCTTGTGTGTATTAAGTGTGTAAGCGAGGCGCACAATTAACGCGCTCTGCGCTGGACTTTAGACCGGCTTTGTTCTGGTCTATGGAACATATTGTTTCTCAAAATACCAACGTGCCAGCAAAACACCTCAACACGTCCTGTTTTTAGACCAGGACGCCTATGGGCCCACATATGAGCGGAAATGCATTTGCTATTTAAACAGCGTGGCGCAAAACGTCAAAATAACTCTTGCACCAAGCTGAAGCTAGCAAACAACAATTGTGTTGTGCTTTGCGTCGCATTGCGCTGGGTGTATGATGGGGCCCTTTGTCTTTTTCACGTTGCATTTTTAAAGAGTTCAAAACAAGATAAATTTAATTGCAAATGAACTCTTCATTGGACATTAAAAACATCATTCGTGAAAATGAAAATAAACTGCTATTTATTTTCACAAATTACAAACTGTAACTATTAGTTTGGTATGACAATATGGGATTTACAGCACAATATTGACGTTGTTTCATAAACTCGGGCAAAAAGTTGTGCTCACAAAACTCACTGCACAATTACAAGTGCAAAACATTCCTTTATTTTTAAAGGGTCAGTTCATCGAAAATAAATCAGTCTCAAGTGCTTTCAAACTACTCAAGTAGTTTCTTCTGTTAAACATAAAAGAAGATATTTCGTAGAATGTTGGGAAAAAAAACAGTGACAGGAACAAAAATATTATGGTTTCAATCATTGTTTCCATCCACCAATTTTTATGCGCCTTTTGGAATATCGCATTAAAAAATCCTAACACCAAGAACAGAAAAAAAAATGCAAACCAAGATGTGCACATATTTGGAAAATGTGCATCAAAACTGAGTAGGATCAAGTTTTTACCCAATAAGCAAAATGCGCAAAGACTATGATGCAAACACATTTACCGAATAAATTCCAGCAGGCACAATTGGTGTCATTTTTTTATGATAGATGATGTCATGACAAAAATAGGTGTAATGGGACAACATTAATGGACAAACCAGCATACCGACCACATTGTAAAACATCTGAAATGTTGTTTTAGTCATCCTTAAATTCCTTAAGCAAAGTCCTTCAACAAAGTGGTTCAGTATTATTACCTCCCAGAACTGTCTCCCATAGAAGGGTCTCAAATCGTTCTCAAAAAAGCCACAGTGCGTTCAATGTCTTTTAAAGCACTAGCAATTTATTGTGTATGAAAAAAGACCCAGTGGCATCCTCTATTGCAGCAATTTCCATTTTTCTTTTTGATATTTGGCACCAGTTACTCAGAAGGTGATAATTCTGTTCTCTTTCACTCATTGGATGGAAACGATGCTGTATTCGCTAACGTTTTATGCAATATTCTGTTTTTGCGCACAAGTTTAATTTGCATATTTGGATGGAAACATAGCCAGTGACATCCATCGTGAAAACTATAAATACAGTGGAAGTCAATGGCTGTTTTTTCCAAACATTCTTCAGAATGTATTTTATGTTCAACAGAAGAAATAAACTTCAAACAGGAGAATAGGTAAATGATGACAATTAAAATTTTGAGGTGAACTATTTATTTTTAAAAGCAGTGATTGGTTGGTTATCTATGGTTTTGCACACCTGTTAAAAGCCCTTGTGTGTTCATTCTCCAGATTTGTTGGAGGAAATGCGCAGTGTCTTGTCTTCTCCCATCCTGGATTCTCCAAACAGCAGTGCAGACATCACTCTGGACACCACTGGAGATCTGACTGTGGAGGACGTCAAAGACTTCTTAATGTGAGCGCTCTTTACTTCTCTCTACTGCTCTATTAGAGCGGAGTGTGTTTTGGGTTTTTCTCATGGCTTTGCTGCTCCAGGACTGTGGATGAAGCGGAGAATAACTTCAGGAACATAACTGAGGAGGACGGGAGATCTGCTGGAATCCTCATCAACTGAGAGGAGCTCTCGCACAGCTGGAGGTGAGCAGTATTTAGTGTTCCTCAGTGAACAGCAGACTGGAGGTTTCTTATTGGATGCTGGAGGGAGGAGTGCTGCTGACTCTGGCAGTTATTTAAAGGGACAGTTCACCCAAAAGTGAAAATTCCATCATCATTCACTCTCCCTTCATTTGATCCAATCCCTTTTTGCATTTCTTTCTTCCATTGAACACAAAAGAAGATTTTTTTTGAAGAAAGCTAGAAACCTGTACCCATAGTATTTGATTTTCCTACTATGGAAGTCAGTGGTTACAGGTTTTCAGCATACTACAAAATATCTTTTAAAACTTATGAAAATGCATTCACTAGTTGTTATAAACCTTTGCGTGTGAACTATCCCTTTTATGTGCAGATGAGTGTTAGATATTAGTTGGAAAAATGAATGATTTAGTGTGAATGGGATATTTTCAAAATCATACAGGTTTTAAACTAATACTTTTTTAACATGTAATAGTAGAGAATTATTAATTATACACTGATTATTCTTGTAACTTTTCTTGAAATAGTTAATGACATTTAAAAGGCAAAAATAATGATCTAAATTTTATACAGTACACACCTATTTTAACAGACCAATAAAACACAGACATAGACACATTTATTCATTCAAAAACAGTTACCGCTATCCAAGTAAAGCACCTAATTAAAGGTATTTGTTCGAAGGGAGAAGTTCACTTAAAAATTAAATCTCTGCTGTAGTAGTAGCAGTTGTTGTAAATGTTGTTGTAGTTGTAGAAGTTGTATAGATGTGGTTGTTGTAGTAGTAGTAGTAGTAGTTGTTGTTGTTGTAGATGTTGTGGTTGTAGTAGTAGTTGTTTTAGATGTTGTAATGGGAGTAGGAGTAGTAGCATTGTTGTGGTAGTTGTAGAAGTTGTAAATGTTGTTGTTGTAAATGTTGTAGTAGATGTAATTGTATGCTGTAGTAGTAGTAGTAGTAGTAGTATATGTTGTGGTAGTGGATGTTGTCGTTGTTGTTGTTGTGGTTGTTGTTCTTGTAGTTGTTGTAGATGTAGTAGTAAACTTAGTAGTTGTTATTGTTTTAGTTGTAGTAATAGTAATTTTTGTAAATGTTGTAGTTGTAGATGTTGTATAGATGTGATTGTAGGTGTTATTGTAGATGTTGTAGTAGTGGTTGTAGTTGTAGATGTAATGGGAGTAGGAGTAGTAGCATTGTTTTGGTAGTTGTGGTAGTAGTTTTTGTTGTAGTTGTAGATGTTGTATAGATGTGGTTGTAGTAGTTGTTGTTGTAGATGTTGTAATGGGAGTAGGAGTAGTAGCGTAGTTGTGGTAGTAGTTTTTGTTGTACTTGTTGTTATTGTATTGTTAGATGTTGTTGTAAATGTTGTTGTTGATGTAAATGTAGTTGTAGATGTTGTTGTAGTAGTATATGTTGTGGTTGTAGTTGTAGATGTTGTTGTAGTAGTAAACGTAGTAGTTGTAGATGTTGTTGTTGTTGTTGTTGTAGTAGTAGTAGTAGTTGTAGTAGTATTTGTTGTAAATGTTGTAGTTGTAGATGTTGTATAGATGTGGTTGTAGTAGTAGTAGTTGTAGTAGTATTTGTTGTAAATGTTGTAGATGTTGTATAGATGTGGTTGTAGTAGTAGTAGTTGTAGATGTTGCAATGTGAGTAGGAGTAATAGCATTGCAGATGTTGTAGTAATAGTGGTTTTTGTTTTTGTAGTAGTTGTAAATGTTGTTGTTGTTTTAGTAATTGTAGATGTTGTGGTTGTAGTAGCAGTAGTAGTAGTAGTTGTAGATGTTGTAATGGGAGTTGGAGCAGTAGCATTGCAGATGTTGTTGTAGAAGTAGTTTTTGTTGTTGTTGTTATAGTAGTAGATGTTGTAGTTGTAGATGTTGTTGTAGTTAATGTAGCGGTTGTTGTTGTAGTAGTATTTGTTGTAGATGTTGTTGTGGTAGTGGGAGTAGGAGTAGTAGCATTCAAAGTTCTGAACACAGCCAGTACTAATTAACTAATTAAAAATCACAGCACATAAACTACAACTAAAACATAAAAACAAACCCCTCAACATTCAAAAGGCTCAAATGCTTAAGGACGAAGATGCAATTTCAGAAGGTTTTAAAAAATAGTTAAGTTGGAGCATGTCTAATGTGAAGCTTATTCCAGGATTTTGGAGCGATAAAAGTGAGATCCCCTCCTCGCTTACTGGTTTTTGGTACAGGAAGTAAAGACTGGTCTGATGAACTTGATGACCTACAGGGACTGTATTAGTGTAGATCTGATAAGGAGGTGCCAGACCATTTGAGGATTTATAAACAAAACTAATGCTGTACTTTTAAAATCTAATATAATGGGGAGTAATTATTGAGTTTTATTTGAACTATCCCTTTAAGTTTTATGTTGTTTATTTGTGGTATCCCCTGTGGGGAAAAAAGCCATCTTGTGGCCATGTTTGGCAGTGCAGAAGTTTGATTTTATCATAAGATCAAATCGAGTTTTTGGGTAAATGCCTGTGATTTTTATGTAATTGCATTAGTATTTAATGAAGATGTTCATTTTTAGGAGCCGTCTGAATGCCTGAAGACTCACCAGATGAACTCATTACTTCAGATCAGATCTCTACAGAGCTCAAGAAGTCGCATCAAACAAGTTTTTACAATGGGAACGTTGCACTTTTTTTCTTCCTCCCCTGTGCCAAAAGACTGAACGAGTCAATCTGTTATCCTCTTCTCCTTCACCTTTCCTCCAGTTTTCCATTTTTCCCCCTCCCCAACACCCACAAAGGGTTCCTCTGAGGTCCCATGAAATGGTACATTTGAGAGGTGACTTTTAAAGGGATCAGGCCATAAAACAGCTGAGATGTTGCACAATGTCCATATGCAGGTAGGGGGGCTGCTTGAACTGAGCCCGTTTTTTAATATTCCTCTTTTCTCCAGTCACCTCTGCTCTCGTTAATTAGTGCAAAATCCATATCAAAATTCTTCAAAGTCTGGTTTATAGCTGCTACAGTAAATTTCATAGTATTTGAGGGCGACTGCACCAAATAGGTTCATATACATGTATGGCACAGCTATTTAAGCTTTAAACTGTTAGTTCAATCAAAAATTTTTACTCTGTCATTAGTCACTCACCCTAATGTCGTTTCAACCCAGAAGAACTTCATTGATCTTTGAAACATGAATAAAAATATTTTAGGTGAAATCTGAGAGCTCTCTCATCGTCCATAATAGCAAAAATGTCCATTGTTTTTTTCTGAAAAATACCTTAAAATCATCTTCAAAATAGACGAAATGACTTCAGTGGTTAAACTGTACTATTAGCAAGCTTTAAGAATACCTTTGTGTAAATAAAATAAAAATAACCTCTTTATTTAGCACTTTTTTTTCTCCTAGGTGTCAGTATATTGCGCATGTGTCATGCAGTCTTTCTCAACCACGTTCTTGTTGGACCACCAGCTCAGCACATTTTTCATGTCTCCTTAACCAAACACACCTGATTCAGATCATCAGCTCATTAGCAGAGATTGAAAGACCTGTAATGGGTGTGACAGACAAAGGAGACAAAACATGCAGTGTTGATGGTCCTCCAGGAACGGGGTTGAGAAACACTAGTATTTGTGGATGTGCGCCCTATACTGACACTGAAGAGAAGAAACTATTGAATAAAGTCATCATTTTGGATTTATGTGAACTCAGTTATTCTAATAGGTTGATAATGGTCCGATTGAACTACTGGCGGATCTGTTTTGAAGATATTTTGGGTATTTTTTGACCAAGTTAAGAATCTTGCTGTCTATGGATGATTAGAGAGATCTTGGATTTCACCTAAATATCTTGATTTGCGTTCTGAAGATGAACATAAGTCTCTGGTTTGGAACGGCACAAGGGTGAGTAATTAATAACAAAATGTTCCAATTTTTGAGTGAACTAACCCTTTAAGGCAAAACTCATTTAGCTCATTACCATGGGAGAAAAGTATATAGTCTTTCTGAAGTGTTTACTTTTTTCCTTATTTTTCAATAATTACTATGATACTGTGATGGTTTCTGAACACAAATCAGGAGTCTATTGAAAAGTTATGGACCCTGTGGGTTTGACAAGAGATGTTTTCCTTTCAGTCATTCGTCTTATATTATAATTATTATTATTATTTTAAAATAATGTCCCTTAACCACTTGCCATTGTAAGTAATTCTGGCATTTAACTGTGAAGTGTGTAACTTGAAGGAACACGAGAGTAATTCTAACTCGTTTTGCTTTTTGCCACAGTATTAACACATTATGAAGGAGCTAATGACTTTTTGTATTTACACAGTATTCCTTAGAATAATTTTTTATATGGCTTATAAGGGTTGGTATTTTGTATTTTAGATATCTCACTGGTATTTAGGCATTTCTAACACTGCATTTTGTGGGGCAATTACAGACAGTTGTGTAGTATTATATGAAGTCGTTACTATAGGCATTAGTGTAGCTAATAGAGAACAAATCAATATTGAAGGAATTGGACTAGTGTTGCACAGACACTATGAAAGACACAATTGGCTGCTGGAATGCAGATGTTAGTCAGCGTGCTTTTAGAAGACTTTTAACATGAAAGGATCTATTTAAATTGTAATTACAAATTAAACTGCACATAAATGCTTGGTGTCCATTCATGGTCACATTTCTCCCTGGTTTTTGTTTTGTTTGTTACATGTCAAAGGGACCTCACTAATTGTAGTTGTTTTATTATTTGTATATTTTTGCCTTGCATAACCTTGTTACTTTCCATCCAGCACCTATCCTGTGAACATGTATTTAATTTTATTTTTTTCTTGTGTAGAATTTTAATTTTGAGATATAGCAATGCTAATGAAATCTTGAATGTTAATAAAGTATTTACTCCACATTTCAGTGAGTCTTCAGTGTGGTCTTAACTCAAAGCAGAATTAAAAAACAAATGACAGTATTTTGTTTCTGCAATGAAAACATTAAGGAGCTTATTGCATTAAAGTTCTTTTGAATGTTATTCACTTAATCTCATTAAATCCATTTTTATGTATTAACTTTTATCATAATAGTGAATGATAAAAACACACCAATAAGCAGAAAGTAATACAAAATAATATTTATATTTTTAAAAATCTAATGAAAAAGGGGTGCAGGCAATTTTTACAATACTATTTTTACAAATGAGGTACCTAAAATATCTTAAAAATATTAATAATTAAAGGGCACCTATCATGAAAATCATCTTTTGTAAGCTGTTTGGACAGAACTGCTACTTTTAATGGAACTTAATTTCCTTACGTTAAAATAGGATCCGAATCCCTCCCATTTTAAGGCCCACGTGACATAGACGTGTGGTTTTCCCGCCCACCAAATTGATTGACAGCTGCATATTAACATGTCTCCATAGTAACGTGTATAATGCTATCAACAAGACAAGATGTGTGCAAAGCAATCAGGATTAAAAGATGTTCAGCTCTCTGTGATGATTAATCGCCATCAAATGTGATCAAGAATGAGTTTTACAAGTTTAAAACCTTTTTAAAACAGTGCATGTTTGTAATGAATTACAGCAATTTACTTCAGCTTTATCACCACAGTTGCATGTCAATACAATTATAAGAGATGCATCAATCCTGGTTTTTGGATGTTAAATCAGGTTTATTAGGGTGCTTTCACATCTGTAGTTCGCTTTATTTGGTCCGGACCAAGGGCAATAAATGTTACATTGTTGCATTTTTTTGCCATCTTTGGGTAGTTTTCACACCAAACTGCTGGCTTTGGTCCGAACCAGTTGAAAAAAAAAAAGCAGAAGCAAAATCTGACAAAATCCACTCATCTCATTGGCCAGATGTTGTTGAACATAGTTCTAAAACTGCTTATTGATTGGTCAGTATTCACGTGCGGGAAAATGCCATTGAACTCCCGCAAGTAAACCAGCAGACACAAAATGTAGCTCTTTACTATGGAGGGATGACTGCGCTGGCTGATTGTATCCCTGCTTTAGACAAACTATACATTTCAAGAATGAAGCGCGGCTGGAAAACAGTGTTTAATGCATTGCTCGTCACTTCAGGAGGAGGTATGAATTAATTTAACTAAACTGCGGCATGGTCATCTTGCGGAAATATTACCAACGATCCATCAGGTCATGTTTTCCCCTCTCTCTCTCTCTCTCTCTCTCTCTCTGTTGGTAAAGCTCTGTCGACAAATATTTGTTTTCCATATCCCATAATGCACAGCGCATCGGCCTTCAGCAGCTGGATTAGTCCAAAAGGCGTAGTACTTTTTGCGGTTGAACCTGTTTTAGTACGGATCATATTCTCACCACAAACAAACCGTTCCAGGGTTCATTTGAAAGCGTACTGAAACCACCTCTTCAAGCAGGTCTCGGTCCGCTTTTGGTGCGCACTCGAGTACGATTGCTGCATTCACACCTGCCCAAATGAACTGCACCAAGAGGGTAAACAAACTCTAGTCCGAACTAAATAAGGCAGTTGTCACCAAACTTGTTCCTGGAGGGCCGGTGTCCTGCAGATTTTAGCTCCAACCCTAATCAAACACACCTGAACAAGCTAATCAAGGTCTTACGAGGTATATTTGAAACATCCAGGCAGGTGTGTTGAGGCAAGTTGGAGCTAAACCCTTCAGGGACACCAGCCCTCCAGGACCGAGATTGGTGACCCCTGAAATAAGGCATGTGTGAAAGCACCCTAACATAACAGATACCCATACAGCAGCAGATATTTACGGGTATCCTGTCACATTTGCTGTGCAAAAACAGTGTGTGTGCGTGTAAAATTTGTAACGGCATCGTGAGTGACATCATCAGAAAGGCTTGAATTGTCTCCACATCAAATTCTCATTGGCAAAGTTCTTACTGTAGTATTTCTCACAAACGTTACTTGAGATCTGCTTCCTATATGTCTGTCACTGTGCTGGTTATCTGAGGCAGCTGAGGCAATGGGAACGGTGGGCTGGGAAAACCAGCATTTAAAGCAGAAAATCGAAGTACTCTAAAAGGTATAATAAATAATCTGATGGGTTTTGAGCTGAAACTTTACAGACACATTCTGGAGACACAAAAGGCTTCTCTTAAATCTTAAAAAGGAGTAAAATAGGTGCCTTTAAAAAAAAATAAAACGGCACATGGGGGATGATGGAATTAAGGTATAAAAATGCATAAACCTCTTTAAATTGAGCAAAAACACCCCACAAAGTAATGAAAATGATCATACTGCAATGTTCTGTATATCATAGTTTTAAATGTATTTTGAGAACAGAACATTTAATAGTACTACATTGGAGTTAAAAAGATTGTTCACCCAATTTACAAATGGTATCACTCTTTGGTCACCCTCAAGTTGTTCCAAATTTCAGTCATGGTTACATGTTTCCAGCTTTCTTCAGAATATCTTCTTTGACAGAATAAATGTAAGGTGAGTAAATGACAGAATTTTTGGCTGAATTATCGGGAAGGGTATAAACCAGGGTGGCCAAACTCAGTCCTGGAGGGCTAGTGTCCTGCATAGTTTAGCTCCAACTTCAATACACCTGCCTGGAGGTTTCTAGTGTACCTAGAAAGAACTTGATTAGCTGGTTTAGGTGTGTCTAATTAAGGTTGGAACTAAAATATCCAGGACACTGGCCCTCCAGGACCGAGTTTAGGCACCCCTGGTATAAACAGAGGCCAACTCTTAATGGGTAAGTTTATTCTGTTGACTATAACTCGAGATTGCTAAAAATGTTTACATTTGAGACATTTCAAATAAATATTTCTCATACGAACTGTCTGGTAAAAAAAAAAATAAAAATAAAATCAGTTTAAATAAACTGATACACTTATATAAACCTACATTTTTATTTTATTTTATGATAACATCTTTTCATAGATAAACAACCTGAATGTGTGCTTTCTCTGGAATGAGAACTCTTCAAATAAACCCCAACAACATACTGAAAATAATACTCTTTAATTAAGGACAAAGACAATCTACACAATCAAAAATATCCATCAGAAAAAAAAATGACAATGTACGGCAAATCAAAACAATGTTTTGTTGTTAGATCATTTTGAGTATTGATGGACTAATGTGTCATCTCCTCTTGTTCTTCCTCCTCCTCTTCTTCTTCCTCCTCCTCCTCCTCATCTTCATCAAAGTAACGCTCCTCTGCATCACGACTTACAATATCCAGATTATCATAATCTGGATTCTCATCCACTTCACTGCAAAACATCAATGTCAAAATATAAGATCAATTTACTGTCAATTTACCTCTTCAGTATTAGTGTTATTATATTATTAATGACCTCCTGAACTGTCAAGAGCATCTGTGCTCCGTGTCTCATGCATTCAAACGCTTCCACGCGTTCATTGCATGTCGGCATTTTCTTCTAAAGTCATTTATTAAATAAAGTAAGATTGACGCAGCTTCTCCTACCGCAGAAAATTCTGTCTTTACTGTAGATATTTGGCACTAGTTGATCAGGAAGTGACGATTTTGTTCTCTTTGATTCGTTGGATGGAAACGCTGCTTTTTTTGCACGTCTTTTTTGCTATGTTCCAGTTTTGCAGGGATAAATAAATTAAATATATATATTTAATTAGCATCTTTGGATGGAAACATAGCTATTTACAATCTTTAATCAAGAGCCCTGGTAAACGAACCTGGGCACATGTATGACTGTGGTCCATGATACAAATAACACACACACACACACTATTAATACGACCTCAGTGTTTCATCAGCAGTCAATGTATCAATGTTTTGCCTGTATGTTTTTGTCTCAAAGTAGCAGAAGCCATTGATTTGCCTGGTGAGTTCAATCAAAAATCATCAAAGTCCGAGTGAAAACAAAATGTACAATATTTATTTTGCTAGTGCATATTGTTATTCATTAAGGTGAGAAAGTGATCCCAATCTTAAGCTAATCCTCTGAAAATAATTGTTTGTATTGGTATTCTTCAGTCAAAGTCTGACTATTTGCTTCCCTGTTTGGAGTGATGCTTCTGATTTAAAGGGCTTCAGCCAAAACATTCTTATTCCAGAGTATATACAGGAATTATAGAGTGAAATTTAATACCTTTTAAGACTCCATACATTTTAAGACCTTATAACATTTTCAATCGAAACACTGGCAAGATTAACTTACACTATATTTACGGGAATATTTTTTATATTTTTTACACTATATTTACGTAAATGTTAATGTAAGAAACTAATCCAAAACTAAAACATGACTCATATACTGAATACAAATCTATTAAATCTAGATAATTCAGCAGGTTGACGACTACAGAACTTCAGAAATAATGGTGCTGCCTTGGTTACTGCAGTAGTAGAATTTCATTGATTTTATAAGCAACACAGCATCCTGATATTCACAGATTTAATTTGGCAAACTTCAGCATACAACCATACACTGCATAATCAAAAATGATATAAAATGTAATACCTTGCAAAACAGCATTTAAGACTTTAAGGGCCTTAAATTTCTCTACATTGATTTATCAAGACCCCGCAAACACCCTGTCTCCACATCCCTCTTACCATTAGTTTGCTATGAGTGAATGATGCACAAAAAGAAAACTTCACCCCCTACTTGATATTCAAAATCAGTTTCCAGATCATGTGTACTTTAATATTCTGAAAGAAAAAAAAACTACATCTGAGATGACTAAATGGAGAGTAAATTAACTGCATATAAATCACTTTAACAGTAGTTTAATTTGAAAACCATTTCAAATTATTACATTTGAAAAAAAAAAAAATGCTCAAATAATCAGAGGCCTTGTCCACCGAGTTGTTTTTTCTTGTTGTTGTTGTCAAAGGAAGCACCATGTTAAAAAAAAAAAAAAACAGCTGCGCAGCAAGTGTAACAGTGTCCACAGCATAAAGCAAGAAAAAAAAAAAAAAAAAAAAAAAAAACTCTTTGGTATACATGCACCCTAATAGTAAAAGTAGACAATAAGCAAGTTTTACCTGTAGTTAAAGTCATCTTTGCCATCCAAGAAGCGCTGGTGCATCTGACTGAGGAACTCTTCTCTCAGCATGGCTTTCTCTTCTGCATTAGGCTCATACTCTGCCTGTCTGACTTCTTCACATTCTATAACAAACACACACAGATTAATCCATCAAATATACTGAACGAAATCTGAGTTATGACCAGAGCTGATCCTCCCTATATGCACTTTACAAAAGTTGTGTAAAGTACTAGGGGCCCCCTTTGCTCTCAGAGATGGTACAATGACTAGGGGTGTGCGTGAGTTTTATGTATCATTTTTATTAAGCTTCCAGCGATTAGAGGAATGGCCACATTAAGTTGCTTTCCTTTAAAACCAAAGTCATCCTTTCTGTGTGATCTCCAAATCAGTCAGTTGAATTAACATCCATGACTGTGGGATGTGATCCATAATGATAAATAAAATATGATGTTTCCTGAATAACTTGAGTATAGGTGTGTTTAAGTTAACTCGTATGTACTGTCAGGATGTTTTCATCAACTCTGGGGTGATTTTGAGTCTTAGTTAGCCATAACTGTTTCTGTGTTCCAGCTAGAAGAATGATTTTTGGTGATAAATCTTATTTTGACACATGTTTTGAGAAAATGCTTTGAAAAAAAATAAAAAATAAAAAATCAACGATACACTCTGGGAAAATTCACTAACTTTTTATTATGCTAAAGATGAAAACATCTACTGAACTGAACTCATATAAAAATACATCAGATACAGTAAATATGTTTTTCAATTCTTTTTGCATAAATCTGTCAAACAACCTCAGTCCTGACCAAAACAACTAAAAATACCCCACACAAAATCATGTATTTTCAATATAAAAAGTAATGGTGGACTGCATTTTTTTACCTTTTATCAAAGTCTTGGGCATATGAAACAACATTGCTTTTGATGCATTGTTTTTTTTATCAATTTAAATTTTGTCTCTCTCCATAATTTACTGTTGGTGGCTGTTTTGACTTCTATTATAATCACATTTCTTGATTACAAAATCATGACATCATATAATCATGCATTTTTGATTGTTGGTGGTTTTCCCTCTTGGGAAGAGGTAAAATTTGTAATTTTTCTTGTTGATCATCAGTTGGCACCGTTAAATTTTTAGATAGGCCTGTGCATAAAAAAAGCTTAGTTTCTGGATTTTATATGAAGTATAACAACAAATTAAAATGTGTGTATGTGTATCTGAGTGTTTTAGAGATACCTTTGCGCACTGAAGTTGATGTGTCTGAGAAAATCTATATATGCATCTCAGCTCTCAGAACTACATGGGGTAAATAAAAACAAAGACTGCGTATTTATGCACTATCAAACGTGGTTATAATGAAAGACAATGGAGAAAAAACAGCCACCGATAGTGAATCTGGGAGAAAAATAAAAATCTAACAATGCATCAAAGCCAATGTTGTTACTAATTGTTCACATGTCCAAGACTGTAATAAAAGGAAAAAAATCCAGTCCACAACTACTTTTTATGTTGAAAACATGTAATTTTGTGTCACATCATTTGTGAATTTGGCAATTAAAGAGTTTAATATCCTGTCATTTTCTAAACAATTTAGTAGTTTTGATCAGGACTGAGGTTGATTGACAGATTTATGCAAAAAACGTGAAGAAATGTTTTATCTGATGCATTTTTTACTGAAGTTTAATTTAGTGGATGTTTTCATCTCTAACATAAAAAGGGTAGTACATTTGAACAGTGCACAAGACTGCACAAAATACTACAAACAAATAAGTGAAGCAACGAAATTAATCGTTCACTGCTCTTTACAAAACTGTAGTATAAGAATAAAAAGAATCAATGTATATTTAATTTGTACTGTTCAGAAAATGTTTAATGAGATGTGATTGCTTGATTTACTTTCAATAGACTTCATTGTTAATAAAGAAAACGGAAAAGATTTGAAAGATACTCAGATATTTTTTCTATTTTATTTATTTATCTGATAAAACAAAATGTACTTTCTTTTTAAAATCATATTCCTGATTATTTCAACTCTTAAAATAAGAGGGGGTTTTATTAATGCAAGGGCGGGGTGCCCTCACAAAGTTTTTCTTAGGGTTGGTTATGACAGATTTAGACAGAATCAGACCTTCGTCCTCAGATTCCTCCAGTGCACACTGCTCTTTCTCCTGCTCCTGCTCCAGTCGGCTCTGGATGAGTTTCTCCTGGTAGGAGTCGATAAGGAGGTCAGCGAGTCCTCCTGTACCGCTCCTCATGACCTCCTCTGAGCGCTGCAGGATCTCTTCTTCGCTAAGGTACTGACCGATGTACTGCTCGTACAGCAGCGGGTCTCGTACACGCATCTGCTCCTCGCTGAAGTACTGGCCATCTGAGGAGAGACAACACTGATCAAGAAAATTATAAAAACCTTGATCTGACTGTCTGTACAAAATCTGATTATCTGTTTATTCAGATGTTGAGCTTGTATGCACATGTCAAAAAAGCAACAAGGTATGCAATTCTCAAGCATGATAACATCTTATTACACTGTAAAAACTGCTGGAATCCACACAATCTTTTTGTGTTGTCCCGATGTAAACTGATTAAGCTAACTTAATCAGTTAGGTTGATTGAACAAAAAAGTTGTCCCCAAGAAACACTAAAGAATTGTGTTGTTTCAGCTCATTTTAAATAATTAATTTTAACAATCTGCAAAAATATTTTTTGAGTGTACATTGGATATCTTTATTCCACGCTGCTGTCTCACAGTGCTAGGCATGATCAGATTCCACTAGGATACTGGGACTGGCACAATCAGAGAATTATGATTTGAAACACATATGAAAGTAGATTCAAATGTATTTGCAAAAATCTGTTTACAAATGTGTTTGTTTTCTTGCTGTTCACACTTAATGTGTCAGAAACTTATATGGCCACATATATGTCAGAAATATATATGTCCACATATATGCCAGAAACCTATTTGTCCACACAAATGCCAAAAAAACATATACATCCCATATATGCCAGAAACATATGTCCCATTACATTAATAGGTTCTAATATGCAATAAATCTATTAAATTAAAGTAACTACATTTAAAGTACATTAAACGAAAAAAAAATTATATTTGCATCTATGTAAATAAAAAAATATACATGTTAAAATTAGGACTGCACAATATTGGAAAAATGTAACATTGCAATATTTTTTTTTATTCTGCAACATATATTGCGATATGAATACAATTTCACCAGATTACTTAATATCGCAATTTGGAAACAATTTATAATGTTGAATTAAGTTGTTTGTGCAGTGGAAGTGCATCTCCATACAATCTAATAAACTTTCTTTAAATATAGAAGATACAATTGTATCTTTAAAGAAAAAGATACAATTGACATAAACAGTGTTTTATAATTTCTCAAGTCTAACAGCATTCAGGTATAGTAATTCGGTAATAAAAATAAAAAGAATTCAATAAAATTACTCGTTATTAAAGTCACAAATGGTACACTTTCTGATGCATGAATGTTTTTAAAATCATTACAGCTCTTTCACGCCTTCAACGTTTCCCATTCACTTTGAATGGGTGATGTCAAGCATTGACGAACTGAAATGTGAGTCCGTCTGTGGCGTTGCTTGCAGCAAAAGTATGGCCTGTTTTTTTCAATTTTTCAAGCATCAACAGAAGAGTAAGCCAATCTGATCGCTGTATGCAAATACACCAGCTCAAACAGTAGCTGACTGCTGACTAATTTCATTAGCTGACTCTGCTATGACGATTGCGTCAGCCCCAACTTCAAACATGTGCTCTGTCAGTTATTGACATTAAAGGTCCGTGTGAATCGCGCATTGCAACACATGCAACTAAGAAATAAAATACAAACTTTAAATTTGTGCCGCCTTAGTTAAAATATATTTTAAATTGTAATTAGAATTTACAAAACTATTGTTTTTACAACAAGGATGATGATTAATTATTTTTTTTAAATATGCTCCAATTTTTCAACTCAATGTATTTACAATTATAATGCGTACAATGAAATGTATAGCATGCAATTCTATATTCACGTAATTGTGTACATTTTGTGCCAGCCAATATTTTTTAAACCCACAAGGGAGCTTAATTTAATAAAGCTTTCAGCTACATTTATTAAAACTTTTATAGCATACAGTATTAAAACAAAAAAGACAAATAAATACAAAATTAAGATACAAATAAGCTGTGTTATTATTGGGTAGGTCTAAAAACTTGGAAGCTGGTCTATATGTAAATAACTGAGATCATTTACAAATAAAAGTCTTTTTAAAAGTACAAGCGCCTCCCATTTTAACTACAGCTTTTTCAGACTTTCAAAACACCTTTTCAATTTATCTGAAAACCATTTCAGACTGAAATTCAAGCGACTGTTTTAAAAATAGCAGCCTGTGCTTACCTTTCTGAAGAGCCCGTAGAGCGGCATACCGGTGATTCCGAACTCTTCTTCGGTCAGCTGATCCAGATGCCCGTCTCTGAATCTCCTTACAGTAATACTGCACCCTGCAGTCGCTGCTCAGGTGTGAAAAAGCGTCTATGTGCTCTGGCTTCAGATGAGCCTGATAGCGCTCCAAAAAGACTAAAGGCCTGGATCTGTACTGATCCATTAAAACCTCCCTCTTCTCCTCCAGAGTTAAGTCCGGATCCCCCAGCTGCTGACTTTTCACTGGACTCCCACTGGCGGCTATAGTCTCTATCATTGCGCTGAGACTAATGGGCGGCTCATCCTGAGAAAAAACAAGCAAACTATTAAAAAAAAAAAAACATCTAAATGTTGAGAAATTTGCCTTTGAAGATGTTTAAATTAGGTCTTTAGGAATGCATTTTACTAATAAAAAGTTAATTTTATTAGAAAGTTGGATAAAAATCTTTATGAAACATGATCTCCAATACTAACATTTTTCCTCAGCCGCTTTGGTAAATTTCTTGGATCAGAATTGAAATATGGAAAACAGTAAGTGCATTTCTCAAAACAACATGGGTAAAGCAAAACACCATGGATTATCTACAAAAGCCAGTCTGTTGCTCAAAATCCTTCGTTCATCTCTCAAAACTACATGTCTGTCAATGAATATGTCAGTCCCATCAGAATTACACGTCATTGTGTACGGATAAGACAGTCAAATTACTTAGTCATGTTGTCAATATAGCAGTGTACTCTAGAGGGGAGTTCTGAGGTAAACTAAGGCTGTTTTTGTCATTGTAATACAGATAGAAAAAGGCAGCATTTCCATAAACCGATCTCTTATTATTTGACTTTGCCTATGTATACACAGATTCACTTTATAGGGCACCTTTAAAGCCTTAACAGGTAAACATTTAATTTTCATTCTTTTTAATTTATTTTTAAAAAATATTTTATTGTATTGTTTATGAGGAAATTTGTTTGTCTTTACTGCTCAGACAACTTGCACAATAGTAAAACCAACATCACAAAGAAACGTAAAGTCATGAATTAAAAACACAAAACACCTTACCTGTACATCTGAAGAGCAGCTGGGTGTGTTGTTGACCTCTCTGGCATTTGTCTCAGGAGGATGAGGAAGAGCTGGTAGACTGTCTTGAGAAGCAGGTTGACTCCAGGTAGGTGGGTCAGGTTTGGAGGTGGACTCGATTTCTCCCCACAATACTGTCTTCTGCTGTAGGACACAGACATTCAACAGGTTAGTATCACCTGGGACAAAATGGTTGATATAATAAACTAATAGCATTTTGCCATTACTTTTGGCTTTCATGGGTGAGAGAGAGAATTTAGACCTGTTTATAAAATTGATCTTCCACAGTATAAACAACAAGGCATTTATAAAGACACTACATAGATGCATACATAGATCATTGCATGAGATTTTTACGCCTCCCACCAGTGCTGATATACAACCATATAGCACTGCTACTCGTGTGATATTGCGTCTATACAACAGTTTGACCGCATAATTGTGTATATAAAAACAAAACCAAACATGGAGAGTCTCAAAAACCCTTTTGTGCGAGGAACTACTTTCTTCCGCGTTGGATTAAAATCATACGCTGACAGTTAAACAGCTGAGCAAGCATCTTTTAAACTTGAGATCTGTAGTGTCTGCTTTTAGCTGGCTGTATGTGGGCGGAGTAATACACAAAGGGTAAAGAGGCTATACGGGTGCTGATATTACTTAAATATATCACGGCTATCAGCCAATCAGATTCGAGAACCAGACAGAACTGTTTTATATATATATATATATATATATATATATATATATATATATATATATATATATATATATATATATATATATATATATACACACACACATATATATATATATATATATACATACATACATACATACATACATACATATATATATATATATATATATATATATATATATATATATTCCCGGATGAAAAAAAATCAATAAAAACAGCTCACCTGTGGATCTGGAGAGTGTGTCCGTCTCTGGTCAGTCCCGCGGCTCTTCATGCTCTCTTGCCCGTTGACACGGGGCTCGATTTCTCCCCACATTTCAGAATACAGTTTAAGTGCTAACAAGTGTTGATTTATCAGCGAAATGTGTCTCGATATTTTATGTTTATTCTGCCAATCATGCCAACGCTATTATGAAAGACCACTGAAGGTGTAACTCTGACAACAGCCTGATGTAACGTTTACTATTCACATCTATCTATCGAGTACCCAATTTGCATTATTCCTTTAAAATCGCCAGTATTTAAAACAACAACAACTGCGTTTTAGGTTCTGCTCAGCAGTGTAACAACTAATATATTCGTGCGGAACATTCTCTTCCACATTGTTGGTTCCGTTCCGTTTACATCCACGTGTATACGTTTACTATTGACCAGCAGATGGCGACAGAAAACCACAAAACCAAAACCTATTTGGAACAAGTCTGTCCTAATCACAAAATCCTTTCTCCAAATGATCAAAAATTAGCATCTTCTTTACATTTGACCACTTTCCAGCAGTGTCTGCGATTTTGACGTTGATATTTTTCACAAAACACAAGAATCATTCACTTGAATATATATATATATATATATATATATATATATATAAATAAATTATCATATTGCCCACAATTTCACATATTGAAGTATGATCTATTATGGATTTTATTCTCTATTCCTCATTTATGTTGAACTGCTTTGACAGTCTATACATTGTAAAAAAGTGCCATAGAAATAAGAATAAATTGATTTGAATTGCCTTTCAGAAGTTCTTGCATGTTTTTCAGAAGATAAAATAAGTACAAATTAAACCAGTCATCCAGTTTAAAAAGCTCATTGTGTTGACTCTATGAGTATTATTAAATTGTCTGCACTTTCATAGGAATATAATGTAAAACTGATGTTAAAATAATATTCAGAGTTGGAAAGTTATGCTTCTCTAGATTTGGCAAACAAAAGTTGTATGACAAAACATGGGGCCCCTTCCTTAGATGTATAGGTTATTAATGTTTCTGTAATATTTTTTTCTGGTAATAATTTTTTTCTTCTCTCCACTTTCTCTCCTTTTTACATTTTATTCTATTTTGTTTCTTATTCCATCAGTCTGGCTAAAATTTCTTTATTGTTTTGGTGCAGGCTCTAGTTAGTATAAGGTAATAACACTGAGACAAGTTTGTTAACATATATACATGATGTACATTATTTGGTGTTATGTTTTTACAAAAACTTCTATAAATAAAGTAAAAAAAAATAATAATAATATTCAGAAAAATGAAATAACCCACAAGTTATTTATCACCAAGAAATAACCCACAGAAATAAGAAATAACCCACAGCCATGTCACCCTGCAGCCCAAGACTGGTTACTCACAGAAGCTAAGCAGGACTGAGCCTGGTCAGTACCTGAATTGGAGACCACTAGGGAACACTAGGTTGCTGTTGGAAGTGGTGTTAGTGAGGCCAGCAGGGGGCGCTCAATCTGCGGTCCGTGTGAGTCCTAATGCCCCAGTAAAAGTGAAGGGGACACTACACTGTCAATGGGTGCCGTCTTTCGGATGAGACATTAAACTGAGGTTCTGACTCTCTGTGGTCATTAAAAATCCCATGGCACTTCTCGTGAAAGAGTAGGGGTGTAACCCTGGTGTCCTGGCCAAAGCCCCTCTATCGGCCCTTACGATCATGGGCTCCCAATTATCCCCTTCCACTGAATTGGCTCTATCACTGTCTCTCCACTCCTCCAATAGCTGGTGTGTGGTGAGCGCACTGGCGCCGTTGTCCTGTGGCAGCCGTTGCATCATCCAAGTGGATGCTGCACACTGGTGGTGGTGTGGAGAGACCCCCCTCCACTTCATGATTGTGAAGCGCTTTGGGTGTATGGTCATACACGATAAATGCGCTATATAAATACACATTACATTACATTTTTACATTAAAAGTTTTGTGGATGTCATTTTTCTTTAGAGAACCTATACTTGCCATTTGAGTGTTCCAGATTAAATGACTACACATGAGAAATCTAATTAATTAAATTAAAAAAATCCTTTTATAAAGAATGCATTTTGTAATCTGTAGTGAAATTCATTTTTAAAGTAATCTTACCAACTCTGAGTAAACAAGTAGAATACTAGTACATTAGCAATAGTTCATTCATTCATTTTCTATTCGGCTTAGTGAGTCCCTCTTATTAATCAGGTGCCGCCACACCCACGGTAATAGGGAAGAACATATGAACTCCACACAGAAATGGCAACGGACCCAGCTGAGGCTTGAACCAGCAACCTTCTTGCCATGAGGCGAAAGCATACATATACATGTATGTGTGTATGTGTGTGTGTGGGTGGTGCTTTCGCCTCATATATATATATATGCAGAGTTTATGCAGCACCAATGATGCAATCCAAGACCTGTGAATAGATGATGCCAAGGTATTCACAACCCTGGACCAGGCCGTATCCTGAGCTGATGCTGTGGCGGTCATGGAGGAGCGGAGAGCGTGAGATTGATTCCTGAAAGACCACAGTGACAGACGATTCTCTGCATTGATCCTGTGGGCCAGCATGAACATCCGCGGGTGACCTATACTCACACCTGCAGTTCTCCACTATAGACATCCAGCGTTCTCCGGCCTTCAGTGCCTAGACTGCAGCTCTACACAGGTAGTTTGGTCAGAGGAGAAATGGTTGGGCCCAACAGAACCTGGTTTCTCTCAAGGTTTTTTTTCTTCACTTCATCAGTTGGTGATGTTTTTTTCCTTTACCACTGTTGTCACTGGCTTGTTTGTTTCGAGCTGATGGAGCTGCACATCGATTGGTTTGCTCTTCCGTGTTTGGACTTTCAGCAGTGAAATTTAAACCACACGGAACTGAACTAAACAACTTCAACTCTAAAATCTGGACTTTACTAGAACTGTGTTAAGCTGCTTTGACACAATCTACATTGTAAAAAGCGCTATATACATAAACATGAATGGAATTAAATATATTGTATATTACTTCATGATACTTCTTTCAAAAAAAACAACAACTATTCATTATCTCAAACAATTCAATAATGTTCACTGGTGTTTAAATATACTTTAAAGTATACTTCTTAACTAAAAAAGTGAACATTTAGCCCCAGTAGTAGTACATTGACATTATGCATACGCTGTATGTAGTACATGGCGACGCAGTGGCGCAGTGAGTAGCACGTTCGCCTCACAGCAAGAAGGTTGATGGGTTGCTGGTTCGAACCTTGTCTCAGTTGGCATTTCTGTGTGGAGTTTGTATATTCTCCCTGTGCTCGTGTAGGTTTACTCTGGGTGCTCCGGTTTCCCCCACAGTCCAAAGACATGCGATACAGGTGAATTGGATAGGCTAAATTGTCCGTAGTGTGTGTGTGTGAATGACTGTGTGTGGATGTTTCCCAGAGATGGGTTGTGGCTGGAAGGGCATCCGCTGCATAAAAAGTTGCTGAATAAGTTGGTGGTTCATTACGCTGTGGCGACCCTGGATTAATAAAGGGACTAAGCCGACAAGAAAATGAATGAATGTATGTAGTACATAAAGAATATATAAAATTCACCTAAAATTAATTAAACTCAAAATAAATAAGCTAAGTTTTTACATTGCAAATGTTCTTGCATTCCAAATCATGCTAAAACTACTAAACCTTTAATTTTGTGAGATAAAAAGGTTTTCCACAGAATTGTGGTTTGGATTGAGTGAGATTTAGGGTTATAAGGGTTAACTTTAGTGTGAGGTAGCATCTGACTAAACCCTCTGTGACTATAAAAAATACCAGACGTGTATACTCAAATTACCTTTGCTGCTCATTCAAGCTACTTATTTAATATGAGTTGTACCAACACAATTCTTAAGTTTTTGGGGAACAACTGAATAGTTTTATGTTCATTCATTCATTCATTTTCTTTTTGGCTTAATCCCTTAATTAATCCGGGGTCGCCACAGCGGAATGCCCAGCACATGTTTTACGCAGCGGATGCCTTTCCAGCTACAACCCATCACTGGGAAACATCCATACACACTCATTTACACTCACACTATAGACAGTTTAGCTTTATTTTCCTATACTTCATGTTTTTGGACTGTGGGGGAAATCAGAGCACCCAGAGGAAACCCACACAAATGCGGGGAGCACATGCAAACTCCACACAAAAAATGCCAACTGACCCAGCCGAGGCTCGAACCAGCGACCTTCTTGCTGTGAGGCGACAGCACTACCAATTGCACCACCTCATCGCCAATTTGATGTTTAATCCATTTAAATTTGTAAAAACGATTAAGTTAACTTATTTAAATTGCATTGAGACATTGTAAAGGAATTATGTGGAACCCAGCATTTTTTATAGTGTATATTAATATCATCTGGACCCTAGTTAAATACACTTGAATGTGAAACTATCGCTAAACAGCTTACTTCCATTTTATACACTCTTTATTCCATCAGCATTCATTACTGAATGAATGGCCACGTTTCTTGATTAGTGGCTTACCAATAATACTTAACTATTCTTACTGCCCATGTATGTTTTGGTTGTTATGTTGTGCATATGATTAAAAACACTTTATTGGGGGTTGGGGGACAGTTTAATATATTAAAATAATATAAAACTGTCAATAAACTTAAACAAAAATTACACATTTTTCATTTGCTATAAAATGTTTATCTGTAGACGGCAGAGAATATCCCTCAGATTAGTTGTGGTCAATACACAATAAAAGGTAATAATACAATGTATAAATACAATTGTATAGCTTTCCAACACTTCTGCTTTTCAGATCAAAACAAAAGAAACAAACAAACGAGCTTATTGCGAACAGTTTGTGATAAATAAAGAAGTCTACGTTGGAAATAAAAGAAAGAGTAACACCACCGTGATAAAAGCTTGAGGAAAATGCTTTGATTATTTATTGAAGGGTTGAGGACATTAGGCTGCTTGATGGCAAAAGCTCATATTTAAATAAAAAATAAACAGCTAAGAATGTCCACATTCTTAAAGTGATTGAAACACTTTAAGCATTTATATACTACTCCATCCATACAGATCTACAATTTATTTAATAGCAATAAAAAAACCTTTCAACAATCCTTTCGCAAAAAAAAAAAAAAAAATGTGTATCTAGTACCATAAGATACATGAAACACTGCACACGTTAATCTCAAAGTCCAATATTAAATTGAAGTCAGATTATGTTGTTAGAGCACACAGCTGTGATCATCCGTATTTGCTTACTATTCTCCTGCACTCGTGTCAACATAAGCTATCATAAATGCATTGAACAACAAGAAGTTGATTCTACAAAGAGGAATAACTTGTAATTACATCTCAGTGCAATTAGATAAGTCTACAAATGGAAAATATCTGAAAATCGAAATATCAAAAACTTCAAAAAACATCCAGATGTTTGTGTTTCTAGACCTCACCATCTGTAACATGCAACTGATTTGCCATCTCCATCCTTTAAGGAGATTCAGAGGTGGAGGAAAGTATTAAATTCACACAGCACAAATGCTGTGTTAACAATTTGAGATTTCATGTGATACTTCGATGATATGTAGCTGTGTGTGTGTGTGTGATGAGTTCCCTGCAGGCACAGGACATCAACATGATGTCATAATGACGTTTTACAACAACATACCCTAACATCTTGGGGACGTTGGATTTTGTTTGGAAATAAAAATGGGGTTCAATTATTGTTCAATGTCCAACTTAAAGTCAACCTAAAATCAACCAAACATCAGCGTCTAATCATGTTACACCTTGACATAGTGTTGACGTTACCACTATGACATCTATCAGATGTTGATTTATTTGTCATTTTCCAACACAACTTAAAATCAACCAAATATTAACATCTAATCATGTTACACTTTGACGTAGTGTTGACGTTATCACTATGACATCTATCAGACGTTGGATTTTGGTTACTTTCCAACACAACCTAAAATCAACCAAATATCCATTTATAATAATATTACACCTTGACTTTGTGTGGACGGTACCACTATGACGTTGGATATTGGTTACTTTCCAACACAACCTAAAATCAACAAAATATCCATTTTTAATCATGTTACACCTTGACGTTGTGTGGACGGTACCACTATGACATCTATCAGACGTTGGATTTTGGTCACTTACCAACACAACCTAAAATTAACCAAATATCAACGTATAATCATGTTACACCTTGACGTTGTGTGGACATTATCACTACATCTATTAGAATTTGAATTTTGGTCACTTTACAACACAACCTAAAATCAACCAAATATCAACGTAATTTGTCGTTGTTATTGGACGTCAAAATATGTCCTTAGATGCTGACTAGACATTGAATTTTGGTCATCTGATGTAATGACCTAAATCTACCCTATCATTAACGTCTTATGATGTTGTGTGCCTGCTGGGGTATAACAATAAAATTGCAGGTGTTGCTTACCTGTGATTCGCCAAAAAACCTCATGGCTTAGTTTAACTATACATAAATCACACTCGTCACTTTCAGAAAAAATCAAAACCTACCTTTGAGTACCTTTCATTAAACGGATTCTTCTGTTTCACAAGGGCACAAGCCCAGTGGTGCTATTTCAAAGCAAAGCAGATCAAAAAATAGATCAGACGTTTGCTCATATAAACCCTGTCAAATTCTACTTTGACGGCTATAAAGTCTGAACACCAGGAGAAACAGAACAAGGTCACATTTACATTTGAATTACTCTGTCCTTCACATGCAACGTGTGCCACAGCCAAGAGCCACAACATGTTCAATTAAGTTCGCGTCGGATAAATTGGGTTATAATGTAGCGAAAATCGTAATATACATTTTGAGATGAACCTGAGCATGGTAAAGGGTTGCGTATGTGTGAGATGCACGTCACTGGCTATTTTGTTGTGTAAAACGCGAGTAACCTAACTGGGTAAACTTACAGAAACATTTATAGCGTATTGCACTCAGGCTACAGATCATTTGTAGTTTGGTTCTTGTTGGATCTATATAACACGGCACACCCAGTCCTCCCAATAGAAAAATAAAAATCATCTCAATATCAGTAGGCCTAAACAGACTAGAATTGATCCCACAGCTATTTGATTTTAAAAAATGTACATTCACAAGAAGACAACAGAGGACAATTCAAATTGATATGTGCAAAAACATTAGAGATCTCTATAAAAAATATGTGCATATGAATAGAGCTTGTTTCTTCACTAATACAATATGTTCTCTATTTACACCTCATGAGTCAATAAAGTACATAACATGTACAGTTCTTATTAGTTTTTTCTTCTTTTTTTTAATCTGTATACTCTGTCTTTACAGAAAACGTCAGCTAGGCTCATGACAAAGAGAGGAAAGACTAACAAATATGATACAGATATTACGTAACACTACACATCCTGAACTCAAATCAATGTGATTGAGCACTGGGACTAAAATAAGAACCAGAGTTCCATTCGGAAACCTGAAATTGCATATCCCGTGTTCAACACCTTGCCCAATCACAGTCAGATCAAATGCTGTTCCGCACTAGGATCGGTTGCCATTTCTGGCTGGCTTTTAGGATGATATTACATTTGAAGAAAAAACAAAGAAAACTTTGGCTACAGAAAGAGGTCGTCATCCCCCGCTCAACTAGTTGCTGCACCCTTGAGTGCGGACGGTAAAATCTGGCTAGCGTCAGCCAGCGTCCCTCATTGAGCTGTCCTGTTTACAGAGCCGAAGTCCGTGGATTCTTCATATCTGCTATCAAAGGGGGGCGGCTGCGTGCTTTCACACAAAACGCCTGCCAGACCGCTCATTGGGGCGGGGTGTGGGAGGGACAGATACTCGGCACAGTGAGAGGGATGTCGCTCTACTTTGATGAGTGGCTGGGTTGACAGCTGGTTCTCCGGCAAGTCCAGAGAGTCCCGCTGCAGGGCCAGGTCATAGGATGGTGTCCTCCTCCGCAGTAACATGCTATCCGACAACTTTTTCATGGACGCATGAGAGGGGGAAACATCCTTTTCAAATGGGGGCTCGATGGAGATGCAGGGAGGGCTCATCTTTGTCTTCCGGGGAATGTGCAAAGACTTTCCACGCGTGGGAACGTGCCTCTTTTCACAGAGTTCTTGACCAAACAGCCCATCGTCTCCTGAGGAGCAAATCTCAATCGAGTGCCTGCGATGGTCATCAGAAGCGTAGGGTCTTTCCAGAAAACCCTCAGTGTCCACACTGAAGCACTTCTTGGGGTCTTTGATGGTTAAGTTGGCAGCACTGCTGCAGTTTTTCACGGGGATGGGAAGCAGCGTCCCTGAGGTGCTGTAAGGAGAGAGGGAGTGACTCCTTGCTTCTGCATGAACCCCGATCCACAGGCGGGCTGTGCTATTGATGTGGCGCACCTCCTCATCGGTTGGGTCAGCGGAGTCAAACATTGAGCCACTGGGGCTGGTGCTTCTGCTGCTGCTGGCCAGACTGGGAGGTCGAGAAGAGATATTGTGCTGGCTGTGCGGCTGCTGGAAGGTGTGGACACTAGGTCCACGTGGTGGCAGCAAGGGAGACCCCTGAGAGATGCCGGTGATTTGAGGAACATGCAGCTTGAAGCTGCCTGTGGTTATCCCTTTCTGTCTTTCCACATTTTCTTTGGAGTCGAAATTATGCATGTCAATGGAGTCATTTTTAATTGCCCTCTGAAAAAGAAAACACAGAACAACATGTGATGATGTGGCCATGCCAGCATGGAGCAACTTGTAGAACTTAAAGGAATAATTCACCCAAAAATGAAAATTCTGTCATCATTTACTCATCCTGCACCTGTTCAAAACCTGTTTGAGTTTCTTTCTTCTGTCAAACACAAGATAATTTGAAGAATGCTGGTAGTTAGCATTGAATTCCATAGCATTTTTTTCCTACTGTGCCAGCATTTGTCAAATGACGAAAGAAACTCATACAGGGAGACTAAATGATGAAGCAATTTCTATTTTTTATGTGAACCATCACTTTTTTATGTATGTGATGAACGAGAGTATACCTGTCTGCGTAAAATCCTGTCTATGCTGTGGGTTGGAGAGGGCATGGGAGGAGGGATCTTGGGGAGGCAGTTGAACTGGGAATGGGGAGGAACACCAGGGACCTGGAGCAGGGAAAGGCTTTCGCATGGCTGGGAGTGAACCGAGGTGATGGAACCTAAGGGAAAGGTTAACAAAGACTTCCCATAAGTTTCTTTTGATCTTTTGTGGTCAGCGCTTGTTAATTTAAAGTCATATATATTTATCCTTTTTTTTATACCTAATTCAAGATAATCTTGACAGGTCTCCACTTCTTCTAGAGGATACGGAGCACTGGCTGGCCTCACAGGGCGAAACATGTAGCTGTCATTGGGTAAAGAGTGCATCCTTGACACTGACATTTTCCGCGGAGAGAGCAAATTCCCCTGTGTTCTTTGCATCCCCTCATCCTGTGGAAGAGAAATGTATTCCTTTGCTTTTGTGGTCCCTCACACATAAACTCACAAACCCAAAAAAAAAAACACCTTAGGCCACGCTTGCCAGGTTCATTCACCAGCTCACTGCAGCTGACAAAGCAAATACACTCTTTGCCAGAGCAGCCCATGAGGGGTAACAAATGTTCCTGGCCTCCCTGCAGAGTCTCACTTCTCACTGTCCACATCCCCTCAGCATATTTTCTTTGAATTGTGACAGCTCAGCACCCAATAAAATACAAATGCAATTCTTTTGCCTGCAGCTAACTCAGACTGCTCTTTATAGAGTTAATGCTGCACACCAAGAGAAAAACTAATCACTGAAAAATAAATTGGACAATGCTTTGGAAACTATAACCAGTTCATTACACCAGGGGTTTTCAATCATTTTGATGCCATGTACCCACAATACGAAGATCCCCTTATAGACCTAAATATAAAGACAATTATATATTTTCAGATATATGGAAAAACATGCTAACAAAAATATAATCTCACCTGTCAAAATATTAATTTTGCATTAAGAATGCATCTTTTAGTTGTGTAAAAAATAATGCATGCCCAAATAATATACATAGTTCCTAAGCAGAGGTAACCTAAGACTGACAGTGGCTAAAAAAAAAAAAACCTTACAAAACAAAAGATTCCAAAATAGTAATAGTTTAATATATGTGTTATGAAATGACACTAGTTTTAAAGTGTTAGACCACCCAAAAATGAAAATTCTGTTGTTCTGTTATTAATTAATCTCCCTCACATCATTCAAAACTCTATGAGACTTTTGTTTAAGATATTTTATACATATTAAGATTTTTTAGAATAAATCTGAGAGCTCTTGCATCCTTCATAGACAACAAGTTTCCAGACTCTTTTAAAGTGGAAGTGAAGCAGTCAGTCAAGTTTACACTATTTTGTAAACTGATTTCCACTTTAAGGAAAATATATTGAACAAACTTGATTGATGTAACCATTTTGAAGAAAATGGCATGTTTTACTATAGTTTTTAGAGCTAGGGTGCCACCATCTTGGAACATTCCATTCCCTGAACAGATATAGTGTAAGTAATGAACTGAAAACACAGAGACTGGACAGCCTAATTTAACCCAATGCATGAAGCTTTGAATGTGGAGCTGTAGCAAATACAAGCATCAGATGTGTGTCTAATATATTAAATATATACAGTTGAAGTCAGAATTATTAGCCCCCTTTTAGTTTTTTTCCTCTTTTTAAATTTTTTTTTTTCCATATGATGTTTAACAGAGCAAGGGAATTTTCACAGTATGTTTGATAATGTTTTTTCTTCTGGAGAAAGTCTTATTTGTTTTATTTTGGCTAAAATAAAATGAGTTTTTTTAAACACCATTTTAGGGACAAAATTATTAGCTCCTTTAAGCTATATATTTTTTCGATAGACTACAGAACAAACCACTGGTATACAATAACTTTCCTAATAACCCTACCCTGCCTAGTTAACCTAATTAACCCAGATAAGCCTTTTAATGACACTTTAAGCTGTATAGAAGTGTCTTGAAAAATATCTAACAAAATATTATTTAGTCATCATGGCAAAGATAAAATAAATCCATTATCAGAAATGAGTTATTAAAACTATTATGTTGAGAAATGGGTTGAAATAATCTTCTGTTTGTTAAACAGAAATTAAGGAAAAAAAAAACAAGTGGTCTAAAACTCAGGGGGGCTAATAATTCTGACTTCAACTGAAGTCAGAATTATTAGCCCCCCTGAATTATTAGTGCCATGTTCATTTTTTCGCCAAGACACTTCTATACAGCTTAAAGTGACATTTAAAGGCTTAACTTGGTTAATTAGGTTAACTAGGCAGGTTAGGGTAATTATGGTTTGTATGTAAGATTTGTTCTGTCTAACTATCGAAAAAAAAATATAGCTTAAAGGGGCTAATCATTTTGCCCTTAAAATTCTAGCCAAAATAAAACAAATAAGACTTTTTTCAGAAAAACATAATATGAAAATTTTCTTGCCCTGTTAAACATAAATTAAGAAAAAAAAATCAAAAAAAGAAAAGAAAAATTGAAAGAGAGCTAATAATTCTGACTTCAACTGTGTGTATGTATGTATATATATATATATATATATATATATATATATATACATATATATAATTTTTTTTCTCTCTTTTAATTACCGATTGTTTGATGTACTTTGGTCCACTCTCTGTATTACGCTGCCTGTCTGGGTTTTAAAAAATGGTTTCAACAAGGTACGGTACCGTTTTAATGGGGCTGGGTACTTTCACTTTTCACCACAACAGCCCTCACCTCTATTGATGTTCAAAGCAATCTAAGATTGACACGTTTTTTCACATGGCAGTTTTTTATGTCCTTCATACATGTTGAGAGACTGAGGGGAATATGTCTTGAAAAAATCCACAAAAATGTGATTTAGTAAAGCACGAAGTCATGTATCATTTTAATCGCTGCATTCTTAGTCTGAATGTAAATCCCCTTGTCAGGCAGAGTTGGACCAGCGTGAGAGAGTGGACCAAAGCGCATCAAACTAAAAGTTAATTAAAAAAAAAGAGAAAACACATAAATATATTTTATATATATTAAGACTCAACTTTGATGCTTGAATTTGCACTAGCTTATATGCGATGCATATCCACAACTTTGCAAATTGTGTTGGACACTGTCCAGTCTCCGTGTTAAGTTACTTCCACTCTATGTGTTCAGCTGAGGGAACAGAACCAACCCCGTGACATCAGATACATCGATTTTCCAAGATGGTGGTGCCCTAGCGTTAAAAGCTACAGTAAAACGGCATTTTCTCCAAATGCTTACATTAATTCAATTTGTTTCATACATTGTCATTAAAGTGAAACCAATTTACAAAATAATGTAAACTTGACCTACTGTTTCCAGTAATACTTTTCTGTGCACATTTAACAAAAAATAATAATTTTATTCACAGTACCTTTTCCTCCGTGTCAGTATAATGCACGCAATCACTAGAGCTCAATATACTGACACTGAAGAAAAGTAATTGTTGTAACTGATTTGGTAATTTGGTATTTTTCAGAACTTTGAACTAACCAGAAACCCAGCCGTCTATGGAGGATGAGGGAACTCTCAGATTTAACCTAATATATTTTAATTTGTGTTCTGATGAAAAAAAGATTAATAATATCATTTGTATTTTTGGGTGAACCAATCCTTTTAAAATGCCTCTTAAACACATGCTATTACTTCCCCCCCCCCATTCAGGCAAAACTACCTGCTCAGGTGAATCTGGGTGTGGCTCGATATAAGTTGCCCTGCCTTCTGGTCCCGCAGTGGCACTGGCTGAGATGGTGCTGAGACGGCGAGTTTCTTTCAAAATTGCCAACTTGATCGCAGCATCCATTTCTGCATCCTCTTTAGCTTCTTTATTGCTCTCCTCCAGATGTTTCATCAACACAGCTACGACCACGTTAACCAGCACAAACTGAGCCATTAGAACAAAGGTTACAAAATAGATTGGAGAGACCCAGGGTAGATAGCTGAGGCATTGCGTCTCTGAAGGAAGGCACTCTCGCAGAGTGTCCTGCACGCAAGAAACATAGCAATCACTAAAATGGCACCAATAGAAAACAGTTAGCACTTCTGTGTTGTAGTTTACCTTCATTATTCCATTCCAATTGTCCCCAGTTGATACTCGGAAAAGTGTCAAAAATGCCATTCCAAAGTTCTCAAACGTGGCATGTGGACTTAATCCTTCACACGGATTGTTCTCTGTGCATTCTAGATGAATATATTTGTAAAAAAAACACACACACACACTCAAATACTTTTAAACACCTTAACACACAAAAAAGTTTGATCATCACAGAATGTGTTTCTAAAATTGGAGAAAACCTGACAGAGTCCCCTGTAATACCATTGAAGAAGCAAATGAGCCGTTTCCCCAGACACGTCTGACACAATAATTAGCATTGATTCTAAAGCTGAATGCTAATGAAAGTAATTACAGTGCTTGCCCTTTAAGAGAAAGCATAATCCTGTCATTCGTATTCCAAAGGCCTCTCTCATAGGGATATAAGTAGCATTGATATGTCTGTGCGAGCCTAGCGGCTAACTCACAAAACCGCTGCCAAAGCAGGAGCAAACTTCAAGCATCAACAGAGCTAATTTAGGCTCCCATTAAGACAGTACTGTAGTCTAAGCAGAGCTGTAAAACTGAGAGACACATGCCCATGGGGACCACATTTAAGCATTTCTGACCTAAAAATGAAAGTGGCAGCTAAGGTAAAGCAAAGCTGCTAAAACTGTGAAATGGGGAGCTCAGTATATGAACAGAGAGCAGGATTGCAGCACTGACCTAGTTTCCCAAAAAGCTCCACGCCAAGCGCCGCATAAATGAAGAAGAGAAGCATAAACAGCAAGCCCAGATTTCCCACCTAAAGAGAGGAAGCGCATTATCACAGTTTGTTATTAAACAATCAATCACGGCCTGTAGCATTGTTTTATACTGTAGACACTTCATCACCTTCTCTGTCCTCCCCCATGTCTTACATATCCACACAAAGATGCAAACAAATGCAATTGTGCAGTACATCTACATCTATCTAAGCAAGATCACACATAGAAACTGCAGATTTATTAGTTGTATTTTTGTTTACTGTTGTAACTTATTTTTTAATGTAAAAGCTGGATGTCTGGGGCATCACAGTGGCGCAGTGAGAAGCATGATCGCCTCACAGCAATTTTATCAAGGACGAAACAAATTTACATTTTAGAAAACAAATTAACAAGACGCAACATTACAGCATACGAGTGGATCTTGTAAAAATATTGACCACATTGATGCAGCATGTCTGGCGTTTCCGTCTGGTCCGCGTCCTTTATAAACTCTAAACACCGACCACACGCAAAGCAAAACCGTGTTAAGCTGCTCATGTGTTTGCCACAAAACGGGCAAAACAACCCTCGACCGCAGTCCATGTTCTGTCACCATAAACTTTGTTTACGCTACAGAGCGAATTTACCGCACTCACCAGCAACAACAACAACTTTCCCCCGCTTCACTATCGGTGTGTATTACATTCTACGTCACTTCCGGGGTGTGGTACATTCCCTTTCCGTAGGGAATCTGTAATTGTAAATTTGTTTCGGGATTTGTAAAAGTGTTTTGCGTCTTGTTAATTTGTTTACTAAAATGTAAATTTGTTTCGTCCTTGGTAAAATTGTTTTTCCTATGTAATTGTGTCTGATGATAGGTAAACATGTTTTTCAAAATGTAAATTTGTCTCGAGCTTTGTTAAAGTGTTTCAAACTTTGTAATGTTGTTTTGCACTTCCCGGCCACCGTACTAGAATAATAAAGGGACTAAGCCAAAAAGAAAATGAATGAATGAATGAATGAAGCAGGCTGTCTGTAAGACAAAAAAAGACTTCTGTTGCTGTATTTGTTCAATTGGTTTTATCTCAAATTTCTAAATATTAATTTTATATTACATTTTCTACCTACTATTTAGAGTTATAAATAAATACAAAATAAAGTTCATGCACAATTATTATGCATAAACATTGTTTTAAAGCATAGGCAGAGGCAACTAAAAAGATACAAAACAATTTGATTCTAAAAAGAAAATCTTTCAGCACACTCCCTTTCCAGTTATTTTTAGCTGAACAAAACAGCTTCTCTTTGTCTGTAACTGATCTTTAAATCGTTTAGAATTGTTTATTACCAAAATTAAACATTTTGTTTTCAGTGTACATCACAGTAGTGTTTATTTATTATATTATTAAAACACACGACTCATCCAATAATAGCAGTGCGTGTTTACTTTAAAGTCTTAAAGGCACAGTTCATCCAAAATTGAAAATTCTGTCATCGTTTTAATTTCATCCTCCACTTGTTCCAAAATTGTTTGTGGTGCTTTCATTGGTTAAACACAAAAAGGAAGATATACTGAAGAATGTTGGGAAAAAAACATTGATTTTCTTTAGTATTTTTAATTCTTACTATGGATGTCAATGGTGCCTTTTTCCCAACATTCTTTAGATCATCTAACTTTGGGTGTTTAACAGAAGAAAGAAATTCATAAAAGTTTAGAACCATTTGTGTGTGAGTAAATGGTGAGAAAACTTTCATTTTTGGGTGAACTATTATTTTAAATTATGTCTTTGTTATGTCTAAATCATGATTATGTCTTTATTTTACATTATTTATAACTTGTTTTAACACATTTTAATTAGTTTTTATAATTCTTATTCTTTGTTACTTTATTACTTTTTCTTGTTTCTTTTGTTCTTGTTTATGTAAGCACTTTGAATTACCATTGCATATGAAAAGTGCTATATAAATAAACTTGCCTTGCCTTAAATGTGGCATAAAATGTGAATTTATTTAATATACAAATCTTTCTAACTTTATTAAGAGGACCTTATTATATGAAATAACAAAAAGGCAGTCAAAAATCTGTATATTATATAAAATGATAAAAGATATTTAAAATGAAAATTAAGTGAACCTTAGAATAATAAGGTTCTATCTGACTTTTTTGTCAAAATTTAGTTATTCACATATTCATATTAAATGACAAAAACTTATTTATGTTATGGGATGTTTTTTTATTATAAGTCGTTTACATTAAGACTTTTTATTTAAAAAACAAAAAACATTTTATCTACAAAGTCTCTACAAGGCTCTTTCTGTGAGCCAATCAGCATTTTTAATGTATGCACGAGAACAAATCAGGATAACATATTAATTAGATTAATTAGAAGATTCTATGTGCATTACTGTTTTTTTTTTACTCCAATTTACTCTAATTTTAGATTTAGAGCACATTTAGGGTCTATGTCATGTTAATGTATGAAAGAGAACTGTGGTACACATTTTGTTTGCTATATGGAATGCAAAAACTTTGAAGCTCAACATCTCAAAATCATTTAGAAAGCAGATAGAACCTTACGATTCCAAGGTGACGAAATATAAACTTTTCCAAATATACACATTTTAATAACTGAATATAAAACAGACAACAGGTACCTGTGGTAAAGCTTGCATTACGGTGTCGAGTAGGGATCTCATGCCTGTAGCCATCTTTAACAGCTTCAGCACTGTGGTCAGAACACACAATCCCACGTCCATATAGTCATTACTGAACTCAACAATTCTGGCATTAAAACACATCTCAGACTATTTGTAATAGTAAAAACACTTTATAATATCTGCATACTATAAATAAATTAATAAGCATTAGCAAAGAGTTTATCATTTGTCAAGCATTAATGCTATGACATTAATTAATGCAAACGCTATGTTCTTGACTTATACAGTAAGTAGGGCCAGACATAATCTGAGGAAATTTTTTGTTATTTCTGCTACGAATTTAGTAAAAACTCTGTGGATTAATGCAGAATAGTTTTAGGAGTATCACAACTAACAATAGCTTTTTAACTTTTATTTAATGTTCACAAATCAAATCCAATAGGATCCACTTTATTTAGTAAACAAAGCAAGCCTCTCATATAATATCTCTACAAAAAGACAGAACATATTACTTTACAAACTGAATTGTAAATAAATCATATGTACCATTTAATAATATTATTATTATTACATCACAATAATATTAGTGACATGAATTTAAAAACGGAATAAATGTAAATACATAGACTCGATGGGCTAAAATCTGCAGATTTCTGCACGCAGATTCCATGTGGGCCTACTTATAAGCAAGGCCAGAATGAATCTGTCTGATATTATGATAGTGAAATATGTAAATTAGCCTGTACAGTTTTTATATGTATATCAATGGCATTTTGAATTAGAAAAGGGACACTTTTATTTATTTAATGCATGGAAAAAAATGTATTTGAGTATAGAAAATAGTTTGTACTACAGTAAACAGGTGTGTTGAGCCTACATGGCTACGTCTCTCTATGCCATACTGTAGAATACTGCTAGATTATTATTCAATCATATTAATTCAATCATACTAACCATATTAGTCAAACATTTTTATATATACACATTTTTTTTGTTTACCCCATAAGGAGCTGACAACTTTATCCTAAAATCACCCGTCTGCTACTAATTCATATGAATTAGCCACTAAATCAAAAAATTAAAAATTGCTGTGAGATTGCGTTGGTATTTCTGAGCAGAATTTTGTAAAAAATAAATAAATCTGCGGATTGCTGCAGAATAGTTTAAATATAATAACATTTTAACTTTTATTTAAGGAATTTAATGCAAATCCAATTAGATCCACTTATTAGGGAAACAAAGTATTATATGTTTGGTAAACAAACATATACTGTAATACCTACAGAAATATAGAAAATATTACTTTACAAACAATCTTGTAAATAAATCATATAAACATTTGCATATTAGTTAATACTGAAATTATTATAAAAACTGAATAAATATATATTTACACTCATTAACACAAGTCAATAAATAGACTTAACGATTGGCTAAAAAATCTGCGGAGATCTGTGGATTTCTGCTTGTGTGGGCCTACTTATAAGCTCATATGTAATGTGCGGTAATGTTTTTAGTTAAGTTCACACTTCATGCTAACTACTTATTTATTACCAGCTTAATATTAAGATATTAACTATTTATTAGTAGTTATAAAGTATGATCTTATTCTGCATCCCTAATCCAACCCAAAACCTAAACCCAATTTCTACCTTACTAAGTATTAATAAACAGCTAATTAGTAGTTTAAGATAGTAGTGTTAGTTAATGGTTTATTAAAGCAGTAATTGTGACCTAAACTAAAGAGTTCTCTAATGTGCTTAATGATTGTATTTTCAAACTTTGTTAATAATTCATTTACATTATTGAATTAAATAATGCATTATTTACCAATTTACAAACCAGTTATTCAAGATCATTCAGAATAAATAATTAATAAACCACTCAAAGGAACATTTAGCCATCTTATTTTTCAGGCATATAGTTATAATTACTCTGCATGTTAATAAATGCTTCATTTACACAAGTTCCTACAGTTCTGTGAGCTTCAATAGCAGCAGTACCTCTTGCGATTCTTAGCACTCTCATAATACGGATGATGGTGGGGTTGATGGGCAGCGCTGCATTCATCTTAATCTCCTCCAGAGTGATGCCCATGATAGAGAGTAGGACTATTGCAAGATCCAGCTGGTTCCATCTGCCGGCACATTACGACATCATACTTAAAATATAGCATCCAGCAACAAGCATCATTTAGCTAATCTGTGTCAGAACATTAAGCAAACTGAGCAAACAAGCCGTATGTAGATTAATGGGCATATTGCAAATACAACAGCATACGGCTGATTGCGCCTGGACACGTGCTAATGTGGGATTAATGATAAACAACAGGGATCGTGACTCCTTTTTACTTTGCATGTTTCATTTAACTGATAAAAATGATTCATCCCATTCCCCTGTGCACAACCTGACATTAGACACCACATATTAAGTCATGACTTAATGACAAGTCGCACTTAATTATAAAGGTGTTTTACAATGTGTTAGAGAGGTTAGTGAATTTATCCTTTGCTAATATACATAATTCATTTCAGGATCTACTTGCCTGACTTTGTTTTAATTGCAGTTTTGCTCATAAAAATGCTATAAGAACAAAGGAAAATAGTCTATATTTTTAGATGCATTTTTACTATCAATGCATAAACCACTAGGAATGAATATTAAACCAATTTAATGCTAAGATTCAGGATAATGCTAAAAGAGATATTCTGTACTGTCAGTGTGGTTTGTAAAGAAAGAGGCTCACATTACAAATCTAAATAATCTACAGCAGGGGTGCACAAACTTTTACTTATGAAGAGCCAAAAAACAAACTTGATTGAGTCTTCGAGCTGAAGGTAAATATACCAAACTGTTTTACATATATACCAAACCGTTCTACAAGTAGTTGGGTCATTTGCTAATTTATTTTTTTAATATTTAAAAATAAACATAATACATTATTTTAAATTGTATTAATTAATATAATAATATTTGGTAACACTTTATTTTGATGTCTATTTGAGTACTAGTAGACTGTCTGCTTAATATCCGCTGATACTGCTGCTAAAATTAGAAATGATGACCTTTGTCAAAGGTAATGCCCCCAATTACACCCCCAATAATCTCCTTCTCTTTTCAGATGGGATGGCAGGCTAGATCAAAGTTTACCATGGGCCAAATTTGGCCCGTAAGTCAAAATTTAGGCATTTCTGATGTATAGTGTCAAATATTTATTATATTTAAACTATTATAACAGTGTAATTCACAATAAACAGAAAAAATCAATCCAAGGCACTCAAAATGTGTAAAAAAAAAAAAAAACTTTTTAAAGAAAATATTGTTTTCCACACTTTTCAAGTGCCTTGGACTGATTTTTTGCTGTTTATTCTAGTACATTCCTTACCCAAAGAGTAGTGATACATTATTTAAGCTACCCCTGAGCACTTTTTGTTTGATTTTTGAGTGTAATTCACATTTTGACTGAACATATTCATTTCGCTGTGATCAGATGTTTTCTTAGCTGCTGTTTTCTTACTGCTCTGTTTTACAACACATTTCCATTGAAAACATGTACTTCAACATGTGTTTGACTGCAGTTTCTAGGCAAAATGAATGCTAAGAGGCAGTATGACGGCAACAAATTATGTTCCTTTTCATACTAATGATATTTACAGAGACATGTTATCAGCGAATAAAAAAGTAATTTCCTGCAGCTCTTTGGACATCACCAAAGAGTCAACACATAGTCTATGATTTGTAATTTAATATGTTTGAAAAGAGAAAAGAGTGCAGCTCATATTTAAATATGTATCGAAATATCACTTTAATGAGTGTTTATGGTGTTTAGTGGCCTTATCATACACTGCGCAATACATCGCCTGATGCAACTGAAGAGTTTTTTAGCTAGTTACAGTCTGATGCAGTTGTGATTAATAGTGAATATGCCATGTCACACAGTTTATACAGGGAATGGGAGTATGGGTGCACGATATAGGACAAAAACAATTTAAATATTTAGTTTTTCTGCAATGTATTACGATATGAATACAATTTCATAAAATTACTCTTTGGAAAGAATTCATAGTTTTACATTGATAGGGATGATTTTTATACTGGAGTGCATCTGCACTAAAATAAATAAATTTAAAATAAACTTAAATAGATTAAAGCACAGATGAAAACACAAGAAAAATTAAAATGAAACAAACATCGCTTTATGGATTTCAGTGGAGGCTAACAGTATTGAGAAATGCAATAAACTAGTTTAAAATAACACAGTATAGACTTCCTTGTAAAAATATTTAACACAATTCATCTTTATTAAAAACTTTGACAAATTACAAACTTTATAATTTCTTGTGTTTCAAATGGTTTAAATTAAGTTGAAATTGTGTGACATACTGCATTGTGACTATTGCAGATTCTCACATTGTGATGTTGATGCTAAAACAATATAATTGTGCGGCCCTAAATAAGAGACTCTAATTGGTTTGTAGCAGGTTACACACAAAACGCATTCATTATTTATTAAGAGCATGCTGAGCATGTCGTTAATATAGCCAAAGTGGATTTAGACATCTGTACCATGTGCTTAGATTGTTAAAATAGGACCCTGTGCATTTTCAGTGACCAAAAAAGAATTTCACCCTATGTTAATCAGGGCTTTAATCACATTAAATTTCTTGTATGTTACAGTACATGTACACAAGTGCGGACACAAGCACTACGTTGTTGACTGTACAGTAGATTACTTAATAGCCATCAATGTCACTAGTTACAAAGATTTCAGCCTTTTTAAGGAGAAGAATAATATAGATTTACATTATCCATCTCATCTTTTAATCTCTCACATTAAATATTGACCCCTCAAGTATAGATACTTTTTGATGGACGTTCTTTAATTACCCTGCATGATCTTTTCTGTCTGATCTGAAAAAGAGTCTGCCATGCTTTAATCTCACGTCTTTGTTGGCTTGAATAATCAATCAGTGCACACCATCTCTGAATCAAGAAATATGTTTGCTGTACACAAAGCCAATGAAGTCTTTAATTAACGTTATCGGATTAAGCACTAGCAAATTCCCTGCATGACTAAAGATATCTAAGAACACAAGTTTATCCAATGCACAAATAGAGCCTGTGATAAAAGACAAGGTCATAGAGGTTAAGGAGTCTCCCAAAGCACATTCTTACTGTGACTTTTGCATCAGAATCTAAAATACAACAGGACGGCTTAGTTAAAACAACAAGGTAATTAGAATGTAATGTATATAATCAGTATAAACTAAATACTATCCAGGGCAGGGGTGTTTAGACTCAGTCCTGGAGGGCAATTGTACACTGTAAGAGCTCAATTAGCTGGCTCAGGTTTATTCAAATAGAGTTGGAGCTAAATATACAGAACAGTGGCCCTGCAGGAGTCAGGACCATGTTTCGACACCCCTGATCTAAAGTGCATTAGGCTACATGATATATCAGCCCAAATTTGGCTGTTTGATTTAGGGTGTTGTGGTATTATTTAAAAATATAGTACATTTTGTTTCTTGTACAATAAGAATTTAGGAGTCAAAGTCACATAATCAAATAAAATCTGACAAAAATAGTGTTTGCAATCTATTCAATATGATACAAGTGGATTGATATACACATTAGATTGGCCATATTAGGTGTTTAAAGATCCATATAGGTTCCAATACCTGTCTTTGAAGAATCTCCGTATTCCAAATGCCACGAGTTTAAGCAGAGCCTCAATTATGAAGATGATTGTAAATACATAGTTACAGTATTTAAGTGCCTCGTCAAGATACTGTGGAAGATAGAAACAATTATATCAGCAGTTTTAATGCAGTGCAATGCAATAGTAAACCCACAACCACAAATGTATAAATGTTCTTGCATTATATAAAAAATAAATAATATGTTTATTATTATTTTGCCATGAAAAAGTGCTTAGTGCTACTTTATGCAACTGAAAACCAATTAATAAAATTATGGAAAAACAAAAACATCTTAGTTACACTAATATTTTTGCTTGGGTTTAGAAAACCTATTATATTAGTAAGCATAAATATGCTTTAAAAATGTTAACAGAAGGGTTATTTTCAGGATTGAAATGATTGGACCAAAAAACACAACCTCGGCCAAAATTATAATCTTAAAAAGTCACAATCAAATTTTGGGACCAAATAGGTAAATAAATAAATAAATAAATAAATAAATAAATAAATAAATAAATAAACAAATAAATAAATAAATAAATAAATAAATAAATAAATAAATAAATAAATAAATAAATAAATAAATAAATAAAATATTAATAAAAAAAAAAAACAGGTAATATGTTGATAAGATAAAACTGAGAACATTCCAAAATCTGTCAATATCATCTCAATATCTTTCAAGAGGTTAAAATAGTTTTTACAGTGTAGATAATAAGCAAATTAGTGTATCTGTCAATCTATCTGGTAGTCTATAGTGAATCTATCTGTAACATATAGAGGAAAATATTTTAAATGCATGCCAAAAAAGGCCGGCAGCTGGCCCTGATGAAGCCCTGCATTGGCCAAATTAGGCCCCAGAAGTGATAGTGGAAACGCAACTTGCCCTGGCTCACCCTGGCATGCTCGATTCAGGTGCGATAGTGGAAACGCGGCTATTGGCTTTTACAGAGTTAGCGTAGCAAAGCCTACAGCAAACAAAGTTTGGGGACTACAAAAAAATATATATCTGGCCTGGTTAGATCACAAGGATTTCAGGTTAAATGCTTACACCGTGCACATACACACGCTGTAAGGCTATAATGTAGCGGACAAAGCTAAAATGTCGTGCAAACACTGATATTTCCACAGAGGTTGTCTTGTTTCTTTATTTGGGCTTCCAAAGGACACTTGTCAGATTTTACTTTAGAGAGCAGGCGTGCGGTTCAGCTAAGTCCTCTTTCATTTTTTGTCTGATTCAGGTACAAACTGATACGACTAACAGATACTCTGATTGGCAATATTTACACAGCGCAAAAGCATGTGCTTGTAAAGGCATGATGCTTTTCCTGGTGATGTGGAGCCGATACGCATATTAAAGCACATTTTGTTAGCTGACCAATCAGAGCCTCTTGTGGGCGGGCCTTTCAGAGGAACTATATGACAGTTGTTATCATGTTAGCTGAGTAGCTGTATATAATCAAAGTAAGATATATGACAAAATACAGTGATTTTCTACAAATGAAGCATGCGCACACATTGCTTTGCATCTTATAAACACATCAAAGCCTTAAAAACACACTCTGTTCAATCTCAAAACAATAGATTTAAATCGCTGAACTGTTTAAACAGTCAAAAATTTAGCCTCAGTTGTCTAATGATGGTTTTGGGAAACACACCCCAGAAGACTTCAAAGTGTTCATATACTCACAGAAGGCTGATTGAAATGCTCGATGGACATGGTAACTACGTTGATGCAGATGATGCCGGTTATAAACAGGTCCAAATAGTGGTTGGTGCACAGTGTGTGGATGTAAAGCCGGGCTGGAGAATAGTCAGCATAATATGGTCTCCGGAGTGCCTCTGTTGATACAGCCATACAGACAGAGAACACAAAAGAGTCAGTGCAGGGTAAACACAAATAAACCAAATCACTGATGCAGAGGCAAAAGGCACAGGGTGTGAGGGGACGAATGCTACACAGAGGACCAGTGCTCATCATTACTGTGATTTTACTATCCGTTTTCAGTCCTCTTCTGCAGCACTTGTGCCTTCATGGGTTTCAAGCATGCTGCTTTTGGTAAACATGCCGTTGTAAACATGGCAGTGTGTGTGTTGGAGAACATATGATTTCAGTGAGTATTTCTCAAGGAGAGCTTACAGGTGACTGTTCATCGATTAGTTGTCCTATGAGTGATATATCGGACATGACAGCAACCATAAAATTGATTCGAGATTGAATCCATCTTTCTGAGTCTGCCGTAAAAGCGTGTGTACAGGTAAATCCCATACGCCAAGAGAGAAGCCTTTGAGCTGCTGAATATCTGATAGAGTTAAACATGCAGGTATACAGTATAACTGTTACATGGATCTTGTCGCATTAGAAGATACTGTGCTGTATGACTCTCAAGGCCACCTTAAAAGTCTTTTAAAGTCGCACATAGAAACAGCCTGTATTTCAGTATGATGCAATATTGGCAGGCCCAGATGGAATCTGTGTATGTGTTATATGCTTTTTTTCTGCTCTGAATTTGGAGGAAAATCTGCTGAACTCTGCAGAATATGATATGAGTTAAGCTGAACTTATTGCTCCTTTAGTGAAAGTTTTATTATAAATAAACCTAAATACTTGATAAATAAGCTCAAGGATGGACCATATGATTTGTGGGTGAGCAGAATTAACTATACAACACATTATTTTTGCGATGTGCAGTAGTCTCAGAGCTATGCTAATTTTAAAAAGGCTGTTAAGATAGTAAATATGCAGTTTTACATTGGCTGGTAGGCTCAGAAGGCTGTTATCATCCATCCACATGGTTAATCAGCTATATTAATAGAGACTCCAGTTCCAGATCTGTTTTCACATTACTGTGACAGTTTGGTTTAGGGTTGGGATAGGGGTAGACGTTAATAAAATACAATTAACGGGAAGTTGAATAAATAATAAAAATAATTATTGTTAACTTCCGGCCGCAGGAGTATGTGATCAATAGCTGATTAACTATGTGGATGGAGGATAACAGCCTACCAATAGGCACAGAAGTCCCCTACTGGCCCATACCTATCAGCTAATAACCACTGATAACGTCCATTCAACTGAGCGCTAACAATCGAATCGGCTGATTCGTCAGTGGTGTAAAATAACTGATTGCAAATAATTAAATTACCATGAGTAGTTTTTTCCCAGAAGTAGCACATTACTAAGTAGTCCAAAAAATATGCACATTTACTTTTACTTGAGTACAATTTTAGTTCTGTGTTTTTAATCTACCAATATCCTCTTGATGTTTGTTTGTTCTTGTCTAAATGAGTACGTTTACAACGACACCAATAATCTGATTTTAACATGATGAAGAACATATGTAAACAGCGATTTTTTTAAATTAATTTAATCGGATTAAGGTCATAATCTAATTAAACAGAAATTGGATTAAGACATGTGGAGTCAGCCAATTTCAGTCGCATTACTGAAAGGCAGTACACACCTTAATCAAACTATTACCGTCATGTAGAATCAATATTTGCGACAGGATAGTCTGTACACACACGACTGTTTGACAATATTCTCTGCACCTATTGAGTCAATAGGACCACAGACACACACACCACGATATGCGGAGGTTTTTTCCCATATGGCATGCTGTATCAAATTCCATTACAATAACACTCCTCCAGCAGTTCATACTCGCATCCAATATCCTGTTTGTCATGGGGGATGCATGAATATTCCTAAACGAAAGTGAAAGTACCAAATTGCAGTATAAGTCGACAAATTAAAAATGAAACACCCAAATTTACATGAAACTTCAGAGGAAATGTGGATAAAGTGGTGACGCAATGACGTTAATTAAATCAAATGCTATGCAACATGCAAAACGGGATCATGAAAGCAACATTCAAAAAGCAACTTATGTAAACACCTTCATCCTATTATTGTCTTATTAAGATTAAGGCAGATAATTTGATTACTGATGTCCATGTTAACGTAGTCAGTGATTAACTAAGTAGAATAATCAGTCACGTGACTCCCGTCCAATCAAATTTAGCATAAAAAGAATCACACCAGTCAGACCGAGACTTGGACTCTTAATCAGTGCAGCTAATGTGGATGATGTGAAAGCATTCAAAGTTTCCCAGAAGACACAACATCATTACACACAACCAAAGGATATGTGCTGTTTTATAACTGAAATCACCAAATGGCCTTAAACTATAACTAAATGCACTACAGTATGTTACGTTTTCAAACACATACACAATTTGGATGTGTTCTATCAATGCAGCATGAGCTTGGTTTGTGGCATCAACTGCTGGACACTTGTAGCTTGTTATTTAGGGTTCAAAGTATCAAAGTAGGGATGTCCCGATCAGTTTTTTTAATCTTTTGCCCTCGAGTCTTTGAGTTTCTAACGATACCGAAACTTCATTCGATACTACTATAATATATATAGAAAAATTAATAAAAAGGAGCAAAGAAACAGATTCAGGATGTACCTTATTTTTTATTGCTTCGCCTTATTTTAACATTCAACAACTCTGTGAGTTAGCTTGAACAATCAAGCAATAAATAACAAAAGTTCTTTACTTTTGGACAGTAAATATATATATATATATATATATATATATATATATATATATATATATATATATATATAAACTAATATAAAAACAAATAGCACATCAACTTAAAATACCCAGCAGGCAATCCTAAGTTTACATATCTCACAGTTTGTTATGGCAATGTTGTCATCAACTTCATAATACCTCCAGACCGCAGACATACTCGCGATTTCCGCTTCAAGCTTCTTCTGTGTTCTACTTTGCCGGCATTAAACCAATAGCGTCTCTGCAACAAAGTGATGTCATATCACATGCTTCACACACTGTTTCTGTATAAAGTCAAGAACAAGGTCTAACTCTGTGCCACCGCATAACTATAGAGGTATATTCGAGTACTGATTGGGAAGTAACATCCGATTCCAATTGAGTCTGAAACCGTGTGATCGGGCACGATTTCCAAACAAGTGATCGGATCTGGACATCCCTAGATCAAAGTGATTTAAATAAGCCTTAACATATTGTCACAGCAAGATTTCTGCCCTTTAGGTTACAGAGTTCGCTCCACATGTAAACATGGTGACTTATTACAGATGCATATATAAAAGTAATGTGTTCTCATGTTAAATAAATCTTTAATAATAGAACTCTCATACAAGTATCGATTTAAGTAATAAAATGTATTAATGTAGCCTAGTATTAATGTAATGACATGTCAAATCACACCAAAGTCTCAATTTTTATATATTAAACTATAGATAAATATCAAAATGAGATAATCTTAATTATTATCTTTTAGACATCCAAACAGGTAAGCATGCCTTCATGCTAACTGAATAATTTATGTGCACGAGCTGAGACCAGACATGATATTTAATTGAAGCTATATACACCACTCACATCCATATTGATTAATATTGATTAGAGTTTTGTGTTGAAATGACCATCCACACACTTCACATTCAACATCTATTTCATAAATGAGGCCCACTGTTCCTATTTTAAAAGATTTGCCCCTTTCTCTTCCTTGTCCTGTTAATCCACTCTGTGTTGATTGTTTCATTAAACGTCCTTCGATCTCACCCAGATGAATGCATTGAGGATCATTGAATAGATCCAGGCAAATAAAACTGCTATGAGTACTGTAAGTCATAGTCACATACACGATTAATCCCTTGACTGCAGTAAAGGCTGGAGGAGCCAAGTGTGTCAAAAGCAGATAAAACTGTCAGCCTTTATGCAAAAGATCATTTATCAGAAACATTTCTCTTTTTTTGCAGTGGCAGGCATGGTGCTTAAACAAAGACCACACTTCTTCACATTTATATGTTTAGTCACGTAAAATCATGGCCTTCTTACTCAGAATCCTTAATACTCACAGAAGTGAACCAGACAATGCCAATAGTGCCCTCAGTGTGCCAAACTGATTCCGACTGACAGCCAGACTGCAACAAGCTGACCATATCTCATCTCTCAACTGGATATAATGCTGTAACATTTGTTTGAGTTCAACACTATAATGTAGAATATTACATTATTCTATTAGAAACTGTCACAGACCAACCACTTTCTCTTTTGTCACAGTTCTCCTGCATTATTAGGACAATAAACTCACTTTTGATCCATTACTAAAACATTCCATCAGTTTAAACCACCCGCTTTGAATGTTATCTCGATTGAATGGGCATTGTCAGTGGTTATAAGCTGATAGATATGGGCCAGTAGGGGCCCTCTATGCCTATTGCCTGGTTATCATCCATCCACATGGTTAATTAGCTATACCAATAGAAAAGACTCCAGATTCAGATTTGTTTTTAAATTACTGTGACGGTTGGGTTTAGGGTTGGGGTAGGGGTAGACATTATTAAAATACAATAAAACGGAAAATGTAATAAATAATACAAATATTAACAGAGGGCCCCTACTGGCCCATATCTCTTAGCTGATAACCACTGATAACTACCATTCAATCAGTGATAACATTCAAATTGGCTGTTCAAACTCAGCGCACCTGAATAAAAAACAAAACAAAAAACACCGTCAAAGGGAGCAAAAACAAACAAATCAACCCACACTATCAATGTTTGCTTAAAAATTGGTTCAAAGTTCGTTTAACATTATCAGTCATATAAAGAGTGGAAATCAGCATCAAGAACACAATACCCAATAATTATTACTGTGCAGATCAATCACAGTGCTTAATATAATAAGCAATCACAAATTCAACACAAAACACCCGTTGACCACACAAAACTAAAAGAAAAAGACTAATCAAAGCTTCTTATTTTTATCCCAAGAATGATGAAGTGTGTAAGAATATAATCCATAACGCAAAACTATGCTATAATTCAATGGTAATTGTTTTCTTAAATATGCCCAGGAGACCTAACCATTACATTTAATAACATTTTGAGCAAGTATTGAAAGTGTGCTGGATTATATTTACTAAAACATTACAATGTTAGAATGTAAACAGTTGTCAAATAATTAAAACAAACTGTTTATCAATGTTTGTTTAGTAATGCCCCCAAAAGAAGATGACAAGGTTTTATAACTTAACTGTATAACTTAATAATAAGGGCGGCATGGTGGCGCAGTGGTTAGCACTGTCACCTCACAGCAAGAAGGTAGCTGGTCCCAGCTGGGTCAGTTGACATTTCTGTGTGGAGTTTGCATGTTCTCACTGTGTTTGCAAGGGTTTCCTCCAGGTGCTCCGGTTTCCACAGTCCAAAGACATGCGGTGTGGGTGAACTGAATAAGCTAAATTGGAGGTAGTGTATATGTGTGAGTGAGTGTGTATGGGTGTTTCCCAGTACTGGGTTGCAGCTAGAAGGTCATCCACTGTGTAAAACATATGCTGGATAAGTTGGCAGTTCATTTCCATGTGGCGAGGCCTGATGAATAAAGAGACTAAGCCAAAGAAAAATGAATAAACTTTATAATAGGGCTGTCCGATTAATCGGAAAGTGATGGAAATCAACATTTAGAACCTATAATCGATCACATTTTTTTCAGATCAGTTTTTTTCAATTACTTTCCCCACTGCGTGTGGAGTCATGTGACCCCACTCTGTTAAGGCTGCTTTAAAGTCCTGTGTCAAACTCACGAGTGTGGTCTGGTGCAGCCTATGAGTGGTCGCATACCTGCGCAACTCTCAAAAAATGTAACTACACGTCGCTCACTTGCACTACATTGAAGATGATTGTAAGCTGCTCCAGAGATGCCTTGAAATGGCATATTTTCCATTACAATAAAATTGTTATTTTAAATAAAATATTTGTTTACAGAAGATTCAAGAAATGTTCTGATAAAATATTATTTACACAATATACAAGTAATTTTATTCAGAAGAGATACTGCTTATTTACTACTTTTTATATTAAAAACATTAAAGTGTAAGTTATTTACTTGTGACTAGTTTTAGGAAATGTGTGTTTTAATTTTAGTTATTCAGCACTGATGCTTAATAAATAATCATAGATATGAGATGGTGTGTGGTTTCTTCAATTATTTTAAAATCAAGTAATGCACCCTTCATTTAAAAATCTCTTGTAATATGTTCGCATATTTACTGTACAAAACTCAGTGAACTAAGAGGGCAAATAAAATTAAAAAAATAAAATAATTGCTTTGGTTTTAGGCCAAATCATCCAGCACTACTTTAAAATATGATAACTGTTTAATAGTGTTACTGATCATGTAAAAGTACTTTTTCATTACTTGATTACATTTTAAAATACCATCTAAAATAACAAACTTTGCACTTTTACACTTCTGTGGTCAAAACACAAAACTCATGAACAGCCATTAACACATACACACTGACATTCTGTATTAAGTCAGTATTTAGGCAGAAATCTTGGGAGTAATATTTGATGCCACTTGACCTTCAAAACACACACAATCCTGCAGATTTGCACCACACAACATCAAAGCATGATACACAACTTTGTGTCCAGATCCTTTTCATTTTTAGGCTGGACTACTGCAGTGCTCTTTAGGCAGGACATTTATCCTGTGCAATAAAACTTCAAAATGCAGCAACATGACTGAGAGCCCATGTCATCCTTCTCTTTATCTCTCTGTACTGGCCATCGGTTGCAGATCACATCAAGTTCAAAACATTGATATGCTGCACCCTCCAACCTCCATTTGCACTTATAAGTGTCACCTTGTCACTTCAAGCCACAAAATCACTTCACAGAACCATCTAATTCAGCGTTCCTGTGGGAATGATCCTCTCCAACCCATCCAAATTGCAGAATATCTGACAATATTCAAGAAGTAGATGAAAACTCATCTCTTTCATGAGAATATAACCACATCAGACAACCCCCCCCCCCCATTTTTTTCTTATTTCCTCCCTAGTCTTGTACTATTCTAAACGATTTCTAATTTGTATCACATACAATTTTAGTTTTAATTTGACTTTTGTTGAAGATTCACTGAAATTTGGGGAAAAAATACTTTAATTCCTTGAAAATGGGTAAAAATTGTTTGCTAAATAATAAATAATAATAAAAAAATTGAAAAAAAATTGAAAAAAATAAAAAACTGAAGAAAAAATAAATAAATTGAACAAAACATACTATTATTTACTAATATGAAAAACTATTATTTACTAAACGCAAAATACTATTACTAACTAATACAAAAAAAATACTATTATTTTTTTTTTATTTGGATGCAAAATGTTAACATTACCTTTGCCTGTTTGCATATATGTAAAAAATGTCAAACAGACATCCAAACATAGATTTCCTGGAGGGCTAAATTTGGGCTGCAAATGAAAATAGACATCCAATAATAGTCTAAAAATAGAGTCATCAAATAAACAGATTAGACAAACACGTGCAATCATTCATTCCTGTATATTTGATGACTAGTCTTAGTACTATTGTTAAGACGTCTATTAGACGTCAGTGACAGCCCGAATTAATTTGTTTGGCTCTCTATTAGGTGTGGTTTACTCATAAACTGAGGGGGGTCTGGATGCAGACCGGGTGCAGTGCAATCTTAGCTGCATCCAATGCTTTCTAATGGGCTCACCTAAACGCACCCCTGACCCTACCCATCACAGTGACGTCACTTACTCCATTGTGTCTGACATGGCATCACTGAGTGATGCAATCCCAGCTTGCATCATAAGCCGTACTTAAACTATGTACAGTTGCCTCGAAACGAGCCAAAGCACGCTTGTCCCCCCTCCCGTCTCCCCCGACGGCCCGCACTCACATTACAATCAGGCCTGGGCACGCTTACGTCATCGATGCTGCACTGTTCAGTAAGCGCTCTCGCTCAGCACAGTGGACATTTCTCTAGTTATATCGTTTCAGTTGTTTGATATGCAGTGACATGCAGTCAAATATTTCCCCAAACAGTCCTTAGGGATGCGGTGACACGCAGTCAGATATTTCGCTGAACAGATCCTCCACTTTTGGCACTCATAAACCATCATAAAGCCCTCGTGCTGCAGGAATGAGGAGGTTTGCTGAAGGTGTGCAGCTATCAAGCAGTAAGGGGTTTGCATCTTTAATAAACAACAGCAGTTTGCATTCATTGAACAGTATTGATTAATAAATACATATGAAATAGTCCCTTAAATGTCACGTCTCGCTTTCAGTTTCGGGCTTTGGCGTGTTTTGCACTCACACTACAAGCGTACCGCGCCAAAGCCCAAATGAACCGCGCTCAGGCCCACCTCTTCTTACCAGGCCAGGGCCGGCCAAGTGAACCGTGCTTGAGCCCGATTCAGCGCACTCACACTTCTCAAACCATCCGGGAAACGGGCCTGGGCACGATACGGATGGCATAGTGTGAGTAGGCCCATAAAGGCTGCATCCAGATACTATTGCATAAACTAATTTCGAGGATCACATGTATTTCTGTGTGAAGTTTGCATGTGGGTTTCCCCCAGGTTTCCCGGTTTCCTCCCACCGTCCAAAGACAAACACCATAAGTAAACTGACTACTCCAAAATAGCATCTTAAGAAAACTCTTAGCCAGATATATCTCAGTACGTTCACAAGCTGGGGAGTTCTCAAGACCTACCTCAGCTCAAACTTCCCTCTCGCCCTTCAAACGAGAGGGAGCCCCGGGCTCGAGTTTATTCTGAGCTCAGGGCTCTCTCCCGGGACAGCATGCCAAATACACTTTATTATCAATTATCAGCTAAGTCTGAACTTTTGAAATGTCTTTTTAACACAAAATTGCTTAGTGGGAAATGTGATTCATCAATGTTTGTTGACTGTACAAGCTCAAACTTCGCATTTCAACTTTAAAGCTCTCTGATGATACTAAAATGAAACTAATATATCAATTGAAGAGTCGTTATTAGTTCAAACTTCTACTAACCGATCCCCACACTTAATAATAACAGCAGGATGCTCTGCTGCTTTGGCCATGATGACCTCACATGTACTGTGCAAACTAGCCCTGTTTACTTGTCATGCAGCCCCAAGTGTTTTGGGCATCTCATGCAGGAACATGCTGCAGTCCATCGCAATCCAAGGCTGACATCAGATTGGTGCCAAAATGTGCATGGATTTTGAATTTCCTCAGCCTTTAGACTGCTTCTGACTTTTTAAATAAAAAGAAAACTCTAGCTTTCTCTCTCAGGCTCTTGAAGCAGGCAGTGCTCAGAAAAATAGACTACCGACCAGACCCGCAATTCTCCTTACTCCTGCGCTTTTTCTCCATCAGTTTTTGCCTCTTCAACTCCAGCAGACGCGCCTCCACTTCCTCCTGGTCTTGACGGCACTTGTGGAAGTTTTCCACCACTACTCCGACAAACATATTCAGGACGAAGAAGCTGACGATTAGCAGAAAGGAAATAAAATATAACAGCATCCAGGGGTTGTGGTTGCGCTCAGGCTGTGGACATGAAGGGCAGGAAGACAAAGGACAAATCCATCATTTGACAAATAAGGAATGTCTCACGATCTTTATAAATGCTGAAACAATACTGGCTAAAATGAGCAAAGCAGATGCAAACCTGCTGGTCCACACCAACAGCATCCAACCCATCATACATTATATTGACCCATCCATCCTTACAGGAAAGCACGAAAAGAGACATGAGAGCCTGCGGAAGAGAGAACCATCATTCATTCAGTGCCATTACAGGACTCATATATGCAATCTGGGAATCATTTCGACCATATTACTGCAGAATTTTTTTTTTCTGAAGGTCGAGCATCATGACCTCACTTTTTTATTCAGCCAGTCACTTTATTATTCTTCACAGTGTCAAAACACCCCCTCTCTATACTTTCATTCCCCCACATTTAGCTTTTAATTTTATAACAAAGTCAAAACCTACAATTTGTAGTAGTAGCCCTTCTTGTGAGTATTGCTTCTTAAGGATAAGTTGCTTAATGCCTTCCTCATTAGTAAATCATTTTGGACTAAACCGTCTGCTATATGACTAAATGTAAATATAAAATCTATGAATGATATCTGAGGAAAACAGTACCTGTCCCAAGTTGTCAAAATTGTACTTTCTTCTGATCCATTTGAGGTTTGCCTGAAGACAGTCAGACTTATTGGTGATGTTTCTGGTATCGCCGCCTTCACAGTGGAAAAACTTTCCTTTGAAGAGCTGCAATTGATCAAAGCAAACATGTTCATAGCATGCTCATTGCAAAAATCTAATTTAATATCCCAATATCTGTGCTGACAGATGCAATTGCTTTAAAAACCACTCTGAAAACCATGCTCTGCATTTTTTAAATGCTCCATCAGTTCATGAAGTGCTCACAGCTGAGCATTTCTTTAACTCAGATTCATTCTAAAAATGTACCTCTAAATATATATTTCTAGAAAGCGACAAATATGTCCCAGGAACTACATTTTTTTGCAGTTTTTGTTTTAAATCCACCAGAGACCACTGTGTATGCTTTTTAAGATCTCAAATTTCTCTCCTGAGTGCCTTTCGCATCTGCTATTCTTGTGTAAACCCACCAGAGGCTGCTGTTGACTGAATGACCGATCGAATGACTCACCCTCCTCCTTCCTCAAAGCCAACCAATAGTGTTTTCAAAAGCACAGATTGACCCACCCACCATCCCAGCCAACACTCCTTGATTTCAGACCCATCTCCCACCACTATCTTGTTTTGTTATTTCTTCCGGAAAACTCCCACAATATCACCCCCACCCCCCCTTAGTAAAAAAGTTCTCAACTTTTTGATACAGACTGTAACACCCCTGGGAGTGCATAGTACAGTTAATTACCCGGTTCTCAGCTGTGTTATTTAGACACTTCACTCCCGATACTGCAGCCACAACACAGAATGAGTCTGTGTTGGCATTTTTAGAACAGCACTGGTGTTTTAAGATGTCAAAATGCTTCGATTGACAATTTTAATTTGATGAGAACACCTATAGTGTCATCTTTGACCTGTTCATATTGTAAATATTTTACATTTATATCTTGCCATTTGAAAAATATTTTTAGCTAATTCGCCCCAATAAAATGTAGTGACTGATGCATTCACCTGAACTCCAAGAATGCCGAAAACAATAAAGAAAGCACAGCAGATCAGCACAATGTTCCCAATGGGCCTCAGGGACGTTATCAACGTTTCTACTACCAGCTTCAGACCAGGAGCACGACTAATTACTCTATAGAGAGAAAACAGACAAACAAAGACAAGCCATTTCAAGCTGTTTAGATTCCGTTCCATAGATTTAACATTTATACAATGACACAATTGTCTGAATGACCTTTAAGATCAATAAACCACTGCCTGCTTTAAAATCATTTCAAGGCTAACAGACTTCACTTTGCCAAGCTTAAGCTGAATCAGTAAGTGGGCTTGTAGCGTGTAGGTTCTGGAAATAATGCAACCACATAATTAACCTTCAGTTTATTCCTTAACTGGAGCAATGACCATGTAGGGGATTTCATTGATCGCCTGTGCCTCAGACGTGCATGTTTTGACCTTTCGCTGGCTCACCTCAGTGGCCGCAGAGTTCGCAGCAGGCGAAGAACCCTCAGGATGCCAAAGATTCGGTTTCCAGTCCAGGCCAGAGAGACCAGAATGTCAATGAGGGACACAAAGACCAGCACCCCATCCAAAACATTCCATGTGCTCTTTAGATAACTCTGGTTCCCGGAGTAGAAACCAAGGGCCACAACCTTTAACACAAGCCATATAACGTCTATGCAACTGTTTTATGAAATGTATGCTCTTAACAAAGAAAGAATAATATAAAACTCTAAATCATACCTTCACTGTCATTTCAGCAACAAATATCACAGTGAAAACATAGTTTGAGACGAGGAGAAATAATCGCTCCTAAAATAAAAAGCAAATGAACAAACTTCATTGTATATTCAGTAAGCAACAAAATAGCAAATGAGATTAAAGATTCCACTTACAGATTGTTGAATATGGGGTCTCTCCAGAGCAATAGTGATGCAGTTTAGGAAGATGAATACTAAAACTACATAATCAAACATCTTGTGAGAGATGAGTTTTTGACACATCATCCGAAACCTAAAAGAGAATTGTAGAACAATCACAAATGTGAACATTTCATCATGTTGAGATCTTTTTAAGCTCATGAATCATAGGCTATGAGAAGGAAACTACTCTTCAAACTACAGTATAGGTCAACAGGTGCACAGTTGTGGGAACCACATAAGTTTGGGAAACTGTTTTGAAATTTTTGGTATGCCCTGTTTCGGAAATTAGATAATTAAGTTGGGAAATTGCAAACTTAGTTTGAAAGAAGGATTAGGGAAATGCACTCCTTACTGGAAAATCTGAACCAGTGAGTCGTTAACTACAGACTCGCTCTGACCAGATCATTTGAATAAGAACTGTAAGTTGTCAACAGCACACTTGCTCTTTATGGTTCATTTAGAATCAGTGAGTCATTAACTGCAGACATGCACAGAATGGCTCATTCGAATCAGTAAGTCAATAACTGTAAACTCACTTAGAATTCAATATGTGAGTCATAAACTGCAGACTCTCTCAGAATATATCATTTTAATCGTTGAGTCATCAACTGCAAACTCGCAATGAATGAATCATTTGAATCAGTGAGTTGTTAACTGCAGACTCCCTCAGAATGAATATTTTGAATCATTAAGTCATTAACTGCAAACTCGCATTGATTAAATCATTTGAACCAGTGAGTTGTTAACTGCAGACTCACTCAGAATGGATAATTTTAATCATTGAGTCATCTACTGCAAACTTGCACTGAATGGATCATTTGAATCAGTGAGTTGTCTACTGCAGACTATCTCAGAATAGATCACTGTGATCAGTGAGTCGTCAACTGCAAACTCGCAATGAACAAATCATTTGAATCAGTCAGTTGTTAACTGCAGACTCACTCAGAATGGATCATTGCATTCATTGAGTCATCTATAAACTCTCAAAGAATTAAATATTTGAATCAGCGAGTCGCTAACTGAGGACTCGATCAGTATGGATCATTTGAATCAGTGAGAAGTCAACTGTAAACTCACATTGAATAGATCATTTGAATCAGAGAGTTGTTTACTGCAGACTCTCTCAGAATAGATCGTTTGAATCACTGAGTCATCAACTGCAAACTTTTAAAGAATGAGTCATTTGAATCAGTGAGTTGTTAACTTCAGACTCACTCAGAATGGATCATTGCAATCCGTAAGCCATCAACTGCAAATTCTCAAAGAATTAATCATTTGAATCAGTGAGTTGTTAACTGCAGACTAACTAAGAATGAATCATCATAATCATTAAGTCGTCAACTGCAAACTCGCAATAAATGAATCATTTCAATCAGTAAGTCGTTAACTGCAGACTAGATCAGAATGGATCATTTGAATCAGTGAGTCATCAACTGCAAACTCGCAATGAACGGATAATTTTGAATTAGTGAGTCATTAACTGCAGAATCACTCAGAATAGATCATTTGAATCAGTGAGTCATCAACTGCAACCTTACAATGAATGAATTATTTGAATCAGTGAGTGGTATTGCTTTCAAATCTAGTGAAGTAAAAATAAAGAGTCACACATAAAGATAAAGAAATGATGTCTAAAAATGCACTTAAGTATAGTGGTAAAATGATATCAGGACAATTACGTACTTGTTATGAGGAGAGAACAGGTAAAGTGACCATTCCTCATGATCTTTGCACCACTTGGGTTTATAAGCTGCCAGGGTCCTCCTGAGACGGAAACAGAAGCTCTGTAACATACAAAACAGAAGTGTCAGCAAACTCAACCTGAACTATAGCTAATTACTACATCTTTAAACACAACTTTTCAAAAGTTTAAAGCATTTAGCTTAGATTAGAACCTTCACTTATTAGCATTAGGCTAATGGACTTCATTCAATACATCAATAAAGAGGAATTTGAAATGTCTGCTTGGTTAAATGTGATGAATCACCGTTTTGTAAACATGTAGTAGACTGTTTATCTTGGTTTATTTTTTGTTTTCTGCAATATACATTTTGTGCAATTAAAATCTAATTGCATCTCACTGATTTGAAAGGTACTCAGATTGAAAGATGGATCAAGAAATGACTCCATAATGTATCTGTAATTATAAGGATGGCAATACATTTGTGGGAAATCACTTCCACTTGTTCTTGCACAGCACTGACACATTTATGGATTCTTATGGAAATTTTTATGCACCCACTTATGTAACATCATGAATAACCCATTTTAATAACAAAATAACCATCGTAGGTGTTAACAAATTACAGTTTGACTTCTTATATGAACACACAATCTTCAAGTAAACAAATAAAACAAATGTAAATGAACACAAAATAAAAACATTTAAGTGAAAAAATATTATATTATATTATTATATTATATTATATTATATTATATTATATTATCCATTATTATATTTTTATAATTGTTCTCTTTAAATCATGTTTTTTTTTTTTACTTTTTTCACCAAGTACCACCTCAGAAAAAAAAAAGTCTCTCCATGTACCACCATAATGATTAAATTGAAATATATAGTACGCCTAATTAAGCAGCTACAACTCTGCACAGTTCACAAACGTGGCAGATTAAATCTTATTATTATGAATATTTATTATTGTCAGCCACTTAAAACATAATAAATAGTTTGAACAATAACACACTTACAGTTAAAAAAAGACAAATAAAACGTCAACGTAATTTAAAAGTTAATTAAAAATGGCATTGTTCTTAAAAAGTTGAAAGAAAACTGCTGTATATAATATATTAATATATAATATATTATATAATATGTTAAAGAGGGATGATGAGTCAGGGAGGACAGACTTAATAAACCTAATTCTCAGCCATGAGTCGGGTCTAAGACAACACACAACAGATAATTCTAAAAAACATGTTTTTTTTTGTTTTGTATTTTATAGAATTGTCTACAAATAATATATAATAATAGATATTTATTTTAATTGATTAGCTAAACCTAATAGTGACTTGTTTTCTTTGCTCATACCTATTTTAAAAACCATAACAAACCATAATCATAATTATATGATATTGGTGCTCACATAACATGCTCACTATTATCAATAATAAAATCTGTTATTGCTGCTGATCAATACTTCAATATTACAATAAAAAATCATTGAAAATGTGAATTAGTAGGATGTCCAGACATTTGCCTATCTGTATACATTGTACTGTATGTGAGCCTGTATTGTATTGTAGCCCCATGGTTCCTGCTTATTTCACAGCACTCGAAACTCAATTTCAAAACGAGGCCTCTTGAGTGCGCAGATATCATCACACTGACACCAATAAAGGTCACTTTCCATCAGCCAAGAAAAACAATTACTGCCTCCAAACTACCATGCAGAATCAATTACAGCTTGACAATTAGTCTCCACACAAGAAAACCCCCTAAGGAAAAAAAATCTTTGAAAAACAAGGCACAACTGTAACGAACAACACAGAAGAGGCGCAACGTACATCATCCAAGTCCTCCTCAGCGATGGAGTCCTCCTTGTTGAGACTGGCAGACAGGTCAGCGAGTATGTGTTGGCTTCGTCCATTGCAGTCGAGGTATTCCCCCATTTGAGGCAGTTCTGGGATGTCCAGAGAGCTGGGGTGCTGCAGGGAGCCTCCGCTGATGTTAGTCAGCTTCTCCGCCTCTATGTCGTCATCCTCAAAGCTGCCCCTGCCTTCCCCGGACAGCAGAGACTCGCGCTCCCCAGATGTGTCCTTCCTTTTCAGACTTGGCGCTCGTCCTAAGCTGTTCCAGGACGACCTGCGGCTGCCCCAGTTACTGCCCGAGCCACGGGGGTGGCATGGTGATCTTCTTGGACTGGACTGGAATAGTAAAAGAGTATACACACATACAGTACATAACAGTATGCAGTAGTAGAGAATGCTTCAGAAAGAAAGCTGCTTTCATTTTGACAAAGACTACAAACCAACTGCATGCTTGTTTCCTACATGTGGTTTTAGGTATACAGTAGTCAACATTTGAAGTGGATCATCACAATTCATCAAAGCTGTCCTACAACTATTAAAACAATTGGACAATGCTGAAAAACATTTTCGATTCACTTTGAATGTTGACTACTGTATATCCAACCCATTAGACATGCATATATATATAGGCTACACTTAAATATATTAAATACCTAACACCCAGGCTGTCTACAAAAAATACTTTTTTTTTTCTGAGGAAACTTAGATTGTTTCGGGTTTGTAGCTCTATGATGACACTGTTTTATAAACTATTTATTAAATTTGTTTTATCTTTCTGCATAGCAGGCAAGATCATTTGATTTCCTCAAAAACGGAAATATAGCGAAATGTAGTAAAAAAAAATAATTAAACCATATTTATAGTAAAAAGTGTTTTTTTATTTATAGTCTTGTTAGTTTCATACTGTTTTGAAAAAATAAAACATTTATATTACTTTCAGAAAGAAAGTTTAAACATTCGAACCGAAATAAACATTTGATTTAATCAGCCCACAATATTGTCAGTATATTGGCTACTTTGTATGAAATCGTACAATTTCACTTGTATAAAAATGTACGATTTGTTAAAGGGAGATGTAGCCCAAATTCCAACAATAAACCTAACCCTTATTGAGGGAAAAACAAATCATACTAAAATATACAAATGAGGTTAACACCTTATTTTGATGGTCCGTTTGAGTATTAGTAGACTGGTTTAATATGTTGATACTGCTCATTCAACAGACATTTAACTGACTATAAGAAACTTTGTAAGAACATGTCAACTTACAATAACCCTAACCACAACCTAACAGTCTAATGAGAATTAGTCGGCATGTGGATGCAATGAAACTTAAATACAAACAGACCATTAAAATAAAGTGAGATCATACAAATATATATGTAATGAATTTGACACTCAAAAAGTTACAAATTGCTGTAAGACTGCATTGTTTTAACAAATAAGTAGAAAGTGATTATATTCACACTGAATACATTGGACACATCTAACCATTATCATTCAACAATTTAAACTACCTGTCAAAAGTTTGGGGTCAGTTTTTTTAATGTTTTTTAAATAAAAGTATTCTGTTCATCAAGGCGGCATATATTAAATAAAAAAAATCTAAATTTGTAAAATTTTTTATAAAAATTTCTTATTGTATGTAGTTTCAAGTGAAATTATCACTCCAGTCATTGTTGCTTTTATTACTATCACAATTGATAATAGAAGACTGGATTAATGAAGCTGAAAAATTCATCATTAAAATCACTTCAATAAATAATTTAATTAAATTATAAACTACTTTTGAACAGTTATTTTATAGTGCAATAACATTTCACAGTTGTATGATTTGTACTGTATTTTTAATGAAATAAATGCAGCATTGGTGAGCAGAAGAAGCTTATTTTAAAACATTTAAAAATCCTACTCACCCCAAACTTTTGACCGGTAGTGTAGCTAATTAATATTTAAATAACACTGTTAAGTTTTCATTCATCCCACCTTAATTTACCTCACTGCGATAAAAAGGTAAATAATGTTATTAGGTGATTACAAAACTGCCTGAAACGATCAATCTATGACACCACAATAATAAACAAACAAGACTTTCTTACCAGGGACTTCTGATCAAAAGCATTTGGATCTATGGAGACAGCACTGCCCCGTCTGGACTCGGTCAAGTCAAACACAGACTCGGGCCCCAGAGAGCTCTTTGGAGTGGGCATGGGTGTGGCAGCAGTGCGCATGATGATTGGTGGAGGCAAAGTGCCACAAGGATCCACATGCCCATTGGCTGACAACATCAGAGAGTAGAACTTCAAGTCTGGATCAGAAATTGAAAGGGGTTCTAGAATACAAGTTATCACCATGCAGGAATTACTTAAAGCATGCAAAGTTGTTTTTAAGTATGCTCATACACTCATCGGCCACCTTATTAGGTACACTTGTTCAACTGCTCATTAACGCAAATTTCTAATCAGCAAATCACATGACAGCAACTCGATGCATTTAGGCATGTAGACATGGTCAAGTAGACCTTCTTCAGTTCAAACCGAGCATGAGAATGGAGAAGAAAGGTGATTTAAGTCACCTTGAACGTGGCATGGTTGTTGCTGCTGCCTGACGGGCTGGTTTGAATATTTCATAAATCTCTAGGGTGTACAGAGAATGGTCCGATAAAAGAAAATATCCAGTGAGTGACGGTTCTGTGAGCACAAATGCCTTGTTGATGCCAGAAGTCAAAGCAGAATGGCCAGACTGGTTAGAGCTGAGAGAAAGGCCACAGTAACTCAAATAACCACTCGTTACAGCCAAGGTATGCAGTCGCAGTCGAACACGTCGAACCTTGAGGTGGATGGGCACCACCAGCAGAAGACGACACCAGATGCCACTCCTGTCAGCTAAGAACAGGAAACTGAGGCTACAATTCACACAGGCTCACCAAAACTGGACAATAGAAGATTGTAAAAACGTTGCCTGGTATATAGAGTCTCAATTTCTGCTGTGACATTCGGATGGTAGGGTCAGAATTTGGCATCAACAACATAAAAGTATTGATTTATTCTGTCTTGTCTCAATAGTTCTGGCTGGTTGTGGTGTAATGGTGTGGAGGATATTTTTTGGCACACTTTGGGCCGATTAGTACCGATTGAGCATCATGTCACGGCTTACCTGAGTATTGTTTTCCATCTCTTTATGACAACGGTGTACCCATCTTCTGATGGCTACTTTCAGCAGGATAAAACGCCATGTCATATAGCACCAATTATCTCAGGATGATTTCTTGAATATGACAATGATTTCACTGTACTCAAATGGCCTCCACAATCATCAGATCTCAATCCAATAGAGCACCTTTGGGATGTGGTGGAACGAGAGATTCGCATTGACAAATCTGCAGCAACTGTGTGCTGCTATCATGTCAATATGAACCAAAATCTCTGAGAATTATTTCCAGTCTCTTGTTGAATCTATGCCATGAAGGATTAAGGCAGTTCAGAAGGCAAAAGGGGGTTCAACCCGGTACCAGAAAGGTATACCTAATAAAGTGGCCAGTGAGTGTATACTCTATATAAAATAGATGCTCAATGAATTTAATGTGATTGAAAGACCACTGCTGTCTTTAATGGCATCTATAACGGACTAAAGTCTATGTCTGAATGAATGACTAAGAAAAATTGATGTAGTGTAAAAATTGTTCATGCATGCACAAAAAGTAATTTTGCATGTTAATAACATTTTATGAGTAAAAGCAAGTAACCTGAACTTTGCAGCTGCTCCATTTTCTCTTCAGAGTTCACTGATGTCTTTTCCTCATCTCCGTCTGACTTGTTAGCATCTCCCTGCAAAGCACAAGAGATTTTATGGACAGCTCACAGTGTTTCAGTAACCGCTGAGCCCAGTAAAGCTTTATTCTGGATGCATTGAAGCCAAACAGGAGATGCGCTCTCTCAGAGGACATCAACAACAAACTGGCCTTCACTCAGTCTCAGCCTGCTGTGCATTCAGACAGCTGCGGTGCCTGCATCATCAGTGCCCTGCTACTTTGTCAGTCCTCTTTTTCGGCTGGGTTGTGTGAAGTTGGTGTTTGTTTTAGCCTTCGCAGGTTTACACCTACTAATAACAAGTTCACAATTCACACAGTCCCCAAGCATGACAGATGGGCCAAACGCTGCAGCACTGTATCAGCAATGCACTTTAACTCCCCAGACTATCTGGCGGAAGCAGATACTTAGTTTGTGCACAAATCTGCATCCTCATGAAGCCAAATGTCTGTTGCACAAATGCCACAGGTTAACCTGGAGTGACCATCCCGTATATTACAGTAGCTACCAGGTTAAATCTAGTTCTTAATTTATATATATTCATATAATTCATTTATATGAAATTATCCACTATACCCTTTAATATTGCACAATTTGAGGCAGCAAACATTTGCAAGCCATAGTGGATGTTCTGAAGTGCACTCAGTCGATCCCACAATGCACTGCAATAACCAGTGTACAACTGATGTACATTCAACAGTCAGAAAATACCCATAATAATGCACTGTGAAAGTTTGCATGTGAATGAGTTTACGCATCAGACCACGGAATGACATTGACAGCTGAATCCTATGGGTGTAAGTTTTATATACATTAATTATTAAATTAACATTTGTACATTTGACAGAAATCTAAATATTTAGTTTGATTATTAATAGACAGATTGATAAGCGTTAAATATCTATCACAAGGTCTGTCTGAGGGAGTTATCAATCTGCAAAGCACAATCAAATCAACATCCCTTCCAGTGCACTCAGCTATTTTCAACCACTCCTTTAAGTTTAATATATTAGACAAACAGGGGCGGACGTAGGGCCTAAGCAATTCCAGGTATGCGGCCCTAGCATGAAACTTAAAACACTCACTTTCTTTTTTTGTAAATAAACTGCATATTAAAAATATATTTTATATGGAACCATATTCTTTTAAATGTAAAATTAAATGCAATAAATGAACAATTAAAAAGCAAGTTCACAAACTAACTATTAACAGTTAATTAGCCATTTTTGTGATTAGATTTGAATACTTTCATGTGCAGTATCAAAGGAACATTCCATTAGTTATGGGGGTCTCAGGTTCGAAAATAAGTAATAACTTCAAAAAATAACCTTAAATGATAACCTTAATGGTTTTAGACAGATTTTACAACATATGATAAAAAATATACAGTTGATGTCAGAATTATTAAAAGTATTTTCCAAATTATGTTTAACAGAGCAAGGACATTTTCACAGTATTTCTGATAATATTTTTTCTTTTGAATAAAGTTTATTTTTGTTTTATTTCGGCTAGAATAAAATCCTTTTGTTATTTTTTAAATAAACATTTTAAGGTCAAAATTGTTAGCCCCTTTAAGCTAGATTTTATCTTGATAGTCTACAGAACAAACCATCGTTATACAATAACTTGCCTAATTACCCTAACCTTACTAGTTAACCTAATGAACCTAGTTAAGCCTTTAAATGTCACTTTAAGCTGTATAGAAGTGTCTTGAAAATATATAGTTAAATATTATTTACTGTCATCATTTCAAAGATAAAATAAATCAGTTATTAGAAATGAGTTATTAAAACTATTATGTTTAAAAAAAGTGTCATAAAAAATCTCTCCATTAAACAGAAATTGTGGGAAAAAAATAAACAAGGGGGCTAGTAATTTAAGGGGGCTAATAATTCTGACTTCAATGTTATAACAGATCTATATGATTAATGTAGGCTTCTTGGGATTGGTCGGGCCCCCTAATTCCCCAGGGCCCTAAGCAACTATTTACCTCGGTTCTTGGTTAAGTACGTCCTAAATGATAAATGTAGAGAATAGTGACTGAGGGTAGGGTATACTTCAGAAACAGCTTTTATGATGACGTTTCATTAAGTATTTATTTAATTTTCTTTATTTTGGTAACACTTTATTTTGATGGTCCATTTGAGTATTAGTAGACTGTCTGCTTAATATCTGATGATACTGCTCCTTCAACAGACATTTAACTGACTATAAGAAACTTTACAAGTAAATGTCAACTTACACAAACCCCAACCCCAACCTAACTGTCTACTTATAATCTATCGAGATTTAGTTGGCTTGTAGATGCAATGTCACTTAAATTCAACAAACGGACCATCAAAATAAAGTGTGACCTTTATTTTTTTCTACAATTCTTAAATAATAATTCTAAATATAACTGCAACCGCTATAAAAAAATGATTAAAACATTGACATCCAATCAGAAGCCATCTTGTGTTAAAAAAGATTAAGATGACAGAAATGTAGCATGCGTTTATAATAAACATTGCTTTTGTGTATTGCTTTTAATGAATAAATATGTGTCATTATAGCTATTTGTATAGTTACTGTTTTTGATGGGTACATGCTTTAAATGTGTGGAACAAATTGTGAGGGTTGTAAAAAGATCTTTCTGCTTTTTAAGTTCAATTCGAGTGTTTACATAAAATAAAATAACTCTTGATTTTTTGAAGTACAGATAACAGATGTTTTCAAAAAACTGCATGACATTCCTATTTTACACATGGAGGAAAATTTTAGGCAAATGAAAGGGCAAAATGCATAAACCATTCTGTTTGTAGTTGAACAATTTGTATTGTAAATACTTTTTGTGTACCACAAAGGTTGTTTTAGATTTACAGTGCTCAGCATATATAAGTACACCCCTCACAAATATTTTTTACCCCTCACAATTATTTATTATATTATTGATTTTTTTATAATTTTTTAAGGAGGTAAACACCTGAAAACATATTTCTCATGTTGACTGCGGCACTGTATAAGCAATTCCATTTAACTCAACAAATCTAGAAAGAGCAGCAACTTTGTTCACAGATCTGCTTTCTCCACAAAAAAACAAAAAAGTAAAACACTTAAAATAGTGAAATAGAATCTTTTTTGTTACCTCCGCCTGAAACCCTTCCACTAAAATGGCCACCAGTAGATTAAAGAGCACATAATTCCCAAACGTCATGAGGGCAACAAAATAAAGAGCCGCCCATGGGCTGGTGGAAGCCATTCCATTATAGAGGACCACGTTCCAGTCTTCCTGGGTCAGAATCTGAAACACAAACGCAAGCAGTTTGTATAATAAATACAAGAGGACTGGATGAAAGGGGGAGAACTGTGTATTCAATAATGTGCAATATATAGTAGTGCTTTGTCTAGTGTTTTCCTGTGTCAGATGTGTTTCAGCAGTGAATAATACACATACATTTGATGACGTTGGTCCAAATAAAAAGTGTTTTTCTTTTTTTTTGATGACATTGTACAATCTATCCAGAGTTGTACTGTAAGTAGTTCGCTGCCATAGTCTAGCAATTAAGACTTTCTAAAATCGCAGAATAATGTTTGATAATGAAGTGAGAATAGCTGCTGTAAACGTGCATGGAACAAAAAGACAGCAGTGCGGATTTGGCAACTCGGCCGAATCGCAAGATATTATGCTGATGCAAAAAGTACTGTAAAGCACACAAAGGATTTACAATGTAGTGAGCTGCAAAGTAGAAAGATTTGGGGTTCATGTGTCGGATTTACGGGGTAAACAAATTGTTTTTCAAATATTTCTCAAGAGCTATTTAATGGAGAGAATGATTTTTCCAACACATTTTTGAACAACTGTTAAATAACTACCTAATTTATTTTGTCATTGCCATGATAATAGAGCACAATATTTTACTAGTTATTTTCAAGATATTAAGGTTCAGCTTAAAGTGCAATCTAAAGGCTTAACTGAATAGCTACTTTGCAGCTCACTAGATTAAGTTTACGCTTAAGTTTATTTGTCGCCACTGTTGTCACTGGCTTGCTTGGTTTGGAACTTGTGGAACTGCGCATCAATGAATTAGGTCTTCAGTGGCTGCTTCCAGCAGTGAAATTTATATCACACTGAACAGACCTAAACTAAACTTAAACTCTAAAAACTGAACTTAAACAGTTTCAATTTACTAGAACTTCTATGTTAAGCTTCTTTGACACAATCTACATTGTAAAAGCGCTACAGAAATAAACATGAATTGAACTGAATTGAACTGAAGGTAAATAGGTAGTTAGGTCAACAGTGGTTTGTTCTGTAGCCATTTGCAAAACAAAATCTAAAGGTGAACTTGATTTTGGCAGTTTTCAATATTTTCAATATTTTTAATATAATTCCAGCCAAACTAAAAGAAATGATATAATTCCAGCCAAACTAAAAGAAATGAGATGTTATACAAAAATGTAATAAAAAATACTCTGAAAAAAAAATCTTGCTCTGTTAAACATCACTTGGGAAAAATAATCAAATTTGACAGGAGGGCTAATGATTATGATGCTTATTTCTCCATTTTCAAACATTTATTTATTTTTTCAGAAATCAATGATATTAGTCACATCGCATTTGTGATTTTTTTTTTTTTTTACAATTTACTTAATGAACTGTATCAAAACTCGACTAATTCTTCAAAAACCTTATAACTTAAGTTATAGGTTGAAGTAGAGCATTATCTTTTTCTTAAGAAACAAAAAAAATCTGTAAATTCTAATCTTTTGTGAATTTGAGGTGCATAAAAAAGCCTGTCACCATTTTACAACCTGTCTTAAATAGGCTTCGCTCAGCACCTCATTATTTAAAACATGAGCTTTATGTGAGCTTTATGCATTCGAACATTAAAGACAAGCACCTACATTGCACAATAAACTTTATAGCCTGTGCGCTAATGAAAACAATGCAATGCACTTACTGCATTTGGGGAAATGTTATTAAAATATAAAGACACATGCAATACTCTGACCATTTGTAAAGCCACAATACCAACTCTGGCAATAAAGTGTTTCATTATTTTGATAATACAAGGCTTTATCATTGCTGAAACAGATCTGAAAATACAAGGTTACCTTACTGAAATGAGCAATTATTTATACACACTTTACTTTTGATGTTTCATGTGTTCATACATTGCAACTAAGAACAGCTCTATACATAGCACAACCCTGGTACAGCCAGTACTGTTTCTATTCTGACCTGAAACACAGTGACAATGGCCCACAGCAGGGAATCAAAGTTTTTCCTGTCCGGAATAGTGTCTCCATTCTCCATCTTCAGGCTGAATTTGCATCCGAACAGATGCATTCCGAGTATGCTTTACAGACAAAAGAAAAAATAAAAGCATTTAAATTTAACTGAAAAAAACTCACAATTATGTGCAACAAAAATGAATGAATGCAGCATGCGTTATCTAATACAAACTGCAATTATTTTAATTTTGACTATAATCTCATAGTCTTATAGTCTGTCTAAATTATAGTCTTATAGTTTTTACTACTGTCTTAGTATAGTTTTATAGTCATTATAGTTAGAGATGCTGCAAATCAAGCTCAGTTATGATTGAAGGAGTTATTGTTGTGTTCTTCACCTGAAAGTGAAGATGAAGAGCATGAGTAGCATGCAAAATGTTGCCACATTGTCCATGGTCTTCATCAGGACAAGCAGCTGTCTGCGCAGGGCAGGGAGGAAGCGCACCAGTTTGAGCACCCTCAGGAGACGAAAAGTCCTCAGCACTGAGAGACCACCATCCGCATGACCGATGATCTCCCATACACTGACAAAGAAACACATGGTTATGCTTTATATGCGTGAGGTAAAGGCATTCAGGATTACATTTTATTTCTGTGTGAAATCTAAAATGTTTACTTTGCTAGCGCACATTATTAGTCGTTTGGTGAACAATTAATCGGTTTAATTAAAAGTTTGTTTTAGTAATCTTAAATCAAAGCTTGAGCATTTTTTTCTGCATTTGTAGAGATGGTCCATCTGATGACATCATTTAGACAGCTTCTTCCACAATATTCTTAACCACACCCCTCTTACCGTTAGTTTTCCATAAGAGAATGATTTGCAAAACAAAAGCCCCGCCCCCTACTCAATATTCCGTTTCAGTAGGAAGTCAACATACTGAAGTAAAAGTCTCAGCAATGTCCAGTTTACACAGATTTAAAAAATTCATAACCTCAGCATTGTTTATGTTTAAGTATTACTTTTTATGCTTTTTGTTGACATTAATTCGGATGTTTTTAGCTGTTTTTCCATCAGTTATGTACATCAGAGATTCATGTTACATGTTGATGAACAATGTTTATTTCATGACTTTAATTTTATGCATCTTACAATACTGCTGTTTAGTAGCTGTGTGACTGACACTGAGCACCTTCTATAGACTGATACACTTTTTCTGCTTGTGGGAAAAGTTGTTTGTGATGCATTGGTTCATCTTTCTCATCACCACCTGCATATGGCTGTGTTAACGTGTCTATCTGTGTAACAAAAGATGTGTAGATGTTGGTAGTTAAAAAAATCGACATATTACTTCTATAAACTATACAAATTAATGAAATTTACAGAAAAATTGTGAAATTACTTTTACGTTTGTACTGTATTTTTAACGGTGAAATACTAGCAACCACAGCTGCCAGTTTTTTTACCGTATAGATAGATAGACAGACAGACAGACAGACAGACAGACAGATAGATAGATAGATAGATAGATAGATAGATAGATAGATAGATAGATAGATAGATAGATAGATAGATAGATAGATAGATAGATAGACGGACGGACGGACGGACGGACGGACGGACGGACGGACGGACGGACGGACGGACAGACAGACAGACAGACAGACAGACAGACAGACAGATAGATAGACAGACAGACAGATAGATGATAGATAGATAGATAGACAGACAGATAGATAGACAGACAGACAGACAGATGATAGATAGATAGACAGACAGACAGATAGATAGATAGATAGATAGATAGATAGATAGATAGATGGATGGATGGATGGATGGATGGATGGATGGATGGATGGATGGATGGATGGATGACGGACGGACGGACGGACGGACGGACGGACGGACGGACGGACAGACAGACAGACAGACAGACAGACAATCAGACAGACAGACAGACAGACAGACAGACAGACAGACAGACAGACAGACAGACAGACAGACAGACAGACAGACAGACAGATAGATAGATAGATAGATAGATAGATAGATAGATAGATAGATAGATAGATAGATAGATAGATAGATAGATAGATAGATAGATAGATAGATAGATAAATGTAGAGACAGACAGACAGACAGACAGACAGACAGACAGAAAGATAGATAGATGGATGGATGGATGGATGGATGGATGGACGGACGGACGGACGGACGGACGGACGGACGGACGGACGGACGGACGGACGGACAGACAGACAGATAGATAGATAGATAGATAGATAGATAGATAGATAGATAGATAGATAGATAGATAGATAGATAGATAGATAGATAGATAGATAGATAGATAGATAGATAGACAGATAGATAGATAGATAGATGACAGACAGACAGACAGACGGACATACATACATACATACATACATACTTACATACATACATACATACATACATACATACATACATACATACATACATACATACATACATACATACATAGAACTTACCTTATGACAACAATAACCCCATCAAAGATGTTATATGGGTTCCTTATATAGCCGAAGATGCCAAAGGCCAGCAGTTTGAAGAGCATTTCGAGGACAAACATGCTAGTGAAGACGATGTTGCTGATCTCCAGGATGTTGGTCAGCTCCTCGGGCTGTGAAAGGAAACACAGCCACACCTCATTACCTTCTGCAGACCACAGACATGCCAGCACACTGCTGAGAAGACAACATATGAGTGACCTTAATCACTGACCCAAATAATGGCACCTTCACACACCTTTACTCGCACAACATCACGTGTAGCCGAGAGTGAGAGTACACAAACACAGAGATACGCAAAACCATTCAGCACATTCAGATGATAAATGGACAGTTTACGTAACGCATTACCTCTGGGCCAAACCGTCAGCACACTTACCAAGCAATTACAATTGTTCAGCTTCAACACAAACGGCTCTGCTGCTGAGCTTGGATAAGCAAAAGCAAACCTAAAGCATAATAAGCTCCTTTATTAAGAGCAGAGCAACGCAGATCAATCAGACGGACAGAGCTTGTAGAATCTGTCCATCATAAGCAGTTTCGGGGCCAGAGAATTGGTCTTCTTGCATTTGCTGATGCAGACAGCGCTTCAGCTCTTGAGAGTGAAGAATTACCAGCGCTCTCTTCAGTTCTTTAGTAGTGCGCGAATCAATAAACACATTCTGAAGGAAGCATAAATGACATGAGCCTCAGCATTCACCTGGATACTGTTCACATTAACACACTGCTAGGAAATCAATACATCAAAGTGTTAGACAATCGCCCTCGATACGGGCAAGCTGAAAGTCAATGTGTTAAACACTTCCTGAAACCGTTTGAGCCTGTAGGGCTTCACTGCTTTTCATAAAACATATGTGATGTTTTTAAAGACTTAAATATAACAAAAAAAAAAAAATCTGTTAAAATTCTTGGGTTAAAAATACCACAACATATAACCCATTTATAGGTTAATATAGCACTTTCTCAACAGTGCATTAGGTTATAAAATTGAACCTAATGTATTGGGTTATTTTGATTAAATATTTTTTTTTCCCATTCTGGTATAACTATAGCTACTTTTACTAGTACTACTATTAATTTTATAATTATGGCTGTGTAAAATAAATAACATATAGTTGACAAAAATATTGAAAATATTTTTTAAAAAGGTAATTTGATAAAAAAATAAAAGCATTATTGTGTTAGAGCTTAAATAAACTTTATTACGTAAAAACAACATTATGTACGCATAATAATACAGCTTTTCTGTGTCAGTTAAATCAGTTGACTGTTGAAATTCAAAAATTTTAACCCAACTAAGTTATTAAAGAAATCACCCAATAAAGGTTTAAAATAACCAAACAAAGCACCAAATATTTGACCCAACTGGTTGAGTTATTATTAAATAATCCAATAAAGTTTAAACATAACCCAACAAATTGTGTTTTAAAGAGATAGTTCACCCTAAAATGGAAATGTATATACTGACCCTTTACTTGTTTCAATGCTTCATGATTTTCTTTGTTCTGTTAAGCACAGAAGAATATATGAAAGTTTTCTCTTAAATTTCTTCTCAGGCTTCTATGTTTATGTTGAAGAATTTCACTTTAAAGGCAATGAAAAGAATGTATTTAATTTTAGAAGAAAATATCAAATGGCATTTACAGTTGAAGTCTGAATTTTTAGGCCCCCACCTTTTTTTTTTAAACATATTTCCCAAACGATTTGTTTTATGTGGGCTAGAATAAAAACAGTTTTAAAATTTTTAAAAACTATTTTAAGGTCAATATTATTAGCCCCTTTAAGCTTTTTTTTTTTTTTTTTTTAATAGTCTACAGAACAAACCATCGTGAGAATAACTTGCCTAACTACTCTAACCTGCCTACTTAACCTAATTAACCTAGTTAAGCCTTTAAATGTCTCTTTAAGCTGCATAGAAGTGTCTTGAAAAATATCTAGTCAAATATTATTTACATGGCAAAGATAAAATAAAACAGTTATTAGAGATGAGTTATTAAAACTATTATGTTTAGAAATGTGTTGAAAAAAATCTTCTCTTCGTTAAACAGAAATTGGGGAAAAAATAAACAGGGGGTTTAATAATTCTGATTGCAACTGAGGTTTTTGAACTAAACCTGTCATATTTTGAAGTATGCTGAAAACCTGTAACCATTAACTCCTATTGTATCTGTTTTTGCTACTAAGGAAGTCAATGGTTACAGGTTTTCAGCATACTTCAAAATATATTATTTCTGTTTAACAAAAAGTCTGTTTATTTCTGTTTATATAATAAATTAGTGCTTAATAAAAAAACTTTAAAAAGTCTTACATTATGATTTTTAGTTACAGGCAAAATCTTAAATCTAAAAGTTACTGCTATTCTATATTATTTAATGACGGCACTTTTTTGCATAAAGTTGATAAGATTAAATACCTTGGAGTGTGGCTTGATTCTGAACTCTCCTTTAAATCACATATTAATCATATTGTGAGTAACGTCAACCTTGCAAGTACCTTACATCAGTCTAGACATTGTTTTTCATTTAGTGTTCACAAGAAACTTGTTCTTCAACACATATTTCCAATTTTTGATTATTGTGATATTGTTTATGAGGCTGCATTGAAATTAAATGTTGCTCCTCTCAATGTGGCATACAATAGACTTTGCAAGTTTATTCTGGGTTGTTCTTTTTATACACATGATTGATGTATCTTTGCACACAAGATGACATTCATTGGCTTCAATTTATATTTAAATGTATTCATTTGAAGTATCCTTATTATTTACAACAACATTTTGTATTTTCCCTTAAATTATCAAGTAGGACATTCTGTTCAGAGTTATTTTTTGTTCCTCATTTTAAAAATCTGTTAGTAAAAGAGCTCTTATGTTTAAGGGTCCAATAGATTGTAATAATTCACCAGCTAACATTCGTTCCACTGCATTATTTGTTGTGTTTAAGCAAACTTTACTGCCATATTTTACTTTGGACTGTACTTGTTGTTTCTGAGGATGTTATTAAGGTGATGTTTCACTTGTCTGTATAACTTTTTGTACTATGCACGTGTATATATGTATACAACTTTCCCTTTTGTTATTGTTTTTTTTTTTTGATTTTGTGTAATTTTTGTCTTGTTTTTGTCATCTTGTGTTATTATGGTACATCTTAAGGGGTTTATGCTAAGGAACAAACATGTATTATCTATTAAATTTTTGGTGAACTATCTCTTTAACCCTTTGATGCACTACATGGGTCTAGTTTATTTTTTGTATATCTATTTTATAGCTTGTGCATCAGAGGTTCAATACAATCAATCTCCACAAATAAAATATTGGAAGTTAAAATATGCAGTAATTTTCACAAAACAAATGTAAAATACAGTAACATTACTGTCCTACAACAACGTACTGCTCATATTACTGTTAAATACTGTAATTTACAGCAGTCACTTCCAATTTGCTTATCTGTACTGCTAAAATTCAGGTTTATAAACAAAATATTGTCAGACAAAAACACTGCACACATACAGTAAGTTACAGACAACGGCTGTGGTGTGATTTCAGCTACATTTACCTGTAAATTATAGCAAAAGAATATAGAGATGTACAAACATGTACACCTGCCTTATTTTTTTCTTGGTTTGTTAATCACAAATAAATTACAATTATCTTTAAATGTCACATCAATAGCTCCTTGTTGCAAAACATTATTAAAAACAACATTTAGAAAGTTGTTAAATTTGTTGACAATATCCCTACAAACAATGTATCAATGCATTATAGCACAAAATAACAAATCAATATAATCTATGTTAATGTAAATTTTACATACACTAATACATTTTTAATGCTTAAAGTTAAATTGACGTTAGAGCAAACATGAATTAGCAAATAACAGTAAATGTACTTTTCGATTCAAGTTTGAGGTCTAGAAAATTATTGTTTCTAAAGCAATTCATACTTTTAAACCTTGTTAAATTGGTAAAACGTGATTTTTATTTAATATAATATAGTTTACAATATTTATAAGATATTTATAATTAGGTGTACATGATATACGTTAGCAAAACAAAACAAATGCTATTAAGAATATAGATATATATTGTGAAATTTGTGATATGTTTATATGATTGTTTTAGAAATTTTATATATATTGCAGCAGCAGTATTACCGCTTTTACTGTGTTCTTGATAAAATAACCCCAGCTTTTTAGAGATTGCATTATAAATATTTCCCTAATAAGTGCTGTACAAATATATTTTTAATATTTGAAGTTTTTAGCAATTCCTGATAAAGCAGTGACCAATAGGAAGAGTTTGAGGTGTGCCTACTGCAGCAGTAGGCTGAGCCAGGGGATGTTTAGTTTACAGATTACAGAAGTTCAAGCCAACATACAAGAAGACAAACAAAGAGAGTAAAACAAGAATAAACATATTCTGGTCTTTAGCAAGTAATTTGAAAGAATTTTTATTTTTATTTTAAAGAAACAGTGTGCCATTTTTAGAGCTAGATGATACGTATTCACGTGTATATATATATATATATATATATATATATATATATATATATATATATATATATATATATATATATATATATATATATATATATATATATATATATATATATATATATATATATTGCAGCAGCAGCAGCAGCAGCAGGATTACTGCTTTTACTGTTTTTGATAAAGCCAGCTTTTTGGAGAATGCTTTACAAATATTTCCCAAGTGTTGTACAAATATATTTTTAATATTTGAAGTTTTTGGCAAACCTTGATAAAGCAGGGACTAAGCCAAAGGAAAGTGAGTGGGTATTTGAAATTGTTTAGTGACAGATCTGTCCTGACTTCAATTCATGTGTAAATGCATTTATGCCGTTTTAACCATCAAATAAATAACAGCTTTATAAGAAAACATGTATAGAAAACAATACAAATAGTATCAATCAAGAAAAAATATAACCATTTTATGAATTTCACAACAAAATGTAAAAAATAAACTGTTAAAATGTGCTGTCACGTCACCGCTAGGGGGCTCTACAGTCCCTCCTCCCTGCATTGATCTGCATACATTAATCAATGTACTTCATGAATATTTATATGCCACTTCCCAAGACTGCTTGTTACCCAGG